AATAAGCTAGCTAAGTAATTAAATGCAGGATATAAATATTAAAAGCGGAAGTGCTATAAGAAGTAAAAGCGAAAGTTAGCAAAGCTAATATATTATACTTAATATAATAATTAAAAGAAAGAATAAATTTACTTTTTATTTTATAAAAGTATTTAAATCTTTAATAGCTATATTAATATTAGCTATTAAAGTAAACTTTAATAGTTAAGAAGATATAATTAATAAATATGCTGCTAAGCAGGTTTTAAGAATATTTAAAGCTTTTATAAAAGAGCAAAAGCTATAATAAGATAAATAAGTAAAAAATTAAAGATAGCAATAATAATTAAAATTATAATAAAGTAAATTTTAAAACTTAAAGGCTTAATTAAAGATAGCAAAGTTTTATTTTAATAATTTTTATAATATTTATTGCAAAGTACTTAAAAAGGGGTATATTAATAGGTATAAGGAATTATATAAGAAATGGTATTACGTTAAATTTTAGCTAGCTATAAAAAGCTAGCTTTTATGCTTATTTTAAATATTTTTTTAAGAAATTAATTTTTTTTTTCTTATATATTTAATGCTTTAATTAAGCTTTTTTTATTTTTAAGAATTTTTAAAATATTTATCTTTTCCCTTTTTTAGCTCCCTTTTATTCCTATCTTTCCTTTTTATTGCATTAAAGCTCTTCCTTAAGTTGTCCTTAAAAGGGTTTAGCAGAACCTATCCCTTATTTATTTAGGTAGCTTGTTTTTAATAATAAGCTAAGTTAGTTAGTATTTATAATGCAAAGCATTATAGCTAAAAAAGGGTAAGTTTTTAAAGTTTTCCTTTTTATCTTTTTACTTTTCCTTTTTAAACTTATTATAAGTATAATAATAACTTATATTATAGCTATATTATTTAATGCTAAAGACTTAATTAATAAGGGCATTTAAGGCATTAATTATTATATTAAACTTCTTATAATAATAATTTTTAAATATATTAAAATGCGCTTAAGGCTGGGTTAATATAAATATAAAAAAAGGATAAGGAAAGTACTTATATTAAGAGTATGTATATTATTAATATAATAATTAATTTTAGCTTTTTAGTTATTATTAAGGGTTATAAAGGCATTTACTACTTTTTAAGTAAAGTAAGTTAGTTAATAATTATTAATATTAATATTATTAATATAATATATAATTATATTAATATTAATAGGAAATAAAAATATATTAATAAGTTATAATAAAATTAAAGGTATATTCTTAATAAAGTTAATAAGGGTATTAATTAAAGCTATGTTATAAGAATAAGCATAGTTGCTTAAGTAAATAATAAGGGTAATAAAAGGTAGCTTTATTAATATAATGTTTATAGCTTTATGAAAATTAATAATAATATAATTAAAAGCTAAAATAAATATAGCTATATTATTATAAGTAAGAATAATAAACTTAATTTACTTAAGAATAAGGATATAGCTATTATTAATAATAATTACTTTTTTTAAATAATATTATATATTTTATAATAATGATAAATTAATAAATATATATATATATTAAATATATTTATACTTATAATAATAATAATTAATATAAAATATATTATAATTATTAAGAATATAAATAAGTAGCTTATTAATTTTATAAAAAGTTATAATGCATAATTTATAAGGAAAAGGCAGTTACTTAGCAAGTTGCTAATCCTTATTATTAAAATCGCTAAATACTTAATATAATCTTATAATATAATATTCTTATATTTAATTAATAATTATAATAAACTTATATTAAGTAAGAAATAAGGTAATCTTAAGGGTTATATTGTTAAGATAATAAGGCGGCTTGTTATTATTATTATTATTAATAGTGGCTATATTAAAGCCGCTATATTAATTATTAAAACTTATAATAAAAGCTATTTCTTATTCTTCTTTTTATATAATAAGAAGGGAATAAATATTAAGGAAAATATTAAGGGATTAAAAGAGTATTAATAAGCTAAAGAAAGGATACTTAATAAGTATAATATAAATAAAAGAGGATATATTAAGAAATTATTAAAAAATTAAGAGGATATTAATATATTAAGGTAATAATTTCTTAATAAAAAAGGGTAGTTGCAAAGAAAGTATAATAAGCATAAGAAAAAATAGCTAAAGGATTAAATTATAAAGAGGTTAAGGGATTATATAGGTATTAATTATATTAAGGAAGGCTTTTTAGCTAAGGATAAGATAAAGTTAAGGGGGGTAATTAATATAAATAAAGAAATAATTGCAAGGATAGTAGAAAGATTATATAAAGGTAATAAAATAATGCATGCAATAAGTATATTATAGTAATAATATAATATTAAAAAGAAGGAATTATAAAGAAAAATGTAATTATAAGGAAGTTATTTTAAGTAATAATAATAAATATAATGTAAAGGTAATAGCTATAATAAGTAATATTAATACATTAATAAAAATACATTATAACTTAAGGCTAATAATATATATAACTTATATATAATTATAATATATTAATAAAAAACTATATATATAATAACAATATTACTATATTATAATAGCTTATAATATATATAATATATACTTTGCATTATATTATATTAAGCATAATATATAAATATAGCTAATATAAGAATGAAATGAATAATTATTGCTCCTTAAGTGGATAGATATAGCCTTAAAATAAGTATATAATAAGGGTAAATATATAATTAACATAAAATTATAAAAGCCCTGGGTTTAATCCTTATTATATATAATATAAAAGTAAAAAGGGAGTTATATAATAAGCTTAAGTTATTGCTTAAGCTATAATATATGCCTATATTAAGCTTATATTACACCTAACTTTTTTATATAATAAGGCATATACTTAAAAGATAGATTTAAAGTTAAGCCTTTTTAAGGCTTAATTTACTTCTTAAATATTATAATTTATAACTCCTTTTAAGTACCTTTTAATAAATGCTTAAGGCTAACTTATAATAATTAATAATATAAAATTTTTAATTTATTAAATTTTATAATATTATATTAAATAATTAAAAGTTTTTATAAATTTAATTAACTTAATGATAAAAAATATATAAGAAATTTAAAACTTAAAGAATTATATATTTATTATTAACTTAAATTATAAAAACTACTTAATAAACTAAGGTTTTCTTTAATATTTTATAAGAAATAATAATAAAAAAAAGCTATATATTTTTTTAAGAAATTAAATTAAAAACTATATTATTTAAGCTTAAAAAAAGAGAATCTTAAATAACTTTTAATAAGTTATTAAAAAAAACCTTAATTTATTAAGCTTTTAATTCTTATATTTAATTATAATTAAAGATAATATTTTAAGTATTTTTTAAAAATTTAATTAAAAAGTTAATAAAAAACTTATTATTTAAATATTAAATCTTTTTTTTAAAATTATTTAAATTTAATTATTATTAAACTTTATAAAAAGAAAACCTTATTAACTTAAAATAAAAAAGCTATAAAAAAAATAAAGATAAGTATTTCTTTATATTATTTTAATTAAAAAAATAATTTAAAAAAACCTTATATAAATTAAAATAAAAGAAAAGCTAAATTAAAAAGATAAAATAAGTAATGAAAATTATTATATAAAGAATATATTACTTAAAAAAAGATTTTATAATAATAACTTAATAATATATAAAAAAAGTAAATTAATATTAATAAAATAACTTAAACTTAAAAAGTATAATTAACTTAATTAATAATAATTAAAAGAAAAAATTTAATTTAAATAATAATAATAATTAAAATAATTAAAATAATTAAAGCATTAATTAAAAAAATATATTAATTAATTATATAATTAATAAAAATAAAACTTTAAAATTAAAAAATAAGAATAATAATAACGGCTTAATCTTTATTTAAATTTATATTTAATATTTTATTATTACCTTAATTATTATTAAATATAATAAAATAAATAAAAATAAATAAACTTATAACTTTTTAAAAATATTACTTTAATTAAAGAATTAATAATTAATTAAAAATGTTATATTAAGTTTATTAACTTAATATAATATTTAATATAATTTTAAAGTTATAAAGGGGTTAATAAAAGTTTATAATAATAATAAAAAACTTAAAGAAAGATTTTATAGCTTTTTATAATAATATAATTCTTTATAATTATTTTTTTTTAAAAAAAATTAAAATAAAAATAATTATTAATATTTATTTATTATTATTAAAAACTTAATTTAAAATAAATATTTATAAAGGTTAATATAATAATATAAGCTTTTATTTTATTTTAATATAATAAATATAATAACTTATAATTTAAATTAATATTAACTTTTTTCTTAATTTATTAATAAAAGTAAATTAAAAATAAAAAATATATATATTTATAATAATATTATTATAATTTAAGCTTAAGGTTTTGCTATTAAAAAAAGGGGGTTTATATAATATAAGCAAGGGTATTTAGCCTTTAAGGGCCTTAAATAAGTAATTTTTAGCTTTAAAGGTAAACTTAAACCTATTTAAGCAATACATACCCTAAATCTCTTAATCTACTTGCATTATTTCCAGTGCGATAAGTTTTCTTATACGGGTTATAGAGTTTCATAGTCTGCCTTATGCCTGTAGAAAGCCTCACCCCTGTCCTTCTCAGGGGGGCTCGTGCGCAGAGACGGTCCAAGCTGCCTGGCTGCCAACCTTGGGGGGCATGTTTCCAACACGTGCCAAACCGAGCGTCTCCCACGCAAAGCTTCTACTGTATCGCGTCTCGTTCAACAATGGGTATCACCAGCACTGTAAATCCACCTCGTTGCCATCTCCGGACCAACAGGCTTGGAAGCACCTGTAATTGCGTCCACGACATAGAGTGATTCTTCTTTGAAGTTTTGCCTTGTGGCCTGGGACCCTTTCAAACGATGAGGCGGCGCAGTTATCCTTCACAAGCAAGACGCAAGATGCGGATGAGACAGTGAACTTGGTAGCTCCAGCTCCAGCTCCAGACTCAGACCGTCGTGCCAGGTATCCTCCAAAACATCCTCCCGCCATCCCACCATGCGAGCGGGTTACCCTCCCCCCTCCCCACACGCCCATCTTCGAGGTTAAAGCCACACTTCAGGTAGAACGGCTCCTTGCCCTTGGAGCTGATGACAGATGCGCACACCCTTTCCTCGTCCGCACGGTCCAGCCCCCACTTCACGATCAACCGCCCGACCCCTCTGCCCTGGTGCTCCGGGTGCACGGCCATGATCTCCAGATTCCAGCACTCGGCCCTGTCGCCTGCCCACGAGTCTGCTACCAGCGGCATCGCCCGCTCGATGACGTCCTCCTCGGCCGGGTCGGCGGCGCGGTTCGGCCAGATGCGCGCATGGATCTTCATGGCTGCTGCCATGAGCGGACGGGCGTATCTTCCTGGTTGCGAGCGAGAGGTATCAGGGTCAGATGAGCAGATTGAAAGCGGGTGAATATGTATGCATGTGTGTGAGAAGTGAGTGTCGCTGACTTACGAGGGTCGAACCAGCCGTATCTCATGCCCTTTCCGCCGTCTCCCATCCTTGACCACTGCCCGCACCCAGCGATCACCTCCTTGCCCGCCTCGTCCTTGACCACGGCGACGATGAATCGCCACTTGGGGTCAAAGTAGTGAGGTCGCGCCATCCTCACCCAGTGCAGGTCGAAGTCATTGGGGTACTTCTGGCGACTGGGGTGCATTCGTTCGCCCTATCAGCTCATCATCCCAAAAGGCCAGGGAGTTCAGGCGGGCTATTTCGGGTATCTCGTGGAAACGAGCTTCACGAACGTGGGGATATAACATGGCACCGAAACTATTGCCGGGCAGAGCTGGAAAGAAGCATCTGGGTTACTGAAGGCCCTTTAAGACCGCTCTCTGCTGAGTGGAGGCACACTCAAAAGCAGAGCACAGAGAGCCTTGGGGAGCCACTCGAGGCGTCGGCGGAGCATGCATTAATATGGAGGCGAACGTGTGGGATTGAGACCCGCTCAGTGAAAAATGCTGCATAAAAATAAAACAGCAGACAAAATCGCCCCCGTGCCTCAGGCCGGTACGGAGTATGGCACCACTTCAAGCAGACCTCCCCGCCGGTCGACTCGCCGGTGGGAGGGAAGGACATGCAAGAAATAACGGACAACAAGTGCAGGGCCCACTCAACCGCATGCAGGTGTGTTTGCTCCGCGGGCTGGGCAGAAGAGGAGTTGCATTCTCGTCGTGTGGAGAACGGTGTGGAGATCTCAACAGTGTGCCGTTGGTTACCAACAGGTGCAGAGCTTTCCCTGTTTCGACGGTAGAGACCTTGCAGCCCGTCCCCAGCAGCACCTCGGAACGGCCAGGCTGTTGCAGCTGCGTGTGACGCGAGATTGCTTATCAGGGGGGGGGAGGCTTGCCTTCTGCTCATATAACAGAGAATCTACTCGGTCCACCGGGATGTCATTTTTTGAATTCCGGCATTCACATGTTCCTCACCCTCGGTTCTGACAGCCTCTCCTTTCCATTCAACGACGCCTCCATCTTTCGCTCGCCGTCTCTTGTAGAATATGTTTTCCAAAGATGGCGCCAAACCCGACATGCACGTCGGCCAAGTGCCAGTCGATGCCGGAGATGCCCATCGAAGTAGCAAAGGGGGGACCGCTGACGACCAAATCGACATGTTCAGGATGGGCAAAGTGCAAGAATTGAAGGTCTGCTTCGATCATGGCAAAAAGTCAAAAAGAATAACTTGTGAAATTGGCTAACGTCTTCTTTCAGAGGAACTTTCGATTCGTCACCATTTTTGGATTCACCATGATTACCATGGCGACGTGGGAGGCTGCTTTCTCGTCAGTTCATTCATTGTAACCATGCCTCTTGTTGCCCCTCCTAACAAGTGATCAGCGTCTCTATTACCGGTCTGGTCAACGGCGGCACAGCAGGCCTGATCTGGATGTTCTTCATCACTTGGATGGGCTTCATCCTAGTCAATACCTCCATGGCAGAAATGGGCTCGATGTGAGTAGATGCTTCAGTGTCTGCGGCGTCGCGGCTGGCAGGACGTTGACATTGGCGGGACTCTCAGGGCGCCCACCAGCGGTGGCCAGTACCACTGGGTGTCAGAATTCGCCCCAAGGCAGCACCAGAAGTTCTTGAGCTATGTCATGGGCTGGATTTGTGTGCTGGGGTGGCAGGCCTCCTGCGCATCCACTGCCTACATCTCCGGTACTATGATACAGGGGCTCATAGTCTTGAATAACTTGGACACCTACGTCCCAGAGCGCTGGCACGGCACTCTCCTCACCATGGCAGTCGCTGCATTCTCCGTCGTATTCAACACCGCCTTTGCCCGAAAGCTCCCGCTCTTCGAGGGTATTGTCCTCATCATCCACATTTGGGCCTTTATCGGCATCCTCGTTGCGCTCTGGGTCCTCTCCCCCACTGCGGACGCCAAGTCCGTCTTCACGACCTTCACAGACGGCAGTGGCTGGGGTAATACGGGTGGGAGCACGCTCATTGGTATCTCCGCCGCAGTCCTTACCTTTTTCGGCGCAGATGCTGCGGCCCACATGTCTGAGGAGCTGAAGGATGCCAGCAAGACCGTCCCCCGGGCAATGATCTCCACTACCGTGGTCAACGGCCTGATGGGATGGGTGATCGTCATCACCTTCTGCTTCTGCATAGGCGACACTCTGGCCGAGATCGTTGACTCACCTACCGGGTTTCCGTTTATCGAGGTCTTCTACAAGGCTACCGGCACCGTCGGAGGCGCCACTGGAATGACGGTGTTCATAGTCGCAATGAACATATCCGCCAATCTCGCCGGCGTCGCGACTGCTTCGAGGTGAGTGTGGTCTCCTTGCGAGCTCAGTGCTTGCCCACGACTAAATCTGACATCTGCCCCAGACAAATGTACGCCTTTGCTCGAGATGGCGGCCTCCCAGGGGGTCCATGGCTGGCTCATGTCTCGCCCACTTGGAACCTTCCGTTTAACTCCATCTTCGTGACGTTCATCACCACATCCCTTTTGTCCCTCATCAACATCGGCTCAGTCACCGCCTTCAACTCAATCACGTCACTTGCCACCAACGCCTATTTAACGTCATATATAGTCTCCATCGGCTGTATGATCTGGAGGCGGGGGACGGGCAGTCCCTTGCTCCCGTCAAAGTTCAACTTGGGGAAATGGGGCCTTCCGGTGTACCTTGCCGCCGAGCTTTTCCTGGTGTCTGCATTTGTTCTCTGCTTCTTCCCCATGAGCCCGAATCCAGGAGCTGAGGCGATGAATTACAACATTGTAATCTATGGTGGGGTGGTCATCTTTTCAATGATCTACTATGCCTTCCAGGGAAGGCACCAGTACGATGGACCAGTCGAGTACGTTCGCAAGTTAGAATAAGGCCTCCATACAGGCGGCGAATGGAACCAACTCATTCAGCTCGGGCACTTTCCTTCGTCCGGTCCCGAGGTCGGGTCCTGGGAAGAAAATGAATTACCGATAGGATCATGACCAAACACAAGTGTCTCATAAAAAAAATGACTACAGGATTTCAAATGCCGAGCCCCTGCATGTTGATGCCACCAGGAGAAGAATCCCCGTAAACTTGAGATGCAAGGTTCGATAGACTTCTGACAAGCCGTGCATCACCCCTGACACTTGAGGCACAGGCGGTCCACGGCCCATCTCCTTCGATGGGGACCACATACAGAGATTCAGCAGTTGGATCAATATCAAGAGTATGTTCCGCCATTGGACTACACCTTCCCCATAAACACTGCAAAAGATCGGGAGGGACCGATGAGGCACGTAGGCGACTCGGGAGGCATCCGGAACAAGGGGTTTTGACGATCATATCCACACAGTGAAGCCGACTGTGCTTGAATATCCCGGTGGTGCACCATACCGCATTGATATCCCGCCGAAGATTTATGGTTGTTGGCTCAGGGGTCCTGATAGTCATTCGCGGGTTGTCTTTGCGCTCTCCCCGGATATCTTGTAAAAGCTGTGCGGTGCCTTTGGCTTTATTGTGGGTCATCGCCTCTACGACCTGCCTCTCTCAGTACCAACCAGGTTGAGAAAGGCGACCCCCGCACGTACTTTTGCCCATGTCTTCCAGCGCGGGATCCTGTCACCCATGCATATAATGCCCAAATTTCGGTGAAGAACGGTCGAAAGGATTTATTCCCGGGTGTTGCTATGCCCACCTAAGGGGCACAATCACTTAGCGAGTCTCAACAATGACGAGAAATACACCGGTTGCTGGGGCCTGTTCGGTGGCGTTGTGTTGCGTTGAAAATCAAACACTCATACAACCCCGACCAACGACAGCAATCGTACATGTGATGTATCACTGGCATCAAAATTATTGAACAAGTACACGCGGAAAATCACCGTATGTTTTTTGGTGCCAAAGGAAGCAGGAGACCTGGTGACCATCGTGCGTCTCGAGCAGGGCGATTGAAGGTGCACGCCATTCCACGACCTGTGGTACCACTCAGCGCTGTGCTTGCCCAGCGATATTGACCGAATCAGCATTCTGAGCTGCCGCGAAGCATTTTGAAGAAGATCCACTATTTAAATTGAGAAACCGCTCGGTATTTCGATTGTCATCTCAACTGCAATCGCCGAGAAAGTTGAACTGACGCAGCCGTCTCTAACCAACACCTGCAAAAGTACCCTGTTTGACACAAGCCCCTTAACTTTGTTTTGATCAGGATGATGCCATATGCCCGCTCAGTCTAGATAAATAATCAATTTATGGGTCCATAGTCGACTGGGCCGCATCGCAACTCACCACTTAAGCCACGACTTCCGAGACAAATCCCTAAGCGTGGAAATCCTGATCCAGCCTCGTTGCCATTCCTCAGGCAGGCTCCTGTAATCGTCTTGAGAGCACCGAGCCATCATGCAAATCACCCCTGGCTTCTCCGCGATCTCGTCAGAAGACCATGCGGGGTACGTGTGGATCGTAACAACACTGGGGGCTGTTTATAGCTGCATGACAGTTTTGGTCCGAGGAAGGATCAAATGGGGTTTATTTGGCCTCGACGACTACCTCATCGGCCTCGCTACAGTACGTTAATCCATCAATGCAAACATGTATCATTGAATCTCATCTCAACAATGTCCGCATGTTTAGGTTTTGTACCTTGCGCAGTGTGGTGCCGTCTTCTATGGTCTCAAGAATGGTCTTGCGCAGTCAAGTCACACTACGCCATCAGAAAGACTTAGAGAGTCCGGAAAGGTAAGCATTTGGGTACTATCCCTCAACGCATCCAAACATATGGGATTTCTCTATCTTACCACATGTAGGCATTCCTTGCCTCTGAGACACTGTCCATACTGTGTCTTTGCTTGTCCAAATGCTCGTGTCTCGCCCTCATCATGCGCGTCTTGCGGCCGGCCAAGGTTGGGATCAATATAGGATGGAGATTCTGCATCGGCGCTTTTGTTCTCAGCGCAGCTTGGGGAGTCGGCTCCGCAATCGGCGTCGGTGCTGGATGTGAAGGCAGAAGTGTATTGTTCGTCAACAGCAGTTTGGAATGTCCGGAACAGGTAAGCCAGCCCGATACCTAAGATTTCAAACTCCACGTCCTCTGACATTGCGAGGAAACACCCCTCAGCACCTTCGATGGCAGATTATCACAGCACTCGACGTCATCACCGACGTGTTGCCCTCCCTCATTCCTGCAGCGCTGGTCATTCCTCTCAACATGCCGCTGGGAGACAAACTTCAGGTCTGCGTTGCATTCGGGTTCCGCCTGATCGTCATCCCCTTCTCGGTCCTGCACCTCTCGAGCATCGCGGATTTTGTGCAATCTACGGACCCGCCACTGGAAAGCACCGCGGCTCTGACCATGCAGCAGATCATGCTATTCAGCTCGCTCCTCACATCCACCATCCCCAACATGAAAGGCTTTATGAGTTCCTTTTCGATGGGCATGGGCGTCAAGCTGTTCGAGTCTGAGGCAAAAACAAACCCGTCGCAGCAGTCATATGCGCTACAGACGATCGGTGGCAGCTCAACCATCAAACCGCCCCGCAAAAGTGGCTACGTGAGCAGGGTGAGACCAGCCAAGAGCAGAACAGACGTTCACATATTGCCAACTGATGGATCTGCCTACGAAATGGGCCGCGCCGATTCCGACAGCCAAGCAAATGCTGATGGGGGCAGTAACGCTAGCCGCCGCGGGAGCCAAGAGCGGATCATCGGGAAGACGGGTTCATAGGCAGTTATCTTCTCTTTAAATTATCATTCTCAATTGAACTGGCAGGAAACTCTCATTAATTCCAGGAGAATCTGCTGCTGCGAAAGGACAGACTCTCACGGAAACCAAGAACTCGCGCCGATTTTGACGCAATAGGGGGAGCCAGAGTACGCCCACCCAGCATCCAGCGTTAGCCCACCCAGTATAAGGAAATTAGCTATATGCATTATAAAATATTAGTATTATAGGGTTATTAATAAAATATAGTTATAATTATCTTTAAAAGGGTTTTATAATTATTTCTTTATTTATAACTTTAAAGTTACTTTTGCCCTTTTGCCCTTTATGCCTTCTTCTACCCTTTACCCTCTTGACGCCCTCTGCCCCCTTGGCGCCCTTTGCGCCCTCTCTGCCCTTTGCCGCCCTCTGGGCGCTCTGGGGGCCTTTAGGCGCTCTAGGCTTTTTAGGCTTATATTTTTAAAGTATTGCTTAAATTAAAAAATAGCTATCCTAGCTTTTTATATATAGGGTAAACTTTATGCTTATTTAAAAAAGTACTTAATCTTATTAATATAATATTAAGAAAAGGAAGTATTAAGTAGGCCAACGCTGAAAGCTGGGTAGGCGTACTGTGGAAGCTGGGTGGGCGTACTCTGGCTCCAATAGGGGAAGCGCTCATCACCCCCCCCCCCAACCCTCCCCGGTGGACCTTGATCAAATTCAATGGAGAAAACCAAGTGTATCTGCAGGTTACGCATGACAGCATTTTAGGGTCGAGTCCATATGAGTGGGAGTAACATAGTGGTAGCATCCCCTGCATGGTCGATCCGGTTGAGCCCGGTGTGGTACGACAAGGTGTCGCGCACCCAGAGGAAGTAGATGTAGTATGAAGAGGTCACGGCTCATAATATGCTTGATCGTCGATTCGCATGTCAGCGCCCACTTTCGCGTAATCTCAGAACGGGCGATTTTCTGAAGTTGATCCATGAGCATCCTCTCCGGCCGGTGAGCGTTGTACTTCCTGTACAAACCGCCCAGCTACCTCGAGTGCACGCGGATGACATCCTCGCTCCCAAGCGGGTTTTCCTGCAGTTCTGCTTGTCGCATGGGGAAGCGCATGAACGGAAAGACTTCTGTAGCGTTAAGTTGTTCGGTATCTGAGAGAACAGTAGTCTAATTCCGGAATATCAAATACACGCAAGTCGTCGGCGTTGATCACAGAAATGGGCTACTATGGAACCCCGCGCGCGAAGAGGCGTAAAGATGTAGCTATATTGCCCAGCGGGTATTATATAATTGTTGACCGCTGTAATAAACATCTCACAACACCTTCTGCAGTTGTTCGCCATGCGCCCTCTTACCCTCGATAAATATAACGGGCGGCGTAAATCTCCTCCTCCCGTGGAAAAGGTACGCCACCACACTGATCAATATCACCGCGGCCCAGATGGCAGGCGCCCAGTTCGCATCAACAGCCGTAGTGGGGTTCGAGTACGGCAGGCAGCTGAGCACGACGATGAATAGTGAGTAACCCACGGCGAAGGCGTTGATGGGCAAGCCGAAACGTCCCAGACTCCACCTCGCCGGAGGCAGCTGGTGTCCCTGGATCCGCCGCAGGAGCACGCAGCCGATGGAGAGCATGTATGTCGACATGAGGGCGAGGAGCGAGACGGAGATGATTATGTTGAAGGCGGTGTCGGAGCCGAGGGTGATGAGGCAGAGCAGGAGGGCGACCAGGGATGAGAGGTAGATGGCGTTGAATGGCATGTCATATTTGTGGTTCATCTGTCAAGGTGATTAGCGTCGTAGGTACCAATATCTGTTGGCGGTGGTTCCAAAGCTTACGCGAGAAATCCAGGCGGAAAACGGAAATCCGCGATCTCTTGCAAAGGCCCAAACCTCGCGCGATGTCGTTGCAAGTGCTGTCACGTTACCAGCGTAGATGAGGACAAACAGCACGATGGCCAGGAACAGGGCCACCCCCACGCTCCCTGTCGCCGAGAAGAGGTTCAGATAGGGCAGATCGGCCTCGAGAATAGAGTCGATAGGTCCAATGGCATAGAGCATTGTGATGACCATCACGAAGGCCATAGAGATGTTGAATACATAGGACCACCACATAGCCCGGGGAACGGTCAACGAGGCATCGCGTACTTCCTCAGCTGCAGCTGGATGTCAGGTTAAGTCGATCCTTGCGTGTGGAATAGGACTTACATATGTGAACAATGGTGTCCGATCCCAGCATCGACCAGATGATAGAGACCTGATTAAGGAGGCACACCGTCCCATGATTGGTCCAGCCACCGTTGTTCTGGAAATCCAAAAACACCTCCCTGCCTCCGTTCAAAGGCCGACACATGCCCCAGAATATGCCAATAAACACAATAAAGCCCACAGTGTGCCCAATCAGACTGACCACCTCGATCGTCGGGAGAACCCGCGTTCCCAGCGTGTTCAGCACGATAGTCAACAAGAACAGCCCCAGAAGTATGAGGAAGATCTGCCAGCTGGTGAAGACGAGGTCCGGGTACGTGATGTTGACGCAGACGCGCACGAGGTCGGCGCACACGTACACGCTGCCCGCAAGACTGGCGATCCACCCCAGGCTAGTCATCCAGCCCGACGCATAGCTGGCCTGCTTCTGCCAACCTGCCGGCGCGAACTCGGACACCCAGTGGTACTGCCCTCCGGCGGTGGGGCTCATGCTGGACATCTCGGCGAGCGACAGGACGACCGAGGAGTAGCAGAGGACGGAGCCGACAAAGGTCCAGAAGAAGCCGCCGTAGCCGGTCGTCGCGATCGAGGGCGACATGGAGACGATGACGAACTCCCAGGTCGCCATGTAGATGGACACGAAGCCGAAGGTGGACCAGAAGGAGAAGTTGCGCTTGAACTGCTGGGCCTTGCCCAGGCGCACCATGTCGGCCTCATCCTGGGAGACGAAACCTGTTGAGGCTGTCGCCTCGGCCGCGGCGACGTCGACGTAGTCGTCCTTCATGGCGGAGGAGAGGAGTGGGATCCAACCGTCGGAGGCAGCCGGTTCTCTCTCTCGCTGGTGGCGTCTGGCCGTTGCAGACGAAGAGAAGAAGGGCGGACGAGGGAGGACGGAGAGGATGAAGTCGATGACGGGCCCAACGTGGAGCAGGGACATGCCCACATTTTTGTTCGAGTAGTTGGAGATGGAAAAGCCGGTTGTCCAGGCCCAACGGCGGATCCTCGGTCGTGGTCCGTATCAGGGCATCGAGGGCCGTGCCGGACTGTCTTGCAAGCATCATTAGCGCCGTAGATGCGGTGGTATCGCCAATTTGCCGGGAGCCGCCGTCGACTTGGCCTGCAGTCTCGACCCTAAGACACGCAGCGGCTAGCAGGGGTTTGCAGGACATTCTGGAGTAGCAGAGTTCCGGACCGTCTGCCCCTGTACCCAGTAATGCTTCTGCCTGCTGGGCTCGTCTAGGCCTTTGTACCTTTTTTTTTTTTGGGTCTACATTCCATTGCAACTGACGGTGTTGAAGAATGCTATTTGGATCAAGTTTACTAAAGTTCCATAAAGATATGTCGTAGCCCTGCATAGTCATGTTATGCACTGAAGAAGTACGTAGCAAAGCATAGGCACAGGATAGGGTACAGTTGATATGGGGAAGCGTATCCAAGTGGTTTGTAGGGTTCTACTTATTCCAGGCGTGCTGTGTAGGGCTGGCGGAGGGTGGAAAGAAAATCAGCCCCTCCCGCTGGTTTTCCCGTTAAAAGGAACAGGGAAGTGTAAGCTAGGAACGTCTTACCTAATGTGATACAAAGGTTCACATCGGGAATCGCAGCGCTATGAGGCTCGCATCACCTGCATTCTGCCTTGCTACGCCCCGCTTCCAGTAGCAGTGACACGTCAGCTGTCAACCTTTCTCTTGACCCTCAACTAGAGACACGCATTTCTTGTTCCGTTACTATGATTCATTGGCATTAATGATGTCTAGTATCGGATCATTTTCTTGGAAGACCATTTTCGAATCTACTTGACACCGGCGGAGGCAGCGTTTAGCGCTGTCTTTGGCCTGTCCCACGTGGTAGACCTTGACGAATATGTCTGTGGACAAGCTCCGAGAAGTCAGTTATTCGCAGTCATGGGATACCTTCAGGGCCTTGGCCAAGACAGCGATTTAAAGTGGAAAGCGGCACGAGACCATGATGAGGACGACCACCCATCGTCTGCTTTACGCAGGCTCTATGCCCCGAAGCTAGCGAACCTCGAACTACCCGTGAGACGACGATCAGTCTGTCCTCCACTGGACCTGCCCTCGACAGCACGCTCCGACTCAATGCCGGTACATGAGAGAGCGGCATCAGATGTGTCGACTCTGCCTGAAGATGCGAATCCATTCTATCATATACGGTCGTCGATGGGAACGATGGGAAAATTGAGCCTACAGGACAGTGGAGGGATGTCAAGGAAGATGGCTCTCCGAGTCATTCGTGAAAGCACTGCAGGAGAGCATATCCAAGGAGACAAAACACCATCAGAGTTGGAAAGGGATGGTACCACCAGCAGCGCTTCCCTTCCAGAGACAAGTCCCCCAATCTCGATTCGAAGCCATATCGCGGCGCAACTTAAGGGACCAGACCAGGACAGAAATGGCATGCGCGTACGTCATTCTCATGACTTTGGCCCCCCTGAAACCTCAAATGCAACGTGTCGGCACACAATGGAGAGGGGAATTACCGATCATTATTTGCCTACGATTGCAAAGGAAATGGAGAATGATCGGTCGCTTCCAAAGCACGGAAACATGGCCTCGTGTATTCGCCAGCGCAAACACAGACCAGTGTTTGGAGAGCCTCCAAAGTTTCCAGTACAAGACTTTCATGGCAGTTGTCTTCCGGGCCAAGATGCTCAGATACTTGCCGCAATTCCTCGGAACCACCACCGACAGGAAGCACTCGACTCTTTCAATGGGCATTATTTCCCTCCACTCTTGGCTAAGAATTATCACGCCAAAACCGGAGCCAAGGGCATACTACCCGTGGTTACCGAATCCAAACCACAGGACCCTTATGCGTCTATGAATGGTGGTTCGTTTTCGAAATTCAAACCCGCTCGACAGCATCGAGTGGATGATGTGATGACGTCGGGAGGATGCTTTGACAAGGGCGCCCTGACGACATCAGGAAATGGCCAGATGCCGCTGCTGCACACCGGGAATGGGAGGGCATCGACGTACGAGGACCCCTATAGGTCGGAGCAGAGACCCATGGGGTGGGCTGGCCGCCCCAATCCCGATCTTCACCCAGCCTTCGCTCCAGGAGGAATTAGAATGCCAGCGGCGGCCCCCAATGTGTCGTCACCTCCCCCATATATGGGGCTGCCACTGCCCCCGCCCATGGAAGGACCATTAAGCCATGCAGATGTGAAGGAAACAGCACTTCCTCGAGCGTCCAACGGGTCACGCAACAACAGTCCTCACCAGTACGGCAACCAGGGGCACGTCCGGGTGGTCCAAAGCAGGCCCAAGCCCCAATGCTGGGAGCATGGATGCAATGGCCGCCAGTTCTCGTCCTTTAGCAGTCTCCTCCGCCACCAGCGTCAGAGGTCTGGTGACTTTGAGGCGAGCTGCCCGGACTGCGGCGCCAAGTTCAACAGGGTCTCCGCGCGGAACGTCCACCTGCTGCACCAAAAGTGCGAGAATAAGAGGCAGCCTTTGAAGATTTCCAATACTATCGATGGTACAAAAGGTATCAGCTCTACCATATCAAAAGACAGCTCCGCCGATGAGTGTGTGAGGCAGGCCAAACTTTTGGCCGACATGGGTGAGAGAAACCAGGGCCCTGCGCCTGTGCCACAGCAAGCCGCACCCATGGTACCTCCCGCTCCAACCAGCCAGAACCCACCATTCCCCATTTCTCGGCCGGTCAGTACCCTCGAAGGAGGGTCAACCTCTCCCTACCTCGTTACTGCTACCGCACTTTGCTAACTTCAGACGTGTGCTAGGAGTTCGGCCTTGATTATGTCAACCCGCTTGCAACCAATGACGTGCTGAATGACTTTGACTTTGACTCCTTCCTCCACGATAACGAAGGTGACGCAGGCGGGTTTGACTTTTCTTCTGCCGCTGCAAACTTCATGGATCCAGATTCAGAAGTCGAGACAGAGACTTCGACCGTGGAACAGCAACATGGCGGCATACGGGCGGCGATACAGAGGGTGGCCAGCCATCTCGACCCCAACGCGCCCATTCGGCTGCAGCCAAGCCCTGTATACTATCCTCCGCCGGCGGACGGGGGCGGCCTTATGGATCCGGCTTCCGCCCGCGCTGGCGAGAGGTCATCGTAAGAGTCTGGTGAATGAACTTTGACAAATCCAACAGAGAAGTGCCGTACAACTTCACAATGATCTCTGGGAAGAGTGGGCTCCAGACAACGGCTCTTAGCAAAGATTTCACAACAGAATTGATGCGGAGTTGAACGATGTTGATCACAACGGGGATGGCGACATGCCAAAATCCTCGCGAATTGTCGTAGCTCCGACCGGGATGAAGGCTGCTTTGCCTGAGTGACCAAGTATACCGACTCAGCGAGGAGGGGAAGTCGGCTTGACGTTTGGAAAGCGGACTTAGAATGCAGACTTGGAATGACGAGGACGCGATTTATCTTGTCATCTCTACTAAATACAAAGTGGAGGAGTGAGATAGTCTTTGAATTCGGATAGCATCAACGAGCGAAGCCCATTTGCCGTACACCACGGTGTGTTTTAGGACCTCCAGAGTTCTCGTCATGAACGCCACGCTCCGATCTATTTGACAAATGTGTGGGGCTGTCCCTTTGCGTGTAATATTTGATCAGCCTAGAAGCTTACCTTTCCCCCTTGTCATTCTGCCGCTCATCTGCTGAAAATCCTTCGTGCAAATCCTTCAGATATTGGTCAAACTTCTCTGCCTCAGCAATGACGGATTGAAGGTGCTTGTACCCGAGTGGTTGTTTTCGATACCTGGCCAGTTGTCTCGCGGTTGAAATCGCATTCCGAATCTCTCGACCATTTAGCTCGGGTTTGGCAAGGTTCTTGATGTGGCTTAGAATATCCTCTGCATCAATCTCGAGGTCAACTCGATTGTCCCCGTCAGCAAGGCGTTCCAGTCGAGATATGAAGTTTCTCCAGATTTCCAATCGTTGGCCGGGGTTTAAGTTTTGGTAGCGGAGGTTGAGTTGGATTCGTGACTTGAAGGCCTCGTCGAATATGCCCACACGGTTGCTTGTCAATATTAATATGCCTGAGTCAAGTTATTAGAAGTTGAATTTTTCGATGAATAGCGATAATCATTATGCTTTACCGTCGTAATACTCCAGCATTCGTAGAAATACTGTAGATGTCAGGGACAAATTGCGACGCTAGGCCATAGTAATGAGACTCACCTGAAACCAATGCGTTCCGGTCAAGGTTGACAAGTGAGCGTTGCTCAAGGAAGACGTCCGCTTCGTCCAACAGCACAACTTGAGCCAATCAGACAATTTCATGAGGCAAATCACCGATGTCAGTTGACACTTACCACAATCCCAAGTCTTTCCGAGCAAGAAGATAGTCTCGAGATACTGTCAAAGTTAGTAGACCGCAAGTTGCCTCGTCAACCAAGGGTAAATTACCTTTTCGACCTCTTCAGCCTTCGTTCCGATGTCTCCGCACGTAACACGATACAGGGGTTTCTTTGCCACTTCGGCGACACTAGCGCATATCAGACTTGTAACTGCCTGTCAAAGAAGTCGTTTTGTGTGTCGTACCTTTCTGCCGTCAGCGTTTTACCAGTCCCAGGTCCACTAGGTAGTCAGTTAGTTGTCGGGTTCTTTTTCTCGTAAGCTCTGCCTCTCGTACCCATGTAGCAGCATGGTCAAGCCGCTTCCTTTGCCACGGATCAAATCGGTGCTTTCCGCAGCATGTATCTGGTTGGTCACCACCGCTTGCACAAGCTCTTTCATCCGGTCTTCGATGACCAGAAACTTGAAAGCATCTGTGTTCCAGACGACGTCTTCAATGAGGTCAACGTCGAGTGTGACTAGATTTTTGAACCAGGTTAGTATCTTCAAAGATTCGGTGCATTTTGTCGAGCCATACCCCACTCCTTTTTCTGCATGTTGAACCCAATGATCGTTGGGGGAAGGCACAGAATGAATTCGTCTTCCAGAGGAGGGTCCGCTTTTGAGAGGACTTCTGTGCCGAGGTCGTCACAGTTTGCCGCCTTGTGCTCGTTGGGGTGCATCTGTTGCAAAGTCTTGGTGTCGATCATGAACCTTGAGTCTGTCTGGGTTTCTAATCAAAAGGTGTTGTTTCCTCCATCCATGTGAGAACTCACAGCAGTCCTAATTCCGTCGTCTACAAAGCTCTTGTAGCAAACGTAGTTGCGACCACGGCATCTCCAGAACATCTTCCCGCGCTCTCTGAGATTCTCGGTGACTCCAGAATCCTCATCTGAAAACTTCTTAGGGTGCGGGTTCAGCTCGCAAATCTTAAAGGCATGACTCAATGAAGGCAGACCACCGATTGGTAGAGAATATTGATTCCTTTGAAACTTTCCGTCAAAACTCCAAGAGGCTGTCGGGATAGAGGCCGAAAATCTATCAGAGCTCAGAGACGTGACATTCAGCCAGTTTGTAATCACATAGGCCTGCATTTTGGTTTTGGCGCTGCCTTGGGGTGTGGAGACGACAATCTCTCCTGGGACCTGTAACGGTCAGCGGCTATGGCGACGAGCCTGGTCAGAAGACCTACGTATATGTATCTCATGTGCTCGGCGGTAATTTCCCCATTCAAAATCAGATTGTCGACATCGGCCCATTCGTCTGCCATGCGATTGTGGATATATCCACAGAAGACGTCCAGGTGCTCCTGATGGATCTCTTCCAGATACTTTATGGCTTCCGCTATCTTGCGGCGACGATGATAGAACCACAGATATGGATAGTATATACCCGAATTGCTACTGTCGCTGTTGTCGCTAGATTCGGATTCGTTGTCGTAGTGGTGTCCCATGTCGTCTTCGTCATCTTCAACACGGCCGAATTTGGGATGTGGAATTCCCTGGAAGACGGCATTTGAAAGACTTGCCAATTTAGACCGCAACTTGTCTGAAACAATTTCAATCTGCTCTTCCACAAGCAAGGAGTCCGTATCGTTTCCAAAACGAGATCGAGTCGAGGGGTAAGATTTCTCCGCACAGCATATATAATCACGGAGAACGAGGAAACTGACGTCCTTGTTACGTTCCAGATAGAGCTCCATATTTCCCACTTGCCGGCTGCCCCTGAGATGAGAACGGTATGGGCCAACACGAACAGTCCAGGGCTCTTCAAGATACATCACACGCTCCCCAGTATTTGCGCAAGAGACACGGTGGATTACTTGGCAACGTAGAGGACCTTGTTGTATTGCCGATTGATTCTTCACTCGCTCTGCCTCTTTCAATTTTGCGGAAGCCGTTTGAAGCTCGTCAAAGACTTCTTTGTCTGTTGCAGTTGGATCGAGTTGTAGGAAGTGGCATATTTCATGCCGCCAGTCGATCATTATCGTCGTTTTCGGCGTATGGGCTGTTCGTGCCAGGTGAGATGAGTCCATTGATGGTTCGCGATCTGAAATACATGATCGGTCAATACCAACAAGCTTATGTTCAGCAAACATGAAACCTACCAGACCTGTGCTGTGTTCCTTGTGTAAGAGTGGTTTGACGGATTGGCAAAGCGCCATCTAGGTTTCTCGGAGACCTAGGTGCTTGGCGATCTCCATTTGAATGTTGGGATGTCGTTCCTCGAAGTCTTTCACTATGGTTCCCTCGGCGGGCACGCGAACCGAAACGACGCTCCATCATGTCGGCAGCAATTGATCTTAGTTTCAGATGCAAGTGCAGTTCACTAGACAGAATTCCTCTGCACCAAGAAAGACAAAAACTAGAAGATGGAATTGACGCGGCTGTATCTTACCCATCTTATCTCAAGCCTGACCCCTCTTTTTGTGTAACCTCAGTCAGGTGACATTGCATTGAAATGGCTTCCGACAGTGGATCTGACATGCACCTGGACACGCTAGACGTCTTCCCAGTTAAGGCGCGGAATCCTGCATGCCGTGTCCCCCCTACCTTACCTCTTTGAACTTGTCTCATGCGGCTGAAATCCACACTTTTCATAACCTGGGATTTGCAGATATATCAGCTTGAAATGAGAAAGTTATGGGGCTGGTCCTGGTTTCTGAATTCCATGCCTCAATCGAGCGCCACCTGGAAGAGTCACGCAAGACATGGATGGAGACTGGGCCCAGAACAGCACCAACTCCGGGCACGTCAGCAAAATTAGCTTTCGAAGGGATGCCAGCGGACTACTTAGACGCACTTCAAGACCTGTGCAACAAGGTCTCTGGTCAGTCTGTTAGGTACCCCCATAGGAATTATGCCTGGCTGATGAGAAGATGACAGCTTGCCTCAAGGTGGATGGCCCGAATTCACTGCAAGAGCTAGACAGCCTGGCCCTTCTCTCTCCGGCGCTGCTCTGGATGATTCCAGCCTTTTGCTTCTCTCCTCAGTTTTTGGATCCTCTCGATGCCGAACAAAGATGCGTCGCAATTCAAAAGACCAGATTAGGCCGAGAGGACAGCTTCACGGATGACATCTGGGACAAGGACTTGATTCATGATTGGGCAGGCTCCGATGACTCTCGGTTATTAATGCTGCAGGGCAATTCTCGTACAACCAAGCGCTTTGAACGATTCGCCGTTGAGATTGTCCACGCCTTAAAACCCAATCAACCTCTTCAACCTGTGCGGCTTGTTTACGTCCTTAACCAGCCTCGTACTCGTGGGGACCCCACCCAGTTGGTGCCGTCAGACTTGTTGCAACAGGTTGCAATCCAATGCTTACAATACGTAAGACCAAAGGCGCCTGTGAGCTTTCTCGTCGGTATTTTCGGAGGTTTTAAAACAGCAACTACTTCTCGAGACTGGTTTGGTATCTTGCAAGACATTTGTATGTTGATACCAAGTCTGTATATCATCATCGACCTCGCCGTTCTCGGCCGAAACCACGAAGAGACACAGTCATGGCTAGCAATTATTCGGGATATGTTCGACAATTTCAAAGCATCGAAGACGGGATGCCGTTTGAAAGTTATGCTTCTTTGCTGCCATAAGCTTTGGCCGCAAGCAGATGAAACTCTGGTCATCAAGGGGCCACCCGCTAGCTTGGCATCTTCAAACCGGCAAAAGACTCGCAAACAACTACGCAGAATTGTGGCAGACTCGGAAGATACATCTGTCCGCCGTAATGAGGAAATTGAAAGTGCTGGTGTACCTCAAAGTTCGTCTTCTAAGGCCGAAAGTCCATCAACATTGGGTGGAAGTTCTTCTGGTCAAGTACTCAGTCCTACCCCTGAGGGACTTTTCCAGACCACCCATCTGGACATCGATCCGCCGTGCCCATCAGAGCCGGAGCATAGGAGTGATTTCAAGATCGCGATTATATGCGCACTCACCTTGGAATCTGATGCTGTCCAAGATGTATTTGACAAGCGATGGGATGAAGTCAAGTACGGGAAGATGCTCGGTGACCCAAACCAATACACAACAGGAGTCATAGGGCGTCACAACGTCGTCGTAGTGCATATGCCAGGAATGGGAAAAAGCAATGGAGCAAGTGTCGCAGCAAACTGCCAAGCCAGCTTTTCGAACCTCGGGCTTGTCCTAGTGGTGGGAATTTGTGGCGGAGTGCCTTTCCCCGGAAGCGGAGCCGAAATGATTCTAGGAGATATTGTCGTCAGCGATGGACTGATCCAATACGACTTTGGACGCCAGTTTCCGGATAGGTTCGTCCGCAAGAACGACACAATAGCCGGGCCTAACTCCGAGATGCGGTCCTTTCTCGCCAAGATGAAGGGCCGCCGGAATATGAAGACACTACGAGAACGGACTGCCAGACACCTCGAATACCTCAGAAACGCCACAGAAATTGGTGCAATAGCGGACTATCCTGGAGCGTGCAGGGACAAGTTGTACGAACCAACATACCGCCACAAGCACCAGGCTGCCTCGAGCTGCGAAGTCTGCAGTAATTGTCAAACGAATAATGACCCCGTATGCGAGGCTGCGCTCACATTGGACTGTGAGAGTCTGCAATGCGATGACAGCCACCTTATTTCTCGGCAGAGACTGGCCGTTCTCGAGGATGGGAATAAGAGCCAAAAGACCAATGCTGAGCCAATAGTTCACTTTGGTCTTTATGCCTCTGGCGACAAGGTCATGAAGTCAGGAGAAGAGCGTGACATGATAGCAAAGGAAGAAGGAGTTATAGCCTTTGAAATGGAAGGAGCTGGGGTCTGGGAGGGCTTTCCCGGGCGCTGTCTGGTCATAAAGGCTGTCTGCGATTACGCAGACAGCCACAAGAACAAGAGATGGCAAAACTATGCAGCTGCAAGTGCAGCTGCGTGTACAAAGGCTCTTCTCGAATCCTGGATTCCTTAATCAGCAAAAAGCATTTGTTTTCTTGTCCCAAATTTAGGTCTGTTGATAGATCCATATATATTCTCAAATAGTCTCAAACTAGTTCCGACAAAGACAGCCTGAAAGGCAACTTTCGTATTGTAGCATATACGGCCTGGCCAACACTTCGATAACGAATAATCGAGTTATACGCCTCTGGGAAAACTCCCAATTGAGCGGACTCCCCAATTTCCAACCAGCGTGGGTGGAAACACCCTATGCCAAAAGAACCACAAAAGGATTGTGATAGAGGTGACGGGGATTGAGACAGCCCAGTATATCCAGATCTTATTCGAAACTGCCCAAATACCCTCCCCGGCGTCGAAGCTAAAGAAAGACATGCTAAAGATGGCCGAGATGAACGTCGCGGGGAGGAAGGTCAAGGTCAAGAAAGCAACCGTCTTCATGGCCGCGCTGTCCTTTTGTGCTGCTCGCCCAATCTCGACAGATGTTCGTGCATCAGATTGTGCCACGATGTTGAAAGACAGCTGTATCTCGTTTTGCAGCCTGGCTTGGTTCGATGCAGATCGGTACTTGAGGCTGACGAGCATGTGTTCCAAAAAGAGCAGCCGGTTTCGTAGCTGCTTGGAGACGCGTCTTGTGCTCTTGTCAGCATCAGTGGCACCCATCACGTAGTCGGTATGCCGCTGCAGAATGCTATCTACCGTTTTGACGGTCGCATCGAGGCTCTCTGATACGTGGATGGCATGCCTCGCTATTTCATGAAGATGACCATAGTCGGGATTTGGGCGGGTTACAAGCGCTCGGTTCTTCTCTGTCGCCCTGACCTGGTCACGAATCATCCAGACAGACTGATCTTGCAGGTGGACGATCTCCTCGAGTAAGCCCTCATAAATCCAGAAAGGGTCTCCAAGTCTGCCGTGCTCAGGGACCTTGACCAAGCGAGATGGCAATTTCTGTTTGATCGGAGCGGGCGGATCAAACACAATCAGTGTCGTCGTTTCAGTCGAACGCATCCATTGGCTGAATATGTTGAGCTTGTGCCAGACGTAACTGTTGGTGTCTCCGTAGTAGAATTTGGTTTCGAAATATGCCCACGTGTCTGTTGTACGATCAGTATTGTCGTAGTCAGGGTGAGAGGAATGTCTACAGGGCACTACACACTGTACCCAGCCGTGTTTCCCACCTGGTCCTCTGTCTCCTCGACACCGAAGTAGCCATTCAAACTCCTGCGGGACCATTCCCACCAGATATCGGGTATCTCAAACGTTCTAGAGAAGTATTCTCGGCATATGTGGCATTTACTGAGTTTATCAGCATCTGCGATGCTTCGCATGCGATGTTAGTCTCGCCCGGATTTTAACTCAGATCGGTCAGGTTGAAATGAAAGTCTTACATGATTAGAAGGATGTCGAAGTCCGCACATATAAGCCCGTGAACATGATCCTTTTTTGTAAGGTCTTGGTGGTCGAGATTGACTTGCAATTCTCGCCAGGCAGGATCGCCTGTGGCTTCGTCAACAGAGTCCGTCGAGGTCTCGAGTCGGTTGGCCGGTTACCTCGCTTTCTCCATGCCAGTTCCAGCGGCGGACATGTTTTAGGACATAGCCTCGGCATTATGACTGGAAACGTTGACGCAAGGGCAACGCTAAAGTGTTACATCATACGTAGTGTGAAGGCAACACAAGATATGCGGAACGGGGCATCGCCTGGGTTGTGTTCTTGAATGTGGTTGCTGATATTTGACGCAAATCCAAGGTTCAGCTGTGGCTGCAGGCCTATATTCTTCTTGGCTTAGGGACTTGCCAGCCTGCATAATTAGTCACGAGACTTGACCCACACGCGATGTGCCCTGTACTACATCGGCATTGATCCGGAATATTTGGCAAGTGGCTCGTTGCGATGGTGAGCCGCGCAGCGATACATTTTCCGATTTATTCGAGACAAAGTTAAAAGTAACTATTGAACGCGGGCATCAGTATAGCTGCCCGTCTGGTTTCATACGTAACATTTTGCTGTAAGCTACGGCGTGTGATCACTGCATCTGCCAAGAGAAATACTAGGCAAAGTTTATCAGAGGATATCAGAATGCATATTTGTGGTATCTGTTCAAAATATCCGAACCCTCCAATGCGTCAAGTCAAGCATGCGGCGACAGTCTCTCGGGACGCGACAGCAGAGAAATCCTCAGGCGACCACTTCCTGCTTCTGGTGACAGATGGGACACCCGCCGCGAACGCGATCCCGCAACAACCTCGCATGCGTGACCTTGGTGCCAATCGTCCTCCGCCTGCTGCGGCTCTCCCCGTCCTCGAAGTTCTGCCCAAAGTCCGCCACGTCGTGCAACCGCGCGTCGTCGGGGTGCAGCACCTCGAGCAGGTGGGTGAGGTGGTAGACGTGGCCGCACGCAAAGCCGACGAGCGTCTCTGTCTCCCACTGAGAAAATGGCTCCAGGCACTGCGACGCGGCACAGTGGCCGGCGGTCCACTTCTTGGCCGGCTTTTTCAGAGACCCGCGCTCAGTAGCTGTTTCATCGCCGTCCTCGGTCGCTTTGCCACCGTTCGTCGTAGGTGCTGGGGCATTGCTGCCGGAATGGACCGAAGCTTGGTCAGACGGGACTTCCTTGGTCTCCACGTCGACGTGGTCGTCTTGCTTCACGACGACCTCGAATTTGATCCCCTTTCTCTGCCCGTTTCGCAGCGTCGCCTGTGCGGCCGCCACCTCGCTCCTCAGTACTCTTGCCACGCCTTCGCTGATAGAATACTGTATCTCGTGCTCCTTCATGATGTGTTTGAGGCCTTCCCTCAGGCCCTCGATCTCGAGACCCTCTGGGATGCGCCTGACTAAGGTAATGGGGTTGATCGCCGTGCCAACCTCCTCCAGCAGACCACGTATGAACCGCGGCTTGTCCATGCTGTACCTGAGGAGGTCCTCCCAAAGGTCAGGGTCGTCAAGGTCCCTAGCGAAGGCGATGGCTCGGGAAACGTCGCCAAGCCTGTCTATTATAAGGTACAAAGCGCGTTTCATCTGCCCGGTCTTGGAATACAGATAAACAAGTTCAGGGACATAATTGTGGTCCTCGCATTCTTGTACGGCCTGCCATTGCGTCAGCAACAGCCCTTCGCAGTCGACATGGGAAGCTTTCTGGGTATCTGGGTCTGGATGCAGGACTAACCTTTTCGAAAGCGTACGACGTCGACGACTTGAGAAAGTTCATGAGAATGGACTGGTCGAATTTTGCGAAGAGGTGGACCGCCAGGTCTGCGAACCCATCTACCAGGCTCTGGCTTTCCATTACCAGCCGATCGCGGTTCTCCCCAAGGTGCTCTTTAATACCTTCGCCCTTGAACAGCGCTCGAAGGTAGAAGAAAAGGTGGATGTTCAGCTCTTTCTCCTGCAGCTGTGAGATTACAACCTCTGGCCGGACAAGCCCATGCTGGGCTTCATCGACAAGAAGCGTGATGGCCTCGCTTGTGGCTTGCTCTAGTTCCTCCATGGACATGCTGTCCTCCTTGCCCGGAGGTATGCGCAAAGTTACAAAGCTGGGAATATCATCCGCTACAGCATCGGCGAGGTGGCTTTCTTTGATCAGCCGCATCGCCGAATCGGCGTCCTGCAGCTTGATGTAGCAGCGGAGGGCCTCTCTATGACGTCCGTCGGCTTCACACAACTTTGCAAGACTTCCCATGACAATGCTCCAGTCTCGGCCCCTGACCCCGTCTTGATATGTGTCCGGTCTGACATCGCGGTACTTGAGTTGATTCTCAAGAGCCGTCGTGATGGTGTTGACGTCGAACAAGTCAGGGTTCCACCTTTCTAGGAGATCTTTGAACCGCAGCTTATCGTTCTGGACGTAGTGGTTCAGCACGACCTCGTATATGGTGGAGGGAATCGGCGGTCGCATCGGCTCGATAGGGATAAAGTTGGTGATCTCGTCAAACCTGTTGGCGCCGGCGAAAATGTAGACCCACTTCTCCCAGCCCTCAGACGAGGTCAGGACTTTGCCAGCAACTTGACCGGCTCTCTCCCACTCGCTCGCTCCGACCAGTTGTTGGAGCCAGAGCTCGCCGATGCGACGCTTCTCTTTCTCAGCCAGGAGGTTCATGGCTAATCCATCCACTGTGGACGCGGTGTCATCATAGAAGTCGTCGCTGCTCTGCGTCGGATGGGAGCGGATTGGTGTCAAAGGCGACCCCGGATCCGCGATACTGTCCGCCGCACTGACAATCTCTGGGTTCTCGTCGACAAGTTCCCATGCGCGCTCATACTCATTGCGCCCCAGGATCCACGCGAGATGGTCGGCAAGATCACGCTTCGAAGCCAGAATACAATCATATGGGCTGTGGACGAAGATCTTGGTGCCGGGCTTCGCAAGGCTGGGGTGGACAGTCTGCACGGCTTGGCGTTGTGAGTATGGTCGGACACTGCCCGCGGTGCTGCCTGGTGCCATTCTGGAGCCAGAAGCTCCATCGTTGCTGTGCCCACTCCGGATGCTGGCCGCGGAGCTGAAGAGCGCCTTGCCAGGCATCATGGCGACGTTCCACATGTCTACGCCCAGGCCGGCCACGGCCTCAAGGTAGCCTTTGGAAGCGACAATGGCAGATGCCGTGTGTTGGGGTAGTACGCCGAGATGGTAGTCGTTCGACGTGAGCCGTTCGAAGCGGCTGATACTCAAGCTGTCCTTGTCGATCTCGGCTTGCGAGACAAGATCGATCAGTCTGAGCTCTGGTGGGGAATTGTTCTGACGCCGACGGACGCCGCCAGAGGGGCCGCTGCTGCTGGAACTCGTTGATGGCTGAGGTTTGTGGCCTTTTGCGGCGGCCTTGCCTTTGTGATGCTCGTCATCCTCGTCATCGGTGGCCAAAGGATACGCTAGGACCAGCAAGAGGCTCTGCGTGTATAACGAAATGCCGGATATGATGCAGTCCATGCGAAGACTGAACAGAGTTAGCGGAAAAATAGAAACGGTATAAGTAGCTGGGCGAGTCACTCACATTCTCACGATTTCTGCCCGACCAATGGTCTTTTCTCCTGCGTCCTTCCCGGCGCCAACACCGCCGGCGTGGACATGGATGATCCAGATATTACCGCCCCATCCGACCAGAAGCCTCTCTACATTTTGCTTCTCCTTGTTCAGCCGAGACTTCAGCTTCTCGGCAGCCGGCGAAGGCGGGGCGACCTCGTCTGGGTCCTTCTCCCTGTCAGCGGCGGGGACGGCCGCCTCGTCGATCCATTCGACACGGCCCTTCCACACTCCCGCCATGGTCTCCCACTCGTCGGTTTGAGGCCGGTCGATGTGGCCGATACGTTTCCATGCATCCTCGGCGTCATCACTCTCCAGGTGCAAGCTTGATCGCATGATCTTGATGCCATGCTCGTTGAGCCACACGACATATTTGCCGGACAAGGAGTACTTGATGGTGCTAATGATGCCTTCTCCGGAATGCAGGACAGTGTCCTTTCCGGTGTTTGACCCCAGGCCCATGGTCCCTAACCAGCCAGATGCCGTGGCTGCAGCTGTCCCCACAGTCGTGGAGGTACTTCGCCCGTGCGGTGCTCCAACCGTGAGGACAAGGCTGCCGGCAGTTCCACCGGACAGGTAAGTTCGATCGTTCTTGAAGTCGGGAGACAAGGCGACAGATTGTACTGGCCGTGCAAAGTTCCTCAACTGCACATCCTTGACATCTATGAGAGACTGGACGCAGACATTGCCGTCCATCGAGGACGTAGCAATGAAGATATTGTTGGAGGGCACATTTGGGACAGGATTCGGTTCTCGAGGCTTCCTCATTGTAGCGGCAGGGCTCGGCCCAGACTGTCTCGATTCTGGTCGAGAGGACGGGCCCCCTCCTCCCGCAGCAGCTATTGCCCGAGAGGCCACCTCGGGCCTGATGGGGTTCATGGGCGGTGGGTATGGCGACAAGGAGACGCTGGTGACCGAAGCGGAGTGCGCATGGTAGACTCGAATGGATTGGAAGGCAGGCAGTTGGATGACATGCTGTTATCGTCTGTTAGTCAGAGACGAGGAGACCGTCCGAGGGATACAAAGAACCTACGATATTGCCATTATGCGTGCCTATGACCATCTTGTCCCCTGCCACGAGGAACGAGCTCGTTGCATCCGCATTCTTGTAGACGCCGCCCAGATGCTGGGTCAGCCTGGCGTATTTGAGGCGCGGCTCTTCGTCGTCGTCGTCATCGTCGTCTTCTTCGCTCTCCTCAGACTCTTCCTCCTCCTCATCCTCGCTCTCGCCTTCCTCCGACTGGCCATCATCTTCTGTGGTCTCGCTGAGCTCGACACCGCCTCTGCTCCGTCCTGCCTGTCCAGGGCTGGCCTGCTCGTCGGCGGTTTGTGGAGGACTGGATCCGGTAGGCGCTGAGGCGGCAGAGGCGGCAGCTATGTCTTGAGGTTCATGATGGCTATCATCATGGCCTGCACCAGGCACAGGGTCCGTCATCTTGGGTCAGAGCCTGGAGGCCTGAACATGGCGTTCAACGTCGAGAGAAAGTGCGTGCTGAAGCTCATGCAGGGACAACGCAGGAGCTTTGAACAACTGGACCGGGGGGCAGCTTGGTGCAGCTGCATTGGAGCTTCGGCATGGAAACGTCAGAGGCTCCAAGCTCCCAGATCGCCGGCACTTGGAGCACCATTTGGGGGGAGGGGTGGGTCTAGAACCCCGCCTAGAAGGTGAGAGGAAAGGGCGTGTTATCAGTTCTTGGAGGTACTTATCAGCAACCGCGTCACGACGCGACTTCATTGACGGCACTCCTCCAAGGAGACATCGCCTGCCAACAGCATTGTTTGCTGACTATCCGGACAAAACTCCCCCCGCTCTTCACTCTGGCTGCAAGGCACAAAGCAAGGAGGTCATATCTGCCCCTGGAGCTGCGCGACACGACAGTCTCCCACTCGCAACCCTCGAAGCCTCAATGCCACAGACCAGCCGAGCCTGAGCCCGAGCCCGAGCCTCACCCCATGGAGCAAAGTTCACAAGATGGCGTCGGTCAAGTCTCTGGGCTTGCATCCGCCCCTAGGAATAGAAGGGCATCCCGTCGAGGGCAAGCACACGTGGGAAGTCAGCACCGACGAGGATGGCGAGGATGAGCTTTTGACGGTCGGGAACTGTGTCATCTGGAAGAGGGGTGGCTTGTTCCGCAAGAGCTTCAACCTCGACATCGAGAAGGACGAACCCATCCTCCAGGCCTTGTTGACCCGCTTCCCCACCACCGATACCGACAACAATGGCAACGCCTCCAACAACAAGAGCATGGGCCACACGGGACACACGGGACACACGGCACAGGGCAAGAGAAGGAACAGCGACCATGGCAACGGACAGGGCAGCAAGGACGAGCCCAAGCTGGCAAAGGCGCTGGTTGTGTTCCTCAAGACACAGGCACACATCTACTTCCTGTCAGGAACGAGCCACATCGTCCACATGCCCTTCGAGGTCGAATCTGCCTGCGCCGCCCCTGTCGGTGTTATCATCCAGCGCACACCCAAGACCCAGAACCTGGCCCCAGTCAGCCTCAAGTTTCCACGAGTCGCCGAACTCATTCGTCTCCTCATACATGTCGCCCCCACGCAACCAGCACCAGAGCGTCACCACTTCCTTCTCAGTGGAGGGGCTGGGCCAGCCAAAAGCCCTGCCGCTTCGCCTCAACGCCACCATGGAGAATATGTTCGAGACCCCGCTGGAGACGAGCGACTCGCACTGGCCGAGACTTGTCTGTCTGACAGACCCTTTGTTGGAATTGGGTCTTGTTGTCAGCCACTCCCCAGCGTTGGGACCTGCCGACTTCCGCAGCAGTTCTGCGAAATCACCGTTCCTTGATTTGGCAGAGGAGATCCTGCACATCGAGACAGTCCGAGGCAAATTGACACTAGCTGTGACAGCCAACCGGGAGGTCAATTTGTACACGGTCTGGCAGTTGGCCTACATAAAAAACGAGGATGTCTTCACAAAGCACCAGAAGAAACGAAAGGCAAAACCTGGCCGTAGGAGAAGCTCTATGCAGCCCAGACTTAGCAGCGAGGCCACAACACCCATCCTGCCATCTTTTCGAGAGAGCTTGGGAGCCCAGGCCCAGGCGCCCGCCAAGAGGAATCGGAAGAGCGAGAGGCTGGAGAAGGCCAAGCAAGATGACATCGCCCTGGCGCTTGGCGAGGAGAATGAGGGAGACAAAATAAGAAGGCAGTCCCGTAGAGTCAGCTCTCTGCTAGCTAGGGCAGATCTGTCGGCTTCTCACGAGAGGGCCACATTTGCTGAGCAGGCCATCCCTTCGTCCCACGCTGAGAGCCGTCGCATGACCGGGGCACGCGCCCGCCAGAGCGGCGGCCCAGGCCCCCTAAACCTGAGCACGACACACAGCATGCACAATTTAAGCCATTTTCTTGAGACACCCATATCCGACGACCTCCTAGATGAACTGGGAGGCTTTCATGATATGGGGCTCGACGACCATAGCTTCGACGGGCTCACCCGCGAAATTCTATTCACCAAGGTCCATAGCGTAGCCATGGACAATTCTAATGTCCGCTACTCACTCTCAAATCAGCCTGCTCGCGCCCAATCAAAGGTTTTTATCGTTGATGGGCCGCCTTTTGCAACTGACGAAACTGGGAAGCGGGACTTGCTTATATGTATACAAGATGCGCTGGATAAGCGACTGCAACTCCTGCCGCTCCGCATCGAGTGCCAACCAAGGCCCGAAATGTCAACGCGCGATGGCGCAGGGGTGAACGGAGACCTTGTGATATCCAAGATCACCCCGGATGTGTTACGGCGGGCTCACAATGTAGCTGACTCCTGCAAGGTTTTTGATGGAGATCAGGCTATGATCCTGATATTGTCAGAGAACACAGCGGGTCAAAAAGAACTGAGTATTCAGGCGCCATGGAGCGCAATGTCGACATTAGCCCTGCCCATTCTGTATGCTGACAACCTGGGAAGCTTGGAGTACGTCGGGACACATGTCAATAGGGAGGTCAAAGGTCGCCGTTCCGTTGGTGCCAAGCTGTCTGCCACCGATATCACCAAGATTCGGCATTCTAGAACATCCGGGGTGGTTGACCTCGAAGACTCCAGTGGCAAAACCCATCGCATTCAGATCCAGCTTCAACCGAGGAGCCCGCAAGCACGCAACGCGCTTCAAGTGTGCCAGAGCGTGTTACCAGTCGAATTCTCCGAAAAGCTGCTGGCTGGCTGGTGGCAGATTGTGAAATGGACTGAGGATCAGAACATTGAAACATCGGACTTGGAATGGTCGTCCCTGGTTATCGAAATTCTGAGCTTGTTCCTGTCGCTCTCTCCGGACCTGAGCATTACGACTTCGCGGTCAACGCCTCGCCGACGAAGGTCTGTTGATCCATCTGCGGGGACGTGGGAGAAAATGACCACAATCGCAGCCCCCAATGCTTCGGCCTGCCCGCCGTGGATGCAGTCTCACGCATGGCGCTGGATGCTCGAAACGGAGACTTCAAAAACCATACCAGCGCAGTCAGGCGTGGGCAACGAGGACTTCTTAACCAGTCACATTCGCCTTGCGAAACTTTTCATGTCTTCCGGTCCAGGTCAGGCTGCCTTCGGATCCGCCGGTTATCTTCCGACAGCCCCCAGCCAAGGTCTTGAGGACCGTGGCAGGGCTGCGTGGGGAATCGCGTACGGCCTGCATCTGTTGCTCGAAGAACAAAAGCTGGACGTCATGGTTCCAGAGTACTCCTCGCTCGGCCGGGCAAGTGTACGGGCACTCCTATGTCAAATATGCAGCTGGCTGGGATGGCACGACTTCGTGGCTCTGCATCAGTTGGGTGTGCAGGTCGACATCAATCCTAACAATCACCAGGGTAAGTGTGCAGCCTTCTAAAGCAGTCCTGCATATGCTGATACCAGTACAAAGATCTGTCAGCTCTGGGTCTGCCAGGCCCACCACGCCCAGTTGGAGTTTATGACTGGATCCAAGCACAACTGGCAGGCGATAAGAGCGTTGTATTTCCAACTCTAGCCGATGTCTACAGTGCTGTCACAGTCAGGAGCGTCAGCACGGAAAATGCATACCACAGATGGTCTTCGGTCATGCCGCGCACATTCATGCTCAAAAAGTTCCTGGCCTCGTTCTCGCCTTCGACGTCACATGTCGAGGTCGTGGAGCTTATGCACAGATGCGGTTTCACTGCCGACGTGCTTGAAACGCTCCCCGAAGCCGTGCTGACCCCACTGAAGGATGCTATTTCCATGTGCCAGGCAAGACCACCTTCTACTTGGTCGAAGGAGCTATTAGCACTTGTACACCGATCCGACATTGCCACGGTCCTCAAGCGGCACCACCCACAGCAGGCCTCGACTGCAAACGCGGCGCCTCAATCCCACAATGCTACAATGGACTACAAGGCGATCTGTGCGACGGTCGAACGATCCGCCGGATACGGCCATTTGCCCAACGAGTCCGCCGACCGCCAGGCAATTATACACGCATTATTCCGAGAAGATCGACGCCTCATTGAGGCTGAGAATATGTTATCCACCAGGCATCATAGAGTTATTCAGTGCATTTCTGAGCCCGGTTGGAGTGAGTCGGAGTATTTGGAGAAGCAAAAGGAACAAGTCACCGTTATCGCCACCAGCACTCTCGCCATACCCGCTGGCCGTGGCCTCATGCAATTTGGCTTGCGATTTCCCCTTCCGACCGAGAAGTACGATGTCATGGGCTTCAACCTTACTTGCCTGGTCAAGCCAACCAACATCCTTGTCAATGCGGACAAGTCCCTATTCGTGGAGGAGAAGGTCAACTGGGCCTTCTTCCACCAAGGTGCCGCCGCTGGACTCCAGGTCTCACCTCAAGCCAAGGGGATTGACAACAATTGGATTATATATAACAAGCCCAGTGGCGAGCCCAGCAACCGACATGCCGGGTTCCTGCTTGCACTCGGGTTGAACGGCCACCTGAGATCTATGGTCAAATGGGTAGCCTTCAAGTATCTGACCACAAAGCACACAATGACATCCATCGGCTTGTTATTGGGACTTGCTGCTTCTTTCATGGGCACCATGGACAACCTAATCACCAGAGTCCTGACCGTTCACGTCACACGCCTGCTGCCACCAGGAGCTGCCGAGCTCAATCTCTCCCACCTTACGCAGACGGCAGGACTCATGGGTATTGGCTTGGTGTACTGCCAGAGCCAGCACCGCCGCATGAGCGAGATCATGATGTCGGAGATAGAGCACGAGGCTGACGAAGACGAAGAAGATCCACTCCGGAACGAGGGATACCGTCTCGCGGCGGGCTTCGCACTGGGGCTGATCAATCTGGGCAAAGGCACAGATCTCAGAGGGCTGCACGACATGCGCTTGACTGAGAAGCTGCTCACCTTGGCGTCAACAAGCAAGAAGGTCGAACTAGTCAACGTCCTTGACCGCTCTGCTCCTGGTGCTGTTGTCGCGATAACCCTGATCTTCATGAAGTCTGAGGATCACATTGTCGCACGCAAGGTCGACGTTCCTGATTCTGTGCTGCAGTTCACCTATGTCCGCCCCGATGTGCTGCTTCTACGCACCTTGGCCAAGAACCTCATCATGTGGAGTCAGGTCGAGCCCACTGTGGAATGGATCAGGTCCAGTCTGCCCAAGGAATACAGATGGCGTCACATGCTACAGGGCCCTCGGTCACTGCGTAGCAAAGACATGCCCTTTTACTCCATCTTGGCCGGTCTACTGTTCTCACTGGGGCTGCGCTTCACCGGCTCCGGCAACACTCAAGTACGCGACTTGCTGGTCAAGTACCTGGACAAGTTTAGAGACTTGGCAAAGCAGCCAGCCGAGTGTTACGATGCCCAACTGGCGCGAAACAATGTCCAGATGTGCCAGGACGTCGTTGCGTTGTCTGCCGCGTCCGTCATGGCCGGTACGGGTGACCTCGAAGTTCTCAGGAGGCTGCGTTCACTACACGGCCGTGACGACCCGCAAACCTCGTATGGGAGCCATCTAGCTGCACACTTAGCGATCGGCGCGTTGTTCTTAGGAAGTGGCACCGTCACCTTCAGCACCAGCAACCTGGCCATTGCATCCCTGCTCATTGCCTTCTACCCCTTGTTCCCTTCAGGAATCCAAGACAACAGGGCTCACCTGCAGGCCTTCCGACACTTTTGGGTTTTCGCAGCAGATTCACGGTGTCTCGTCTCCAAAGACATGTCCACAAACGAGCCTGTCAGTGTGCTGGTCATCATCAAACTCAAGACGCCTGTCCGTCCGACAGGCAAACAGGAATCTCCATCGAAAACAAGACGCCAGGTTCGACACGCCTTAGCCAAACAAAAACAGCAACCGGTCATCATCCAAAAACACACACCATGTCTACTACCACCCCTCGAGGAGATCTCATCCGTCCGGACCGACGCCACGGCCCAGGGATACTGGGACCTGGAGCTCGACTTTGAGCACAAGCCAGAGCTGGCAGCCGAGTTCCGGACGAACCAGTGCCTGCACCTGCGGCAGAGGCCACTGCACGAGAGCGTCTTCGGCGCAACTCTGCGAGCCCTGGGACGCGATAGTCTCGTGGCTGATAACGACACAGCTGCCTCTTCCGCCGGGACAACCTCATTGTCGGGTGCAGGCAGAGACCCGCTCGAGTGGGTATTCAACCGGCCCGCGCTTTCCGGCCTCACCCACGCCGAAAGGGCGACGGTGCTCGACCGGCGGGGCGGCGAGGGCGGGAGCGAGGAGGCGGCCACGACGGAGGTGGACGCGCGCCTGGCACTGGAGAGTGAGCTGGACGGGTGGAGCCGGGAGAACCTCGAGGGCCTGCGGCTTTTGTTCGAGTGGTCCGAGGTGAGGGGTGTGTCCGGGGTGGATAAGCAGACGGCTGCGAAAGGCAAAGAGAAGGAGCCTACGGATGCTGCTTTTGGTGATGATGGTGCTGAGGGCGGAGGCTGGTGGTTGCGGGATAGTGTCATCGAGATGTTGAAGGGGAAGGCGTGGCTTGCTGCCTGTGAGGAGGGTGAGTGAGGGCAGCGGAGATGGTTCTATACTTTGGAGTCACGAAAGTAAAACACAATTTAATTTCAAAAAGATGAAAACTCAGTCAAGATGTCGGTCTGTCGTCGGTGTGGTAGCTCCGATGGATGTGACAGCAACGTCGGCACCACCCTCGATGTGCATTCTCAAAATAGTCTACATGGTCATCCCTGGTTACCTAGGTGGGTCTTCCGTTGCCAGACCATGGGCCAGCCCACAGTCGGGGACTCAAAAAGGTGCAGTTTTTGACCATGTCCACGGTCGAGTCTGCACCATAGCCGTGAACAGGAAATGAAGTCTTCTGTCAGTCGATTGAATTGACATGCCAGTCACGGCTAGGTAATATGTACAAGAGAAGGCCCCTTCAACTCCATCTAAAGCAGTGGTATATGTGATCCGCCGACCCGTTAAGAAAAAGCTCTCTCCAAAATGTAATTATATAGATGATTTTGTAGCAAGTCTAGTGTTCTTGCATGTGTTCTTGCATGGCGGCGACGTTTGTCCTCTTCAGCCTCAAGTTGCGGTCGTACTTGAACTCTCGGGAGCCGGTGTATGCAGCGAAAGAGAGCTAGAGACAGAGGGTTAGCAGGAAGCCAAACATTCGGATGGATGATGAGAATGTATAGTGGGACTTACCATGCCTACCGGCAGGATCAAGATGGGAAGCACCTCGACGGGTGGGGACATGGGGCTCTTTGCCAGCCTCTGGAGGAAGCCGGGTGCCGAGCGGGCGGCTTGTTGAAACATTGCTGGTGTGGGACGCATATTGGGCTTGGGGTAGTGTGAAACACAAAAGTAAACAGTGTTTGAGAAAGTGTCTTGATTCTCAATTGGCCGTGCCTGGAATGGTCTGAGAAGTATGTGTGTCTTGTGTGTTTGCAGCGGTGAGGTTGTGTGATGGTGAGACAGAATGAGGTGGCAAGCGGCATATCCTAGACCTAATATACATTGCACTCATCCGACACATTTTCCATTCCTGCCTACGAAATCTATCGAATGAGGCTCCTGTCCCGGTATTTCTCACATCGTGGCTCGAAGGTGGTTTGCTTTGCACGGTCAGGTGGGCGTGGATGGTGTGACGGTTCGCAGCCGCGCCTGGCAGAAGCATCCCACGGTGGCGTGATGCGCGTCCAAAAGCTGAAAGGAGTCGGCCCAAATAGGCCAGGCAGGTCAGGTCGGCAGGTCGGCAGGGCCTCGTCCAGAACCTGCCAGCCCCCACGGGCCGGGAAATGCAGGAAGGGAACCCCCTATGACTCGGGAATGGTTCGTCGGAAGGGCTTCGGGACCCACAAGTCATCAACTTCCCCGGATCTTGCTCGCCGTCACCAGATTGTCGGGTCGGGACCTGCCACCTGCCACTGCACGCCAACTCTGCATGTGGTGTGGAGGCCGTCACCAGCCGGCAACAGCTGGCAGCGACGACATTCAAGCATTTGTGAGTAGCTTTGGGCTCGTTATCGCCACGTCGTCGGCGTTGCCTGTTGCAGCAGGATATGCATGACAGAAATTGCACTAGGTGCGTCGGCAACACGGAGAGGCTTGCACCATGAGCTTCAACAGATCAAGCGTGCTCGTGCAACTGATCTGCATACGAGTGCTGGTCACCTTCCAAACTTCGTGGTCAATAACATGTCGAGTGCTTATCCGAGTTTGGGCTGGCCCCGACTGCCGAGTTGTGGAGACAATGCCCCCCCCCCCCCATTTGCCGGCCATGCACAGGGTCAGGGTTGGTGAATGGCCGACGGTTGACCTCGCCGTATCAGTCTGAACGGAGAGATAACGAGGGGAAGTGCAGTCTATTGAATGAATCCAGGACGTGGATTGGCATATGCATAAAATCCATGCACTCATACATGATGAGCTCCCACCGGCCCTTTACATGTAGCGTATGCTCGCAAACGTTTACCCGGAATGTACGTAGCCCATATCCGGCCTCCACCAGACTAACATATGAACCGCACCCACACCTTGTGTACCAATTATCTCGACTATTTGCTGACCAAGTTCGCCAAATCAAGGAGAACCTGGAACGACATGGACGGTCAAGTACGCAATAAGACCTACATTCCCCATTCCGTCTCCCACCGTGACCGTGCTGACCAGGACCAGAACATGGACTCGGCACTCATAGACCGTTCCAGTGCCTGCTCTGCCAGGCCAGGTTCTCCAGGAGCGATGTGTGCAAGAGACATGTAGAACGATGCCGAAGCGGAGGAAACCGTCGTGTGGGATATTCCCAGTCACAGTCTGATGTCCGCGTCCATGACCATGCTATTGGTGTTGAACCACCACCGGATACCGATAACTATGCATCAGGATCACTCGGCGCGCCTCCACCAGGACTCATCACCACTGAACCAAGATCAACAAAACCCAAGTCCCCCAATGGCAATGCCTTCCAGCAGTCCGAGCTCACAACCACAAGTCACCCTTGGAAGCCCTATCACTGTTCCAGTCGAAGGCCAGCCGTCATATATCAGCCCGGTAGATACTCGCTCGGGTCCTGTTCCGTCCCAATCTTCCCCAGGGAGCAACAAGACTGTGTACGTCCAATCCACTGCCCCCCTTACTTAAATCCAGAAATCTCTGTAAACTCATCTCGTGCTGTGTTAGACCGTCGTCAACAAGTACAGAGACTTACATCGCTGCCTATTTCGAGTGGTTCCACCCGTCGTTCCACTGCTTCATCAACCAACCTTTGGAAATGAGACGCCAGAGGTTCTGAAAAACATCGTCACCGCCATCGGTTGCCTCTACACGGCTCGAACACTCTCCGATGAAGGTGCCTCGTCATGTATGAAGCTGAGCAAAAGTCTTTGGGACACTGGGCGCAGGAGTCTCGCCCGCCTTGTACGTGTTCTGTGCTTCTACCTTTATGTTTTCCCCAGCCCTAACACAAACTTTTTAATTGTACTGTTTTCCCTAGGTGGGCTCTGACTGGAAAGAGTTACGGAGGACATGGACCATGCAGGCCTGGATATTACACATCATCCACGGTGCCTTTATGGGCAATGCTTCCCAGCATAAAGAGGCCAAAAAGATGCTCCGGACTGGCATTGACGTAAGAATTCTTTGAATTATTCGACACTGCTACTTGTTCCCAGAGATGATCTTGCGATTAATACTGACCCCACATAGGCTGCCCAAGACCTTGGTCTGTTCCGACAGACTGTAGCTACGTGTGCTTCTCAGCCCTGGATCCGGCCTCATGATGCGCCTCCGGAAGAGGGCGATGGGCGCACACTGCACGACCTGTGGATCTTATACGTCGACGAGGAGACGACTAAGCTGTCCATGTACACACTCCTCTTCCTGGACTTTCACATCTCGGCTCCCTGTAACGCCCGCATGTTGACCTCATCGCTCGACCTCGACTGGGAGCTACCCTTCTCCATTGCCCTCTGGGAAGCAGACACGGCAGCAAGCTGGTCCCAAGGCCTCAGCCAGGAGCCGCGTATCCACGCCTTGCTCGGACCAGACGACGCGGCTGAGCCCCCTTGCCCTAACACGAGGTCGTTGGCCCTGGCCACGCAGTCGCTGATGTCGGGGTCACCGAGCCCACAGCTCATGGTGGCTCTGGCGATGTCCCCAATGGCGACTCTGTTCGTCCTGACAAACATCGACGCCTTTGTCAGGGATTTTACGCGCTGCAACTATCAGATGCCACCAGCCCTCTCGGACCCGTCAGCCTTTCACATATTCACACAGTCGCAGAATAGGCAGGTCATTGCAGCACTACGGCATATCTCTCGGGTGGTTTCAAGGCAAGATTCTGGTGAGGGCAGAGGCTCGCCGCTGTATCGACCTATCTGGAGGGCTATCGATTGCATAGGTCTTGCGGTCAAGGTTGCCCTCTACAAGCCCGACGACCTCCTCATCGGCGGTATTGTCGATAGCAGCGTGGTCGCCGGCCTGGCAACGGCGACACACCTGACTCTGGGGCGCTACGCGGGCACAAGGCGGTCACTGGAGGCCTTGCTACAGCACAATACGGGCGACGACACCGTCATTATGATCCTCGATGAGGCAATGGCTTTACTATCCTCCATCCTATCCAGTGGCCCTGCGCGAACCGCCATGGGCCACTATGGCCTCCTACAGAATTGTCCTGGCCATCTGGCGATCGCTCAGGTGGGCCGCCTCGGAGATGCGTGCCCGGTCGGCGGATGGATCACAGGGACAAATCCGCAGGAGATTTGAGGCGCCCACGGTGATATTTCACGCGATTATGGATGTAGCCATGGAAGAGACCGCAGTGCCCGGCCAGAACCAAGGCCAGGAGGGGCTTGACGCCATGATGGCCGCCTCGCCGGAATTGGCCGAGGCGTGCTATGCGAAGCGGTGATGGGGTTCTGGAGGAAGAGGAGCGTCTGGCCCATTGGAAGCTCCATGGCCACTGTACTCGAGGAGATTATCTCTGACGAATACCCTGAGTCTGCAACATTTGGACGTAACCAAGTGCTCACGTACCTCGGAAGTCTAGCACTTTTTCCAAACTCAGTCCTAGGATGCAGAACATGTCCTTCTGCTCCAAGATTCGCTTCCAGCCACCAGGAGTGCCTTTAAGGCGCAAAATGCGTAAGTAATGAATTTCAAAATGGTGACGAGGACAGAGTACCTACCTAGTTTCTCTTATTCCTTGTACAGCGCCTCTCTCATGCCAGCAATGCGGGAGCTCATCGTGACGAGGTCTCGGTCCCACTGTGCGCGCAGCTGGCTGTCCCCGAGAATGGCCGCCGCTATTCGCGCACCAAAGGCTGGTGGGTTGGAGATGTGAGCCCGAGTTATCTGAGCAAGCCTGGACTCGACTGCTTTGGCTGAACTGGCGGATTTAGTTACAATGGACACATGACCAACACTCTCGCCTGCAAATCCCACCGGACCAGTCAGTATCCATCGGATTGCTGGCTCAGCCATTCTCTCCCAGGAGAAGACAGTCAACTTACCGTACAAGCCCATATTCTTGGCAAAAGACGCGCAGACGATCGTCTCCAGGCCCAGCTCGTCGACGAAATATCGGATGGCGAACGCATCGTCAGCATAGCTTCCAGATGTGATGCCCAGGTATGCCGAATCAAACAGCGGTAGGACCCGCCTCTCTTTGACGATATCGGCTATTTGCTTCCATTCCTCCTTACTTTGGTCACAGCCGCTGGGATTGTGCGCGCTGGCATGAAGCACAAGGACAGACTGCGGTGGCGCCTGCGAGAGGGCGTCCAGAACGGACGTGAGGTCCAGGCGGCCCGTCTCGGCCGAGTACTCTCATATGCAATCAATCGTTCCATTTTGGCGCTAGTGATGTGCAAATAACACACCACACCAAAATCTGTATGCACTTTTATCAACTTTTTCAATTTAGCTTTAATTTATTTAAAACTTATATGAGAAGAAAGTTGCTTCTTTGCTAATTTTTTTTTTATATTAAATTAAGTATTTAAAAGAGGAGGAATTTATGCTTAAATTAAAGTTAAAAATAACTTAAATTAAAGTTAAATTTAAAATAGTAAAAAGGGAATAAAATTAAGCATTTATATTAAAGTTATTATATAAGAGGGGTAAATATACCTAGATTTGCTAAAAAGCACTCCTCTTAAAAAATTTTAAATTTTTCTTTAAAATTAAATATTTAATATACTTTATACCTTTAATATTTCCTTTGCCCTTTTTAAATAGGTATTAAAAGAATTAAGAAAAAAGCAGCTATCTTTTAATATAAAGTATATTTACATTAAGGGTATATTTATTGTGTAGGAGGTAAAAATAGTTGAAAGACGAAGTAAGGTAGAAAAAACATAGGGTGTGTCACTTGCAGCCCACTAGCGTCAAAATGGAACGATTGATTGCATATGAGAGTACCACCTGAACTCACGGACCTCGAAGCCAGCCGCCTCAAAGACCTGACGGTGGTTCGACCAGGTTGGCTCGGTGATGTAGACGGGCGTGCCTGCAGGCAGCGTTTGGTGCAAAAAGGAGCCAGCCAGGGAGAGAGCACCAGTTACTGATAGGGCCTGGCATGCGGCGACCTGCGGGAGATTGACATTCATGTTCGCTAGCTACGAGACCGTGGTGATGCCGCTGCAACGCAGCGCTGACCCTTTCTTCACTGATCGCTGTTGACTTCTCTCCGTACACCAGCTGAGTAGCTAGAGCCCGGAACGATGCCAGCCCCAGGATCGGGAGATACTCGTGGTTCGCATCTCTGATCGTCTCCTTGGCTGCGCGGACTGAAGGCAGGATCCACGGGTTGCCCTGTTCGTCCTTGTATGTGCCCTGGCCCAGGTTGACCTTGCGGGCGTCTGGGTCCGCAAGATACAGTCGGGTCAGGTCGAAGATGGCATCTGGTGGGATGTATTCGACTGACTCGAAAGGGGAGGCATCGGACGCAAGAGAGCCCATGTTGATCTTGGGAAAGAAATAAGCCCCTGAGATCTCAGATAGCTATCTAGCACTTGGGCCCACGCGCAGTAGGCATCACAACTAATTGAAAGCATCAAAGTTAATTATGGGAGATATCTCAGTCTCTCTGGGCAATCACTTGGCCAATCACGAGACAGGCTGCCGTCGCTGTGGTCTCGCGCTATGGGGCCGGTCCCGACATCGTGGTAGACTGTCCTAGTCATGGTGGAGGTGGAGGCGGAGGCGGAGGTCATATCCCTGCCGAGCACCCGACGCACGACTGGCAAGCGGCAACCAAGTTGTGTGTGGACCATGACAGGTGCATGTGGTGCTCAACAAGGCTTCGGGTTTGGTCTGAGTGTGCGTGTCGAGATGGTGGTATCACACCGTTTATGATGGTAATTGTGATTCTGATTTTAGGGCTAGGGTCAATGGAAAGTGGACACCAAAGATCAATTCTCTCGGAGTATCGTCGAGCCCAGGTTGTCATAAAGTCAAGGTCTCTGAGTCTCGTCCCATTCGTAACCAGCCCTACCGCAACTCTTCTGCGAGAAATACAAAAATTATCGTTGGATATTTTGTGCTGCATCTTAAGTTATGGCATCCGCGACGAAGCCGCCATTTGGTGTGTGTACACCCCTCGTCACATTCTTCAACGATGACGAGTCCATCGACATCCAAAGCACAAAGACCCACATTCAGCGCATGGCAGAGGGCGGCGTCACGGGGCTAGTCCTGCAAGGCAGCAATGGGGAAGCACCGCATGTTACACACGATGAGCGGAGAGTCATCGTCCAGACCGCCCGCCCACATCTCGACCAGCTCGGCCCCCCCCAAGTGAAGCTAATCGTTGGCTGTGGCGCACCCAGCGTCCGCGAGACGCTGTCCTACATCGCCGAGGCAAAAGAAGCCGGCGCCAACTTTTCATTGGTGCTTCCTCCGGCATATTGGGTTGCTGCCATGACGCCACCTGTAGTGGAGGGTTTCTTCAGTGCGGTATGTCATATCGCCCGACGAGTTGCAAGTCGTGTTTGGTTGAAGGAAGCTGGCAATTGGTACTGATATGTGCAACAACAGGTGGCGGAAGACTCTTAACTTCAGATCCTCATCTACAACTTCCGAGGTGTTACCTCAGGAATCGACATCAGCTCAGACTCCGTCATCAGATTGGCAAAGAAGCACCCGGGCAAGATCGTGGGCGTCAAGCTCACGTGTGGCAACGTTGGAAAGCTGCAGCGCGTTGCGTCGGCGCTGCCCAGGGATGTGTTCTCGCCGTTCGCGGGCAAGTCGGACTTCTTCCTCCCCGCGCTCGTGGCCGGCTCCAAGGGCGTCATTGCGGAGCTGGCCAACGTGGCGCCCAAGACACACGTGCCGCTGTTGCAACTGTATCAGGACGGTGACCTCAAGGCGGCCATCGAGCTCCAATCCAAGCTCAGCCATGCTGACTGGGCGCTGTCCAAGGTGGGCGTGGCTGGTGTCAAGGCGGTTGTTTCGCACTTCTTTTCGTACGGGTCTGGTCGGGGCAGGAGGCCGTTGGGGCTGACCACGGTATCTGCTCTCCCTGACGATATTCTAGGGCCAACTAAAAAGGTTATTGATCTAGAGAGATAGACTAGACAAGTCCGCAATCATGAATATCGGCGACTTACTAAAACCACACACGAGTATCTTGCAGATAACTCACGCAAGAGATCTTTCACATAGTGTCCACGCGTCCTGGTGATGCGAGACATTTCCAGGATTGTGAGTCTGGAACGTCAGTGCATCAAGTTTTGTGAGATTGCGTGTACAGCTAGGCAAGAAGTGCTTCTTTCCGATTTGCGCGTCTCTGGGGCCGGTCTCACTTACACTGTATGCTTATCTGAGCTCTTATTGACGCAAAATTGACATCCCTGGATCACGACGACAATTTACGACTACCCGACTTGGTATAGTGCAGATCACCCAGGTCATAATCCTTGGAATAGACAAGATGAATCACACCCATAACTGGACAAGAGATAGGTGAAGGCCGTCGCGCCCTTCCAAGGTCGTGCTATCGGAAAAGGATGCCGCACCTGCAGCCTCGTGGCACCTGGGGCACGTGTGGCACTGCTCGCCCCGGCCACGCCATCTCGTGGCATCTAGACCACATTTATCGCGGTCGATCCAATGCACGCAAGATCGGGGACGCCTCGTCGCTTGACAGCCTCCTGGTTTTGGTCAGCAGGTATTGCCTGTTTGTCTCCTGCGGTGGTTTCTGTCCCGGAGCGGCACCTTGGCGACGTCTTGGGTGCCAGCATACAAGATAACGGAGCCTTCGAGCCTTTCGAATTTGCACTACGTGAGATTCTGAGTGGATGATGCAACTCAAAGCACGAACTGTTGGACGCGCAAGCAGAGTGGACCCTTCACAGCCTTGAGATGGGCTCGGATGCCAGCTCGAGAAGGCGTAAAAGTATAGTCGGGTTTTTTACAAGGTTACCAAGTTGGCCTTATTGTTTCCTTCCAAACACCTTATCTTCCAAACACCTTATCTTCCAAACACCTTATCTTCCAAACACCTTATCTTCCAAACACCTTACCCCGGGATTGTCGGTCAAATACCGACAAAATAGTGTTGGCGGACCATGACGGGCCTTGTCTAGAAAGAACCACAGCAAGTCCCGCTAATCAGGGATGAAAGATCAGGTCATCAAGATGGTGTCAGTAGTGCTCGTGCTCCACACTGTCGCGTAATCCTGGCAATGCCATGGTGAAACATCACAGTCATTGGTCAGCCGTTGACCCCCCACTCCCGTTCCTGTCGCCGAAAGGACTATAGGAGTAAATCGGACCTCACCCTCCGCTGTCACATCTGCACCGTCCGTCTTGGCGTTCCGAGTTTACAAGCAGCGGCTCTGTGCACTCCACTTGCTGTGTTGTTCTGGCCCAGCGATGCCAGCGGATAGATCAAAAAGCAAATATGGCGGCGCTAATATTAATCGTGCGATCTGGAAAGACTCAGTATAAGAAGAGTTGCGATGTCCGGGTCAGGATATTTATTTACTCTGCATTGTGCTGACATCACAACCGGCGATCTGCGAACATCATCTCGTCAACGGGTAAAGCAAGGATGCCGTCAGTCAAGTCGATCGCTGCCGCAGTGTGTGGCTTTGCCACTACCACTCTTGCCCACGGTCTTGTTTCAGGATTTGTTACGGATGGGAAGTACAACCAGGGCTACATCTGTAAGTTCTTCACGCCGTCCCGAATAGGGTCAAGTCTTCGGAAGCAGCTCCATGCAGTTTCTTCTGTGCCCGTGTTTATGCAACAGCAACTGATCAAGGAATTCTACTCTAGTGGACTACTACTACCTCGTGAAGAATGGAGGTACTCTCCCTGCGATCGCCGGATGGTAGGATCTCCCGCACCTTATTTTTACCCTGTCAGGCTTTAATTGAGACTCGCTGACACGATCCCAGGTACGAGGAGGCTACCGACCTCGGCTTCGTAGAGCCCAACAACTTCGGAACACAAGACATCAACTGCCACAAGAACTCGGCCCCAGGCAGCATCGCCGGCACCGTCAGCGCGGGCGGCACCATCGAGTTCCAGTGGACGACGTGGCCGCACGGGCTGGGCCCGATGCTGACCTACATCGCGCCCTACAGCGGCTCGCCCTCGTCCATCGACAAGTCCAAGCTCCTCTGGACCAAGATCGACGAGGCCGGCATCGACTACAACACGCAGGTCTGGGCCGCGCAGGGAGATGATCGACAACAATAACACGTGGACCATCACCGTGCCCAAGACGCTCAAGGCCGGCACCTACGTCTTCCGCCACGAGACCATCGCCGCCCACGGCGCGGGGTCGGCCAACGGCGCCCAGGCGTACCCCTTCTGCATCAACATCCAGGTCACCGGCTCCGGCACTGCTGTTCCGTCCGGGGGCACACTCGGCGTGAACCTGTACAAGGCCACCGACCCCGGCATCCTGTTCAATCCTTACACCAACATCACCAGCTACACGATCCCGGGACCGAAGCTCTGGACTGGTTAGGGGGACTGGTGGTTGATTGGCAATTTACTGTACATAGTTATCTTCCATAGCATTGCTCCGTACTCAAAGACGGAGCTGACAATGTCTACAACATTGCAAACGCGCGCAGTATTGACCAGTACTCACATATTGCACTTCTGGACATAATCTTAAGCCAGCCTTTTCGGACTTCCCACAGCGGCTGCAACGTTGTAGACTCATTCTTTGATCGATTCATAGGGTTTGGCGATTGATCGCATCTCGTCGTGGACTCGGCCTTGCGAATGTAAGATAGAGTGCACGGTTCATGGGGAGATTAACTGGTACTACCGGGACCGGGTCGTTGTTAGCTCTTTCGATGCAGCGCAATGTCTCCTGAAGTCGTCTCATAGATTATTTAGCTTGCTCTAGGGGCTCAATGCTTTACGCCGTTTCGTTCTCGGTGTTGAAGAGATTTTTGGCTCCGTCGGAGTAGGAGAGCCGGGTCTGTCCGTTTCAAAGTCTCCGAGACGGGACTCGGTCTCCCCGCCCGGTCGGGAAAAGATCCACTTCAACAGACTATTATCACAATGGTAACGCGTGCCGCTAAGTACCTGCTGTTCATTATGCATGGTTGATAACGTCCCCGGCCCAGATTCGGCCCACCCCCCGATTCGGCCCACCACATTTTGGTGCAAACGCACCAAAAACTACCCACTTTTCAACCCTACCTTATGAATTCTATATTAATTTTAAAACTCCCCACTTTTTTATTTATATATAATAATAATGATATAATGTAATAAAAATAATACAAAATCCTTTATTATATAATAAATTAAATATAAATTTTTAAGATTATAATTATAAAATATTAAAAACATTTAAAAATTCCTTATGTTTTATAACACTTATATAGTAATTTATAATTTATTAATTAATTTATTTAAAAGTTATTAATATTTTTATTTATTAATAAAAAATACGTTAATATTTCCCCTTATTATCTTAATATTTCTTAATATTAATAATATTTTCTTTTTAACATAATATATAATATAAATTAAATAAAGCATAATTTTTATAATATTTTTAAATGAAAATCCGTATCAAGTTATATATATAAAACTTTACATTTATTGGGATTAATTTAGATTTAAAAAGGGAGTTAAAAAGTGGGTATATTTTGGTGCGTTTGCACCAAAAAGGGCTGGGCCGAATCAGGGGGTGGGCAGAATCTGGGCCGGGGACGTTAAGCCGCTGAATAAACAAATGATTCTCATCATATAAGCAGCGCTTCACGATATCAAACTCATAATCGCCATTGGAGAGTACCTATTTGCAAGGCTTTAGATATTTAAGAGTTTGAAATCAGCCTGCAATTCAAAGATGTGGGAGAAGTTTCAACATGACAGGATACTCCTTTGTTTTCTTTCAATCTACTCAGCGGTCAAGGCAACTATTCATTTTTGGCCGCAGAATCACAAGTAATATTCCAATTAAACACCATGAATCAAGTGTTGAACCTTCTCGCACACCGGTAAGCCGGTAACAGTCCGCCTGGCCTTAAGATCCCGTCGACACCAATCATCAAGATGCTCCTGCAGCACAAGTCCGTCCGGAAGTTTCTCCCCGAAGCCCTCCAACCTAGCACCCTCAAAGCCCTCATTGCAGCGGGCCAAAGCCCCTCGACTTCCTCGATGTTGCAACCATGAAGCGCCATGGCCATCTAGGAGCCCCAACACAAAAGCGCCGTGGCACAGCTCGCAAGAGATCAAGACTTCATCCGCCAGGCCCCGCTATTCCTCGTCTTCTGCGCAGACCTGAACCGCCTGACCAACATCAGCGAGAATCACCAGATGTCCGGCCAGGGACTGAAGAAGATGGATCCGTTCATCATGGCCACGGTGGATGCTGCCCTTGTGCGCAGAGCGTCGGGATGGCTGTGGAGTCTCTCGGGCTTGGCTACTGCTTCGTCGGGGCTGTTCGCAACAACGCTCGCGAGATGGCGGAGGTACTGGGCCTGCCGCCTCGGACCTTCTCACTTGTAGGCATGGCGATCGGCAAGGCCGACGTGTCGGAGCCGGCCGGCATCAAGCCCCGGCTGCCGATGGAAGAAATACTGCATAGGGAGCGGTGGAATGAGAAAGATCACAAGAGTCTCATCGGTTCTTACGACAAGGCGATGGGCGAATTTTATGCCGAGCACCAGAAGCACGGCCGGAAGCCTTGGAGTCATCACATGGCTCGCATCGTGTCATCTGGAAACGCAGGATGGGAGGGAGATACTGCGACAGGTGCTGGAGGAACGGGATTTTGGTCTCAAATAGAACGCACTGGACAGCATAGTTAATACAAGCGTGGCCAGGACTATTTAGACTTGATTGTAACAGAGGTAGTTAGAGGAGCGGAGTTAGGTAGAAGACCTGTGCTTCGTCATAAATATGACGTGTTCGAGATAAAAAATTGTGACCGGGATTCCCATCGTTCTCCTTTCTGGGGCCATTGAGTGCTTCTCACGAGAAGTTGTGTAACATGCAGTTGCACTCGACACTCGGTCTGGTTCCCCCGACTGTATCACATCGGAACCCCGTTAATAATCCAGTTCAGGAGATGAGAACTCTCAATCTCCTTGGCGCGATCCATCAACTCTTGCACATCCCAATTGGACCAAACAAATTTGCTTTTGAGAAATTGGGCCTCTGGGGAAGCCAGCCAGACACAAAAGTGGCCAGGGAGCTCCGCTGTTGTGGGAGTGCTGTTAACGTGCGTGCTCGCATTCAGAAAAGGATTTGCTGGAGCACTTACGGTCATCACTGGTTTCGAACGTGCCCGGTGGACTAAGGTCTGTCTCAACTACTCCCGGCTGGACGTTGACAACGTGTATCTCTGGATTCTCAGCCGCAAAGAAGTCCACCATTTTCAGGTTCGCGCCCTTCGTGACGCCGTAGCCCGAAAGGCCGGGCCAAGGTGAAACGTGGGCCAGGGCGGTTGAGATGTTCAGCACCACGGCGCCAGGGGCTGCATGTGGGCGGAAAGCCTGCAAAGCGTTCAAAGTAGTCACCACGTTCATTTTGAACCCTTCCATGTAGTCGTCCGCCTCGTAGTTGAGGACGCTTGAGACTTTTGGAAAGAATCCGGCGTTGGAGACGAAAATGTTGATGCTCCCCACGAACTCCGCTATTTCTTTGAAAGCATCGCGAACCTCCTGGGCGTTGGTAAGATCCGCTTTCTTGCAAATGACGAGTGTTCCATGGTTGGCGATGCTGCGAATTTCGGTGGCGGCAGCCTCAAGACGATCGAGTCGTCGGCCAAGGATGGACACAGAGCTAGCACCGGCTTTCGCGAAGGAGAGGGCGATCGATTTTCCGATGCCAGTGCCACCACCGGTGATGACAACATTCTTGCCGGCTGCTGAGAGTTCGGGCCTGGAAGGGGATATCAAATCATAAGGTTTGTGGTGGTAGTTCTTGGTGAACGCCACGAAACCTCGCTGAGGGGCGTGTTTGCTACCGGACATCTCGATCAATGGTGGTGAATTGAAATAGCTTCTGTGATAAAGCTGTGTAGTGATTGATACTCTGCGTCCAGGTTCAAGCGATCGAAACAGTCTATTATATTTCCAGCCCGAGGACGCACCCGAGATCGCCGCAAGGATCGCGACCTCGGTAAAATTGGCCTTACTTCGCCGGACTTGAGCTAACTTGCCGTCCTCTCCAACCGGATCGACTTGTGGTTGGACTCGGAGATTTGACCGACGGGGACGGGAATTTAAGTTAGAGGCAGTAGAAATACGCTACCAAGCGCCTCTAACGCCAAGGCTTCACCGTTGTGTCATGCGAAGTCAGTTCAAACGCCGAGGCAGGGTGCTCCAAATGCCGACAGTTGACGGTTTGAGTCAGAACTTTGCATAATTGGTCATCATTCGCCGTCACAGACGCACAGATTCATAATATGGCTAGAGACGTGGGTGTATGGCTTATGTAAAAAGCAACAAGGCATTCGAGGCAATGAACCTCGGCCCATCATTTGTGTGCACATTGTACCCTCTTCGATTGGAGACGATCTTGAAGATTTCTCAGCGGCCGAACAGGGAAGTATGTATCAAAAACGATGAGCAGACTAGACTCAGCGAACTTAGACCTCGTGCTTTTGCCAAGAGCGCCAAGTAAAGTTTATTCGCCAACCCTAGCTTCCTCCATTTATTTATAGACTATTTGTATTCTTTGAGTTCCTCTACTAAGCCGGAGCGACAATGATTGTCCTAGTGGGACAAGAGACAATATACAGGGAAACCTGACAAAGAAGCCTAATTCGTGACCTCTGCGGCGTTGACAAAGGGTCCCCTAACTCTCTTGTCTTATTTGTGCGTGCCATAATAACAATACCAGCTTTTTAAGGCAAAATTATATGGAAGAAAAGTAGCTTTTTTATAGCATTATATCTTATATACGTTATAATGGTGTAAATTTAATTAAGAAAAATATAAATTAAGAGCTATAATTAGTTAAAATGGCGTTATATTTTTTATAAGGGTTGTATTAACATAGGTAAACTTTCCCGTGAAATCTTATAGGTTATAAGTAATTATAATTAAATTTGCTATGCAAGGCTTTAAATAATAATTATTTAATTTGCTTTTACAAACTAATGTTATGTTAAAAGCCGCTAATTTATATTAAACTTTAACTTTTATTTATTTATAATTAAATTAATTAAAATAAGGACATAAAGGCTATAAATATATCTTAAAGCATAAGTTTAAAATGTTTTAACAAACTTATTTAAGCAAATGCTTACCTTATTTATAAAATTATATCTACTTTTCTTTCCCATTTATTTTACCTTATTTTTCCTCTTTCTTAACCTTTTCCCCTTAAGTAAATCCCCCCCCCTTTTCTTTTAAAGACTTTTAAAAAAAATATAGCTAATATTTAATTAATTTTTTTTAAATATTATTTAAAAATAAACTTTAAAGAAAAAAAGAAAAAAGGGCGTAATTAAGATATAAAATAAAGAAAAAATATAATTAAATATTTACTTAAAATTTATATTTAAAGCTTTAACACCTTTAATAACGCCTTTAAAGGGAAATAAAGTAACGTAGTTTACTACTAAGTAATGAATATTACTAAATAGCGGATTTTTCTAATTTTACTTAACTTTTATTAACCATAATATTACATTAAGGTAAATAAATTAATAAAAAGTTAGCATTAATTAATATTAATTATATTTAATTCCTTATTTTTAATTAATTTTATTAATTTAAAAGCATTAATATAAATATAGTATTAATTTAAATTAATTAACTTTTAATAAGAAATATACATTTAATGTTAATTAATGTTAATTATATTATTAAAAATGCAGTTTGCTGTAAATTAATAAAATAACTATATTTATATTAATTAATGCTAACTAAGCTAAATTTATTACAATATAATTAAAATTTAATTAATTAAACCTTTTTTTATCTTTCTTATAAGTTCTTGCATTATGCTTAATTTTATTATAATTACTATAATATCTTTTAATTAATTCGCTATAAATTAACTCTTTTATTTCACTACTTATTTTATTAGCTAATTGCTTTGCCTTTTATTTTTCTTAAATAAAAGCTTAAAATTCCTTACTTATAAATGCTTTTTTAAATTATACTTAAGTTTTTTTAACCCTTTAATGTTTAATAAGTATTATATTAATATTTTAAAGTATATAAATTTACTTACTTATTATAATAAGTAAGTATGTTATTATTTATGCATTTTTTGCTAATTAATTAATAACCTTTATAATTAATATAAGGAAGCTTTCTTAATAAGTAAAAATCCTGCTTTTAATAAAACTTAATTATTAAATAATTTATTAAGCATTTAATAATATTTAAAACTTTTATTTTTAAAAAGAAATAAGGAGGGATTATATTAAAGTTTATAAGCGGATATTAAGCTTAAAAATTATAAAATTAAAGTTTTAAGGAACAATTTTAGCTCCTTTAAATATAAATTTAATATTTTTTACTATAAAAGTTTTATTATAAGCTATCTTAAATGCAAAAAAAAAACTTAAATTTAATAATATAATTAATTAAAACTTAAATAAAAAAAATTAATCTTATTATTATATATATATTTTAAAAATAAATATAACGCAATATTTAATAGCTAAAATAAATAAGATAAATATAATAGCATATTAATAATAATAATCTTATTATTCTTATAATATTAATTAAACTTAGCTAATATATAGCTTTTATAATTATTTATAATTAATATTTAATAATTAGCATTTTTCTTTAATTTAATATATTTATTAAAATATTAAATTTATTTTAAATTAATTTTATTATTTATTTATTTATTAAAAGTAAGCTTAATAACTTAATTATTTAAAAAGCTTAACTTTATTACTTAGCTAATAAAGTAATAAACGCCTTAAATAATTATAAATAATAAAATTTATAACTTATTTATATTAATATATTTAATAATAATTACTTATTTTTAATTATTAAGCTAAATTAATTTAATCTTTTTATATTTATTAATATATATAATAATTATTAATAAAATAATTATGCTTATTATAAAGTTAATTTTATCAAAGTTATAAAGATTATTATTAATAATTTAATATTTAATTATTATATTATAAAAAAGCTTAAATTAATTTTTAATAATCTTTAAATTTTTATAAAGGGCCTTTTAATAATTATAAAGATAATTAAATTTAATTTTTAAGTTAAATTATAAATTTATAAAGCATTAAGCTTAATGCTTATTTATAAGCTTATTATCTTAAAATATTAATAAAAGGTTAGCTATATTTTTTATATTAAAAAGATATAAAGAAAATCCTTAAGTATTTTAATTAATAATATATTAAATAAGCATTTACTTTTTAATTAAATTAAGTTTATATTATTTAATATATAATTTTTTAAAATTATATTATTAATTTATTTTATAGCATAAAGTTATTTTAAGAATATTAAAGATTTTAGCACCTTAAGCTATAAGCAAGAATTTAATATAATCTTTTTAAAGTATTAAATAGCTTAAATAATTAAAAGTATTTTATCTTCTTTAAATAAAGGATATATATCTTCTTTATTAATTTCTTATATATTAAATATTTAAGTAAGTAAATTAATGCAAAATTAATGCGAAAATTAAAGATATAATTAATATTAAAAATAGCTTATTTTATTAAAACCTTAATAATTTCTAATTATATTATAATACCTTTAGCCCTTTTAAATTAATGAAATTAATTAAAAATAAGGAATTAACTATAATTAGCATTAATTAATGCTAACTTTTTATTAATTTATTTATCTTAATATAATATTGTAATTAATAAAAGTTAAATAAAGTTGGAAAAAGCCGCTACTTAATAATATTAATTACTTAGTAGTAAACTACGTTATATAATAAAAATTAATAAATATTTTAAGTTAAATAATATATAGTTTTTTAATAATTAAGCTTATTTAAAATTAATTTTAATATTACTTTATTTAAAGGTTAAATTTTTTATATAAAAGATTAAGCATTTACTTAAGGTTTAACGCCATTAATATATAAATATAATAAAGAGTAGGTAGCTAAGAGGTAATAATTTATAGCTTGGTTTTTTCGATATTTTAGCGCTAAGAAATTTGCAGAATTGAGATAATCTGTATTTGCTTAAATACTCTCTAGTATGTCTGTATTTGTAGAGTCTAGAGCAGACTGTCGGGGAAAAGAGCGAGCCGTCGTGAGACAGTTCTACTATTTGGTTTAGGAGGCAGGAATTTGACAGCTTATTCTCGGCAGAACGTATGATGTGCCCGTCTAGTAAGAACTGTCATCATCAACCCGCTACATGATGGAGAATGATAAGGTGGCTGCAAATGAAACTATCTACCTGGATTTATAGTAGTATTTATGTGTGGGCCTCAATCCTATAGCGAAGAGGTTTCTCTACAGGCAGCTGGTCAGCCTGAGTAGTGTGCAAGATGATGCAACGTCCAAACCACTGCTTCATACAAGGTCATAGCTCCTGCCACAAATCTCCCCGCGGCGTGAAAGTGAGGAGCGGTCCATCGTGTGCGGTTGTGATAATATCAAAAAGCTGAAACTCGTCCTCCCTCTGCCTATCGGCATCGCCCTTGAACTTTGCATGCCCACCACTGCCCACTTCTCCGGCCGCGCCGGGAGCCCTTTCGAAGTCGAAATACCACAGCGTCTTGGCCAACATGATGCTGATTTCAAGGTAGGCCATAGCCTTGCCGGCACAACCCCGCTCACCCAGGGCGAAAGGTGCATGGGCCCGGCGCATTGTCCGCAGCCCGGGGGAGTCCTCTAGGCCCAGCCATCGCTCAGGCTTGAATTTGAATGGCTCCGAGAAATATTCTGCGTTGTGAAGCATGGCGTATGGGTTGATTCCGACTTGTACGCCCGGAGGGATTACATGTCCGTCCACGATGAAAGACTGCTTGGCGTTAGACGGGGTGGACATGTCCTGCTGGCGCCACAGAGTTCCTAGAGAAGAAGGCGCTATTCTGAGAGTCTCGTCGATAACCGCGCGTAGGTAGATACAGGAGTTAAGCTTGGGACCTTTGCGAATCTCGGTGCCAGAGGAGAACGTTGTGCGAACTTCAGCTGCGAGCCGCTGATACACGTCCGGATTACGAGAGAGGTAGAATGTAGCGCAGTCATTGTGGTCGATGTTGTAGTTCCCCCTAAAGGCATAGATCTTAGCTCCACGTCTCAAAACGGATGTCGTCCATCATCTGAATCTTACCAGCGGTGATAAAGAAAGTAGCTTCTGCCCACAATTCACTGCCGTGAAGGACGTCGTCGTCTCCCTCCCCAGTCTTATCACTGAGTGCCATTGCATAGAGATCGTGTTGAGCATCCTTTTCCACAGCCGTTCGTGCGTGGATCATAGAAAAAAAAGGATTTACGGAATTCTGCAACCCGCTTTTTCGCAAGCCATTTGATGAGTGGATCCAGAACAATCGACGTAGCGGGCCAAGACACAAAAAGGCTGACCCGGGCGTTGATAGCATCCATGGCCTCCAAGAAGGGTCGGTTGGTAGTCTCGGTCTGCGTATTGAGAGGGTAACCAAAAGCAAGATAGCAGATGATATCACCGCCTAGATGCAGACAGCGCTGCGACATGTTGGCGGTCTCATTCTGCTGGCTGGAGCGTAACAACTCCCGCAGGAACACATCGACTTGAGAGATGATCGTCGGTTCGAACGACTGCATGGATCGTTCTGATAATGCTTGGCCAATAGCTCTTCGTTTGCGACTGTGTTCGAATTTATCCAATGTATCGAAAATGTTTGGCTGGCCAGTGAGGCGTGCACCTAGATAAGCTTCTCCTTTGGTGACGCCCGAGTTCAGGTAAATGTCTTTAGAAGGTATTAGTTCAGTGTTCTCGCCGAGGCAGCAGGACGAAACATGGCGTCGGGTACCTTGAAGAGCAGTTACCGTATTGAAGCTCAAGCGATTTGGAGCCTGTCTCACAACTGGGCCTACGAATTTCTTATGTCAACGATTTTGCTTCCAACGGCAAAGTGGGATCTTGTACCATATTTCAGGTGGTTTTTGTATGTCTCAAGATGAAGTCGTCGCTTCAACGCGTAGAAACCGCCATAGCCATTTGTGATCTTTGCAGCAAGCGGACCAGGAAATTTCTTGAGGGGATCGAGAGCAATTCGCGATATCACTGCTAGGAGAAGCTGCATAAGAGATATTTTTAGCACATAGGACGGACTTGGAACCTGAGCAAGTGATTCAATTGTTCCATACCAGTGGACCTAACACTAAGGCTCCGAACCGGATCGCGTTGAGCAAATTGCTCTGTCCTATCTCATCTTGTGAAGCAATAGCCCAGTCCTCTTGTTCGAAAATTGTTGAAAATTTTCTGAAGCGTGGGCTTTGTTGGAAAGACTTGTTTTATCAGCTTGCTTCCTACATAATTCCGGGCGCAGGCTCTGCTTTCGTTAACACTTCCTGAGATCACATTAGATAAAGAGACATTTGTACCTCGGTAAGTGACACGCCACTCCAGACTGAGGCTGGTAGTTGTCTTTCCTGCAGTCGACCTCGGGACAAGGCTTGTGGCCCACTGCCCGTCGCTCTCACCTCGCCTGACACTACCCAGAACACAGTACCCAACGAGCCACCGAGAAATTCAGCAAGTGCAACCAACAAGGCATGATTTGCTAATGCTGTAGGCCCATCATCTCAGTTTTCGATAACATGTCCCCTGGAGAAGTGCACCGGGGCCACTCACCTCGCCAAAGGCCTTGTTACACTGACCGACGTGCAGGAGAGTGGCTCCACGGAAGGTGCCCGGAGTGTTCGGTGCCATACAAGGGGGATCCATTTGTCTTTTCATCACTCGCCGCAAGCTGTCGTTCGGTGTGCTGTCGTGCCTGCGGGCGCCTGGCCATCCACTGGCAGTGTCTGTGCCGCAAAAGTTTTGCAAGGCTCCAAGACGGGCCGAAATCTTGGGCCCTGTCAATATGATACATCATTCTGCTGCCAGTACCAAAGTCACAACTGCTTCACTGTGCACGGGAACGAGTCTGTACCGAAAGGCCAATGTGACTGGCCTTGGTTAGTGTTCAGCATCCGAGCACAGCAGCATAGGGCTTGTTGGCAGACTATCTCATTGGTGAACGTTGCATGGAGTGTTGGCTGCAGCCTCAATGGCTGAGCAGAACATAATTACTACAGTACCTGCACAATCATTAAGGGGGGGTCGATCTCCTGTTTTCCTTCCTGTGTATGGAGCCATGCGATACTGAGTCGCTGGTGGCACTGTTGGCGGACGAGAAGGGGGCCCTGGTTGCATGTCAGCCCCTGAACACTAGCTCCGGATTGGGCCGTTTCTCCTTGTTGGTTCTGAAGGTCCGCAAAACGTGCCACTTGGTCGCCGCAGCAATGCAGCAATGTAACCCGTTGGCGTTTTGACTGCAGTCCATCCGCCTCCCCCGTCCCCACGTAGACCGCTACGACTCAGTTGGTGGCGGCTTTCTCGGTCTGCAGATCGGTCCGCGGCCGACCAGCCTGCCAACCCGAAAGCTCTGTCTTTCCCGTCCCCCAACCACAACCCTATTTCTGAAGGTTCCGGGGTATGACTCAGCACTGAACCCGTGGGTGCCGCTGATCGAGGCCTGGGTCTTCACCATGTGCATCTGCGTTCCCATGGGAAATGTTTTCTTTCTGCTGTATAACCTCGGTCGTTCTGAGGATGCCGCTTCCGTGCACGGGGTATTGAACTTGTCCGTCAGGGCTGCCGGGCTGAATGGCACCGTGCTGCACGAACTGGATATTCTCGAAGCTCACGGTTTTCCCTGAGTCAGCGTACGCCCACCCAGCTTCTACAGTACGCCCACCCAGCTTCCAGCGTTGGCCCACCCAGTACAAAGAAAATTAGCTGCATCCGCACTAAAATGCAAGTATTGCGGGGTTCCTAATAAGCTAGGGTAGCTATTTTCCAATTTAAGCAATACTTTAAAAATACAAGCTTAAAAAGCCTAAAGGGCCCCAGAGCCCCTAGAGCGCCCCTGAGCCCCCAGAGCGCCCAGAGCGCCCCAGAGCCCCTAGAGCGCCCCCAAGCCCCTAGAGCGCCCAGAGCGCCTAGAGGGCCGCGAGGGCGCAGAGGGCCGCGAGGGCGTAGAGGCCGCAGAGGGCGTAGAGGGCTGCAAAGGGCGTAGAGGGCCGAAGAGGGCGCAGAGGGCGTAGAGGGCTGCAAAGGGCGCAGAGGGCCGAAGAGAGCGCAAAGAGCTGAAGTAACTTTTAAGTTGCAAATAGAGGGGTAGCTATAAGACCCCTCTAAAGTAGCTATGGGACCCCTTTGAAATAGCTATAGCTATGCTTTATTAATAACCTCGCAGTACCAGCATTTTATAGCGTATGCAGCCAATTTTCTTTGTACTGGGTGGGCCAACGCTGGAAGCTGGGTGGGCGTACTGTAGAAGCTGGGTGGGCGTACGCTGACTCGTTTTCCCTGGCTTCATTTCTGCTCCAAATCGGTATGCCCTAATACTCGGGGCGATGCTGTTTTGTTGCAGGCTGTCTTGGTCATACGGCAGCCACGACAGATTGTCGACAGAATTCTTGGGGCCACCGAACGAGCCCATCCGGACCCAGGAGCGCACAGATCTAGCGATGCGGCTGATGAATCCCTTTTGGCTGTCTTCGAAGGCTTTCGGTATCGCTGGTATGCAAAAGACCAACAAAACACAAGTCGTTTCCGCCATGGCCCAGATGAACGTTCTTCCGAGTGTATACGTGGCATCGCCAGACGCTCCATACGACTGGGTGATACAGGCATAAAGGCGGCCAGCGGCGCACGCGCACGCGCTGAGCGAGGCTTCTCGTCAGCGTCTTTGTTTGCAACATGCTTCATGCGCACCCAGGAATAGTAAAGCTCAACGTACAGTAGGCCAATGGAAAATACCAATGAGATACCAAATTTCCGACTCGCTGTCATTTGCAGCTTCCAAATGACCTTTTGTGGAAGGGGGAGGATTATGTCCGTTACTAGATTGAAGGTGGCACTGAATATATCGAGTGCCTTTCGGTCAATGCACTTTCCGGGCAGCCATTTGTGCCAGAGCTTTTCGAGAGGTATGCATGCTAAGAGAAGTTGCAATAATTCCGGATAGGTACATCAACACGTTAGCTAGCATTAGTATACGTGCCATCCAGAAGAATGAATCTTGAACGATGGGGTTAGCATAGTCCGAAGCCCAATTCAGGGAACGTTTCCTCGTGATCTCGTTATCGTATTGGGGGGGACACCGGGGGGGGGGGTGTCGAGAATGTTCTTTGGTGGCATTATAGTGGTAACACTTACTGCGTCTGCCCTGAGGAACGAATATACGCGTCCACTCTAGGAGAATTGCTGGCTTCATCAACAGCATGACTGAACCATATACAATTGGCAGGATGATGACCACCTGAAAGAGCCGTTGATGTGAGCAAATATGTGTTCACATGAGAGATCCTTACCTGAGATGTACGAGTGACATATCATGGTGGTTACAGACTTACGTATGAAACCTTGAACAAGGTTTTGACTTGGATGTCCCACTGGTGAACGAAGAATCCGCAAATGGTGTCATATGAAAAGTAAGTCCAAAGAAAGCCCCCATAAAATCCCTACGTCTGCGTTAGCTTGCCTGCAGTCTTTGATTGCCTCGAGTAGCTCTCCGGCTTACAAACGCTGCAAGGGCAATATCTATGTTCGATTGTCAGCCATAGTTAAGACACGCGCAGACATCACGCATGGGAGGGGAGTGGTAGGGCATTGGAAAATAACCGACGCACAGTCCTCAAGGTGGAGGCTTTTGGAGACAAATAAACGCGAGTAGGCTCGTAAGCAAGCCGCCACCAAGGCCAGCGATATGCACACAACAGCCAAAACAAGAGCCTCAGTGTTGTGATTAGTCGGGCTGTTGAAGTCTGAGACCACACCATCAGGAGGTGTTAGTGCTGGTCCGTTCAGGATTGCATCTTGCACAGCCGGGGGGTAATTTGGAAAATTCTCCATGGTGTTTGCTCCTCTGTCCCGATGGAGAATTGGCACAGGACCGGAAGTGCACAATACATTCAACTTGACGATTAATCAGAGCTGGTGGATGTTGCAGTGGGCGATCTTATAAGCACCAACCCGTCACGATGAATCGTCGTTACACCATTTCCAAAGCCTCATTGGTTCTTTACCCGCTTGATTCCTACCAGCCACTTCTTAATTAGGTGACGAGAGATGCAGATCAACTGCTTGGGCTCCAACGTGCAGGGCCGTCAAGTGCCGCAGCTTGCCCTCCCAGGGGCCCGAAAATGTCTTCAAGAGCTGCCCCAGCGGACGGACCAACGAGTTTGTTATCAACAAGGTGACATTCGAAGAACCATTTTCGTAGCTTCTGGCCGACCAACATTTCTTCTTCTACCACCTCTTTTCTCAGGTAATTGTTCCCACTACGAGTCGGGGAACATGGGAATCGGAATTGTTCCGTGTCATCCGACTTAGTTGCTCAAGCTCAATTCTCAGGGTGCTTTTGTGACAGAACCTAGGCCTGGGATAAGACTTTTACTATCTGAAACAACAGACACATCTCTGAGTCTCACTCATCATCATCACCATCATGATCATGACCACGCCTGTCACCCCTGCTCCTTAAACGGGATCTCGCATCATCTTGGTCCATCTTGGTTGGGAAGTCAAGCGGATTGTGCACGCATGAGTCTCTCCCGTCACCCATCCACAAGGGCGGCGGCATCTTCCTTTCCCACTGGTCGCGATAAACGCTAGTGTATTCTATGGGCTCCTCCGGGTCGACACGTTGCATATTGGTCTCGTCTGGGATGATTGGTAGTGGACAGGTAGACCCGGTGCCGGACGTATCCAGCAAGAAGTCGAGCAGGGCCATCTTCTGTGCATCCGTGAGAAGGCAGATCCGGTACGTGACCTCGTCACGGTCGGGGTGGAGATACACCGCATCCGACCCGGCGCTGCTGCCTTCCCTCGCTCCGCCCTACGATTAAAGAGAATCAGCCCTCCAAGCACCCTGTTCTCGGCCCAATATCCCGCCACGTCTGCAGCACCATGAGGGTACTGTGCACATTCGCGGTACCAGGTATGGCGGAAAAGCGTGGCAGGCGGCCCGTCGCGGTTGAAGCGCCACCATAAGCTGCCGTCGTAGTCATCCTTAGGCGGGGTCCGGGTGTGCACCAACTGTAGGGCTGATCCTGGCGTGGACAGATCAGAATTATTTTGGTACAGCAGCACTGCAACTTGATGCACTGAAATAGCGATAATCTCAATCAGCCGTATGCCGAAGGCTCTGGAACCGGGAGAGGCAGCCTGGAATGCCGACAAGAGCTTTCGGTATATATTTATTAGTAATCAAGCACAAGTAATCCCATACTCAGAGTGATAGAGCGCGAATAGCTTACCGGAATATCGAACTGGAGGATATTTGGATTAAATTCGTTACGGATTTGGCGGACTGTGTCTAATGTATTATCTTTAAGCTGTGTATGCTGGTGAATTGGGTGATCAAGGCAGATGAGATGGCCATGGACATCTTTAAAGACTTGTAGAAGTGGGAGGCCATCAACAATTTGGGCGTATGTGATCTCGGCTATCTCAGTGGACAAGACCCTTGAGATGGCGGATGCCACTGCATCGCGGTGAGGTTCGTTGAGAATAACGTCCCCGGCCCCGATCCCGGCCGCCCCCCCTTCCCGGCTGCCCTCGGCACCCATATACGCCTTCTCTTTAATGTTAATTGCCCGCTATTATAATGCATAATCCCTCTTTTATTAATGTCTTTAATTCTTTAAAGGCATTGCTTTCTTTTAATACCTTTCTTATCTTTATTTAAGCTTTATAAATAGCCTTAATATTAATAAAAGCTATATTTAAATTAATTTAAATTTTTTTTATAATTTTTTAATTAATTTTAATTTAAGCTTTTAATTATTAATTTTTTTATAAAGTTATAATTAATTAAGTTTTTTTCTTATTATATACTTTAAAAAACTTTTTAAAAAGTATTTATAATATAAAGCTTAAGTATTTATTATAATATTAATAAATAATTAATTAATATATTTTTTATAATTACTTAAGAGTTTTAAAATAAATTTTAATTATTAAAAAAGAACTTTAAATATAAAGAATTACTTAATAAAGCTTTTTATTATATTAAATTTTAATAATTTATATTAAATTTAATAATTTTTAAGAATATAATAATTTTTAAATATCTTATACTTAAATATTAATTAAAGTTTTATTACTTTTTACTTTAAATATATATTTAACTTTATAAATATCTTTTTTTATACTTTATAATAATAAAAAAGAAATCTTTTTTTTATTATTATTAATAAGGAGTTATATTACTTTATTAAATATAAATACTTTTAAAATGCTATTTTTAATAAAAAAATATTAATATATTAAGGGGTTATAATATATAAAAAATATATATAAGTAAAAAAACTATATATATTTAATATAAAAAGTATTTTTATATAAAGTTAATAATTATATGTATATAATATTTATTTATAATTAATAATTATTATTTAAAAGGGGTTAAGGGATAATTTAAAAAATAAATACTTTTTTAAGCTATTTAATAATTATTCTTTTTTTTATTTACTTTTTTTTATTATAATAAATTATTAATTATTATAATCTTTAAGGGTAATAAGAAATTATTATTATTATATGCTAAGTTCCTTAAATATAATTAAAGGATTAAAAAACCTATTTATAATAAATATATATTTTATAAAAAAAGTTTATACTTTTAAATTAAAGTTCTTTTATAGCAAAAAGTTATTATTTAAATAGCTAAAAATAAGGGCATTTTTTAAATAATTTTTTATTAACCCTTTCTTATTAATATTTTAATAATAAGTTAATTAAATAAACTTAATAATAAGTAGCTAAAGAAAATTAAATTAAGATTTAATATTTTTTTTAATAATTAATTAAAAATAAATAGCCTTTATATATTAACTCTTTTAGCTTTTAAAAATAAGGTAATAAAAAAAAAGGCCCTTAGCTAATTCTTTTTAAAGAAAGAATAATTTTTATTTAAAAAGGTTAATTAAGCTTTTAAAACCCTTATTTTAAATTATATTAATATTAATTTTAAGCTATTTTAATTAATTATAAATAAAGCTAATAAAGCCTTTTAATAATTAAAAAAAAGCCTTTAAGAATTAATAATAATATAATAACTTTAAATATTATTAAAGCAATTAAATAATATAGCTTAAGAAATATATTATATTTTAAAAGCTTATTAAATTAATATTTTATTTTTTATAATAATAAAGGCATTAATAAAATTATTTTTTAAGTATTACTTTATAATAAGGAAAATAATATTTAGGAGAAGTTTAATAATTAAAAAAAAATTCCTTATAAAGATATTAAGGAGTTAATATAGGGTGGGTATAAATGCATTTATGCGCGTATGCGGGTGTGGGCCGGCCGGGATTAGGGGGTGGCCGGGATCGGGGCCGGGGACGTTATTGATACTCGCTTTGCGGAATCTGATGTCGGTTTCGTCCGCACGGGACGGCTGCGAATCCATTGTGTTCTTAAAGTGAGGGGTAATCACTCAACGCATAGTTAGGGAAAGTTTCAGGGCTTCGCGGAGTTATGTGACATGAACAGGGTCGCATGAGCCAGATATGTGTAGTCGGGAAGCGCCTCCAGAATTTGTTGCTGGTGCCCGGTGATCGACAACCTAGGTTGAGTCACCTTGTGTTGGTTACAGGTGAGACTCGATCGGTTGGCCAAAACATGCCATTTTATAGCCGTAGCAATGGACCAAGGTAACTTTGGGCGGTCCAATTGCAGCTGTTCAATTTACAAGCCCGTCCAGTCGTCTCCCCGACCCTTCGCAAGTTGGCCCCTACAGAACCCATGTGATCAGTTGCTGCCCGTGGATCGCCCCGCGGCAGAGCAACCTGCCTGCCTGGGCCGCCCAAGCTCACGCGCAACTACCACCAGGTATTGGAAATGCAAGGCACTCAGACAGAGCTGGTATAACAGCCGGCACTCTCATTTCGAAAATAAAAGAAAAATAAAAAGAAAAGGAAAGACAAGAAAGACTTTTCTGCTTTGCACCGTGTTGACAGGAGATGGACAATGTGTACCAGACAGAGGCTAGGAGGCACTTGTGACTCCTTGGATGCTTGGCATACACATAGAAGCAACTTATCGCCTTGTATCCGTCGTGGAAACCATATCTTCCGTGTACTCAGCCCTCATGTAAACCCCGCCTCACTTGAAACTTTGAACCCACCAGGGACTCCCTTCTGGAAAATACCTTCTGGGTTGTATTTCTTGCTCGTCTCCCGCAGGAGACCTTGGTTCGCGGCACCATAGGAGCCGATCGGATCCTGAAAGTCAAATGCGTAGTTAAGGTACACGAAGGGGACCGCCTGACCCCGCGAAGCTGCATCCCGTTCAATGGTCTTGAGAATGCCTCTGGTGACTCTGAGAATGACTTTGTCTTCGCTAGCGTTATTCCAGTACAGCAACAACAACACCGACACAAGTGGGCCATCAGCGGGATCCAGGCCTGTGCAGTTACCTCCTTCAGAGATGCATTTTTCCAGCGGAGAGATGGGATATGGCTGCAGAGTAAGAGAACGGACGAGACCGTCCATGTGTTTGATACCCTCGATGGCCGAGGAGAAGGTGTCGGCTGCTGTGGTTAGGGTTGGAATATCAGCCTTAACCGTTGTGTTCATGTAACTGTACCGGGGATGTGGGGTCCTTCTAAACGGTTATTAAGCGGTGCAGTTATCGCTCAGGGGGTTTAAACCGCGGGCATTTAGGAGGGGAAGTTAAACCATTTATTCTTTTAAGTGGTTTAAAATTTTTAAGCAGTTTAAACTATATTAATAGTTAATAATTTAGCTATATATAACGTAGTTTATTAGTAAGTAACGAATATTAATAAGTAGCGGATTTTTATAACTTTACTTAACTTTAATTAATATTAATATTACCTTAAGAATAATAAATAAATAAAAAGTTAATATTAATTAATGCTAATTACTTTTAATTCCTTATTTTTAATTAATTTAATTAATTTAAAATAATTAATATAAATATAATATAAGTTTAAAATAAGTAACTTTTTATAAAAATTTATATTTTATATTAAATAACGCTAATTATATTATTAAAAATATAATTTATTATAAATTATTAAATTAAATATATTTATATTATTTAATATTAATTAAGCTAAATTTATTATAATATAATTAAAATTTAATTAACTTAATTTTTCTTTATCTTTTTTATAAGTTTTTATATATTATATTTAATTTTATTATAATTATTATATTATTATTTAATTAATTTATTATAAATTATTTCCTTAATATTATTATTTATTTTATTAATTAATTACTTTTCTTTTTATTTTTTTTAAATAAAAACTTAAGATTTCTTAATAATAAATACTTTTTTAAATTATATTTAAATTCTTTTAACTCTTTAATATTTAATAAATATTATATTAATATTCTTAAAAATATAAACTTAATCTTTTAAAATAATAAGTTTATATATTATTATTTATATATTTTTTATTATTTAATTAATAGCTTTTATAATTAATATAAAAAAGTTTTTTTAATAAATAAAAGTTTTATTTTTAATAAAGCTTAATTACTTAATAATTTATTAAGCATTAAATAATATTTAAAACTTTTAATATTAAAGAAAAATAAAAAGGATTTATATAGGAATTTATAAGTATATATTAAGCTTAATAATAATAAAATTTAAATCTTAAGGTAAGATTTTAATTCTTTTAAATATTACCTTAATATTATTCTTTATAAAAGTTTTATTATAAATTATTATAAATATAAAAAAAAACTTAAACTTAATAATATAATTAATAAATATTTAAATAAAAAAATTAATTTAATTATTATATATATACTTTAAAAATAAATATAATATAATATTTAATAATTAAAATAAATAAATAAAAAATAATAATATATTAATAAAAATAATATTATTATTTTTATAATATTAATTAAACTTAGCTAATATATAATTTTTATAATTATTTAATATTAATATTTAATATATATTTTTTATTTATTACTTAATATATTTATTAAAATATTAAATTTATTTTAAATTAATTTTATTATTTATTTATTTATTTAAAGTAAGTTTAATAACTTAATTATTTAAAAAACTTAACTTTATAACTTAGCTTATAAAATAATAAGTACTTTAAATAATTATAAATAATAAAATAAATTAACCTTTTATATTAATATATTTAATAATTATAACTTATTTTTAATTATTAAGCTAAGTTAATTTAACGTAATTTATTATTAAGTAATAAATATTATTAAGTAGCGGATTTTTTTAACTTTATTTAACTTTTATTAATTATAATATTATATTAAAGTAAATAAATTAATAAAAAGTTAGCATTAATTAATATTAATTATATTTAATTCCTTATTTTTAATTAATTTTATTAATTTAAAGGGGTTAAAAGTAATATAATATAATTAAAAATTATTAAGATTTTAATAAAATAGGCTATTTTTAATATTAATTGCGTTTTTAATTTTTATATTAATTTTGCATTAATTTATTTACTTAAATATTTAATATATAAAAAATTAATAATAAAAATATATATTCTTTATTAAAAAAGATAAAATATTCTTAGCTATTTAAGCTATTTAATACTTTAAAAAAAGTTATATTAAATTCTTGCTTATAGCTTAAGCTATTAAAATTTTTAATATTCTTAAAATAACTTTATATTATAAAATAAATTAATAATATAATTTTAAAGAATTATATATTAAATAATATAAACTTAATTTAATTAAAAAGTAAATACTTATTTAATATATTATTAATTAAAATATTTAAGGATTTTTTTTATAACTTTTTAATATAAAATATATAGCTAACTTTTTATTAGCATTTTAAGATAGCAAGCTTATAAATAAGCATTAAGCTTAATGCTTTATAAATTTATAATTTAATTTAAAAATTAAGTTTAATTATTCTTATAATTATTAAAAAGCCCTTTATAAAGATTTAAAAATTATTAAAAATTAATTTAAGCTTTTTTATAATATAATAATTAAGTATTAAATTATTAATAATAATCTTTATAACTTTAATAAAATTATCTTTATAATAAATATAATTATTTTATTAATAATTATTATATATATTAATAAGTATAAAAAGGTTATATTAATTTAACTTAATAATTAAAAATAAATAATTATTATTAAATATATTAATATAAATAAGTTATAAATTTTATTATTTATAATTATTTAAAATGCTTATTACTTTATTAGCTAAGTAATAAAGTTAAGCTTTTTAAATAATTAAATTATTAAGCTTACTTTTAATAAATAAATAAATAATAAAATTAAGTTAAAAAAAATATTAATTATTAAATATTAATTATAAATAGCTATAAAAGCTATATATTAATTAAGTTTAATTAATATTATAAGGATAATAAAATTATTATTATTAATATATTATTATATTTATTTTATTTATTTTATTTATTTTAATTATTAAATATTATATTATATTTATTTTTAAAATATATATATAATAATAAAATTATTTTTTTATTTAAGCTTTTATTAATTATATTATTAAATTTAAATTTTTTTTTTATATTTAAAGTAACTTATAATAAAACTTTTATAATAAAAAATATTAAGTTTATATTTAAAGAAATTAAAATCTTTCCTTAAAACTTTAATTTTATAATTTTTAAATTTAATATTTACTTATAAACTTTAATATAATTCCTTTTTATTTCTTTTTAAAAATAAAAGTTTTAAATATTATTAAATGCTTAATAAATTATTTAATAATTAAATTTTATTAAAAATAAGATTTTTATTTATTAAAAAAGCTTTCTTATATTAATTATAAAAATTATTAATTAAATAATAAAAAATATATAAATAATAATAAATAAACTTATTATTTTAAAACATTAAGTTTATATTTTTAAAAATATTAATATAATATTTATTAAATATTAAAAAGTTAAAAAAACTTAAATATAGCTTAAAAAATACTTATTATTAAGGAATTTTAAGCTTTTATTTAAAAGAAATAAAAGGAAAAGTAGCTAATTAATAAAATAAATAATAATATTAAAAAAGTAATTTATAATAAATTAATTAAATAATAATATAATAATTATAATAAAATTAAATATAATATAAAAACTTATAAAAAAAATAAAAAAAGATTTAATTAATTAAATTTTAATTATATTATAATAAATTTAATTTAATTAATATTAATTAATATAAATATAGTTATTTTATTAATTTATAATAAATTATATTTTTAATAATATAATTAATATTAATTAATATTAAATATATATTTCTTATTAAAAGTTAATTTATTTAAATTAATATTATATTTATATTAATGCTTTTAAATTAATAAAATTAATTAAAAATAAAGAATTAAATATAATTAACATTAATTAATATTAACTTTTTATTAATTTATTTCTCTTAATATAATATTATAATTAATAAAAGTTAAGTAAAGTTAAAAAAATCTATTACTTAATAATATTTATTATTTAATAATAAATTACATTAACCTTTTTATACTTATTAATAAATATAATTATTATTAATATAATAATTATATTTATTATAAAGCTAATTTTATTAAAATTATAAAAATTATTATTTATAATTTTATATTTAGCTATTATATTATAAAATAACTTAAATTAATTTTTAATAATCTTTAAATTTTTATAAAAAGCCCTTTAATAATTATAAAAATAATTAAACTTAATTTTAAAGATAAATTATAAATTTATAAAGCATTAAGCTTAATGCTTATTAATAGGTTTAATATTATATAATATTAATAAAAAGTTAGCTATACTTTTTATATTAAGAAATTATAAAAAAAATCCTTAAGCATTTTACTTAATAATATATTAAATAAGTATTTATTTTTTAATTTAATTAAGTTTATATATATTAATGCATAATTTTTTATAAAAGCATTATTAATTTATCTTATAATAAAATATAATTTTAAAGATATAAAAGATTTTAATGGCTTAAATTATAAATAAGGGTTTTATATTATTTTTTTTAAATTTTTAAATTATTTAAATAATTAAAAGGATTTTATTTTCTTTAAATAAAGGATATATTAATAATTATTAATTTTTAATATATTAAATATTTAAATAAATAAATTAAAATAAAATTAATATAAAAAACTAAGATATAATTAATATTAAAATAAAACCTCTTTATTAAAAGTTAATTACTTTAAACTTTAATATAATTACTTTTAATTACTTTAAATTAATTAAATTAATTAAAAATAAGGAATTAAAAGTAGTTAATATTAATTAATACTAACTTTTTATTTATTTATTAGCCTTAAGGTAATGCTAATATTAGCTAAAGTTAAGTAAAGTTATAAAAGTTCACTACTTATTAATATTCACTACTTATTAGTAAACTATATTAAGTAAGTTTAGCATAATTTATTTATTATTTAAGTAAAAGGAGGAAGTTATTCCTTTTATATTATTAACTTAATTAGCAAAGCAAAAGGAAAGGAAAGGGAATTCTAAAAAGAAGCTTTAAATATAAAAGCAAAAGCAAAAGTAAAAGGCAAAGGTAAAGGCAAAGGCAGAGGTAAAATATAGCTTAAAATTTAATTCTTTTTTTTTAAATAAGTTTAATCTTAAGGCTTTCCAAGGCTATTTACTTCTTTTAACTATTCCTTCCTTTTAAATATTTAAGCCCCTTTAAACCGCTTAATAAACCGCTTAAGGATTTTAAACCATTTAAAAATCTAAACGGTCCAACTTCCCCTCCCCATTTTAAACCGCTTACCTGCCCCCAGTCTGGCCGGTACAGAAGCGCACCTGTTTATGAGAGGTCAATGGCAAACAACTACTTAGAAACATCTTATACAAGATGGCAAGAGAAACGGTGAGGGTACCTGATTCCATCCATGGCCATGGACGCTTGCTCAGCAGCGGCATCTTTCATGTTAGTCATACGAAAAGAACTCATCAGAAGCTGCTAGTGATTCGAATAGTTGAATAGTGTGAGACGGGTCAACATACTTCAGAACTCCACTGGCATTGACAAAGATGTTGGCTTTGTCTTCGGTGATGGCATCAGGGTCGTCGCCCTTCTGGATCTTGACGTGCCACATCTGATCCTCCTCGTTCCAGTAGGCACCCACCACTCTGTGGTTTAGCCGTATGTATTTGTTCAAGTCAAACTTCTCCGCCACATCCTTGAAATACTGGAGGGTCTCCGGGGCGCCTGAATAGCTTCAAGAGAGACCAGGTTCAGTTCTCCTTCACCTTCACCTTCGCAAGTCCGCACGGAATATCTGGACACAGGAAGGAGCGGACTCACAAGGACGTCCACTCACTGGGCGGAGCCCATGAGAACTGATAGTTCACGGAAGGGATATCGCAGCCACACCCAGGGTACATGTTCTCATACCAGGAACCTCCGATGGAAGGATTCTTCTCGTAGCATACCAATTCGAGGTCCAGAGGGCTTATGTCAATCTCGTGGGCGAGGTTGAGCGCACTGGCGCCGGCACCCAGGCAGATGATGCGGAGTTTCCTTCCGCTCCGGCTAGGCTTCTCAAGGACCTGGGACTCGGGCTTGGCGGCGGCCATGTCCGGGGTGTAGTCGACGGAACCCATAGCTTATTCGTGTCCAGTTTCTAGGCACGGAGTGGGTTCGTGTAAATGTTGAGTCTTTTCAGAGTTGTCGTGGGATGACACAACAGACATACACTGAAGTTGAAGAATATTGAATAGGACGATGTGATAGAGTATTAAAGGGTGTGGGCGGTTGATACTCCAGAACTACTTGCAATTTGCAGCAGGTGGCTTTACTGGCTTCCTACAATATGAGTTCTATTTTCCGAGCAATTATGGCATCTTGCTGGCGGAGCTCCAGCTGTAAAGGAAAATCAGTCGTATGATAGCTCTTTTGCCCGTCCCTAATCGTAGATGCATAGACGTTGCCGACTCCACAAGGGGTCTCGCGTACATCACATACACACTCACCTCCACCTCCACATATATGCCCTGGTCTACGAGCAAGCACTTGCCAAGCCCCGGGGTCATTCAGGACAACAAGGGAACCACCTTATCTCGGACTGGCCCATTAGTCACTTGGGCAATCGATTGAACTCGATGACGCCTCAGTGTCTCGTCTCCCTGTCCTAAAAGGTCTCCACAAACAGCCGTAGCAGTGCCCGGGTGGTGCTCCCACTGCGTTGTGATTCCAGCCAGTCAGTCATGCAGGCACAACGATCTCGGGGGTAGCTTGACTGTCGGATATGATGTAGGCCAGCCCATCCATACATAGGGACATGGAGCCAAACATGCTCCTGTCAGAACTGGAGTACAACTGTCTTGCTGCAAGAACATTAGCAACATTGCCATGGCTGGCCCAACATTAGAAAGACCGATCCGGATATCCATAGGTAGGTGCCTAGATCAACTAGAGGGCGTGAACGAGAGGGTCTCCTAACACCCCCATCTCATAGACCGCGGCGGCACCTTTACGGATTGCGTAGCCGTCATCACAGGCCAGGAAGATATCGTTATCAAGATCCTGTCTGTGGACCCGCGCAACTACCCAGATGCGCCCACTGAAGCTATCAGACTGGTGTTGGAGAGATTCTATGGCAAGGCGATCCCACGAGGAGCCAAGCTGGACTTGAAGGACGTCGGTAAGCACCAGATCTAACTTCGAGAACGGTAGCGGGATAATATGGGCACTTATGCTAACGCTGATCGCAGAATGGGTTCGTATGGGCACAACCGTTGCTACAAATGCCTTGCTTGAGCGTAAGGGTGAGAGGACAGCCTTCCTCGTCACCCGCGGCTTTAAGGATGTGCTCCAGATCGGGAACCAGTCCCGGCCGTACATGTTCGACCTCGCCATCAGGCGGCCGTCTCCGCTGTACTCGGATGCTTTCGAAGTCGACGAGCGGGCCGTCCTCCAGTCATGTGCGGACTCAGACTTGCGGACGATGAGGCTGGAGCCCCCTGAGCCGCTGGAAACTGTCGTCGGGACCTCGGGCGAGACAGTCCAGGTCGTCGAGCACCTCGACACCGGGAAAACGCGCGATTATCTGAGGAGGATTTACGACGAGGGGTTCCGGTCTATTGCCGTCTGCCTGATGCACTCGTACATATTTCCCCGCCATGAGCTCCAGATCGCAGAGCTTGCCCGCGAGGTCGGCTTCGAACACATCACGCTGTCGCACCAGGTCTCCCAGCGGCCGAAGCTGGTGCCGAGGGGGAACTCGGTCGTCGTCGATGCCTACCTCACCCCGGCTATCAAGAAGTACCTCAGCCAGTTCTCAGCCAGCTTCCCGGGCCTCGAGCAGTCCGGCGCCAGGCTCGAGTTCATGCAGTCGGACGGTGGTCTCGTGCCGGCCTCAACACTGAGAGGCCTGCACTCGATCCTCTCCGGGCCCGCTGGTGGCGTGGTGGGATACTCGCAGACATGCTACGACGAGGCCGACAAGGTGCCCACTATCGGTTTCGACATGGGCGGCACGAGCACCGATGTGAGCCGTTACGACGGGAAGCTGGACCATATCTTCGAGACGACGACCGCTGGCATCAGTATCCACGCCCCACAGCTCAACTCGTCTGACAGCCCTGCCGTGGTGCCAAAGCCCTCCTCGGTGAATTAAGTATACTTCAGCTCTCTTGGATGGGCCGATACACCTGTGTACCTTTTTGCCTCGATAGCGGTCGGCACGGTCATCCATGGGCCGGCCCTGGTAGTAGACAAGACGCAGACTCTGCTGGTAGGGCCCAGCTCAACCGCGCACATCGTAGGCGATAAGCTTGTGGTAGACGTCAGCCCACCACAGGCACACAATATCAGCACGGCCGTGCTCGACCCAGTGGCCCTGTCTGTCTTCCGCCATCGCTTCATGGGCGTGGCCGAGCAGATGGGAAGGGTGCTGCAGAACTTCAGCGTCAGCGCCAACATCAAGGAGCGCCTGGACTTCAGCTGCGCCATCTTCACGCCCGATGGCTCCCTTGTTGCAAATGCGCCTCACGTTCCGGCCATGATTGGAAGTATGGCCTTTGCCGTCAAATCCCAGATCAAGAACTGGGCAGGCAGGCTGAAAGATGGCCATGTCGTTCTTTCCAACTCTCCCGGCGAGTTCCAGAGACCCCACATGTATTTCCAGTGGATTCGGCTGGCCTCAGAAGAATTGCTAACATTGCCGGCATCTTAGCCTTTGGTGGTACACACTTGCCGGACTTGACCATTGTCACGCCCGTTTTTGACGCACAAGGCAAAGAAATCGTCTTTTGGGCTGCGTCCCGAGGCCACCACGCCGATGTAAGCGCCACCAATCTGTTTTCTGTTCCATGATGGAGTCCCCTAACAACAAATTTTAGGTCGGTGGTATCCGTCCCGGTTCCATGCCCCCAAGTTCGAAGTTCCTGTGGGAGGAGGGTGCCGTGTTCGATTCTTTCCTGCTTGTACGCGACGGCGTATTTGCAGAAAAAGAACTCCAGCGCCTGTTGTGCGAGGAGCCGGCCAAGATGCCTGGTACAAGCGGAACCAGGTGCTTCCAAGACAACGTGACGGATCTCAAGGCCCAGGTTGCGGCAAACCACACCGGCATACGGCTGGTTCGTCAACTGATCGAGGAATATACGATGGATGTCGTCCAGGTATGATGAGTCTTTGCGCCTCTCCATAAACAATGCCATCTTCCCTTCCATTCGATGGCCCACGGCTTACATTGCTCGACTTAACAACAGATGTACATGGGAGCCATCCAAGACTCGGCCGAACTGGCCATCCGCAACCTGTTCAAGAAGCTCGCCGTAAAGACCCAGGGCTCCGGGCTGCACGCCATAGACCACATGGACGACGGGACCCCAATACAGCTCCAGGTGACCATCGACGCCGACTCGGGCTCCGCACTCTTCGACTTCACCGGCACGGGGCCCGAGGTCTACGGCAACTGGAACGCGCCCGAGGCCATCTGCAACTCGGCCGTCATCTACGCCCTCCGCTGCATGGTCGACTCGGACATCCCGCTCAACCACGGCTGCATCCGGCCCATGACCCTCGTCACCCCGGAGCATTCCTTACTCAAACCCGAGCCACCGCGCCGCCGTGTGCGCGGGAAACGTCCTCACCTCGCAGCGCATCGTCGACGTCATCTTCCGCGCCTTCGGCGCCTGCGCCGCCAGCCAGGGCTGCATGAACAACCTCACCTTCGGCCTCGACGGCGAGGGCGGCTTCGGGTACTACGCGACCATCGCCGGCGGCAGCGGGGCCGGCCCTTCGTGGCACGGGACCAGCGGTGTCCATACCAACATGACAAACACCCGCATCACAGACCCGGAGTCCCTCGAGCGCAGATACCCCGTCGTGCTGCACCGCTTCTGCCTCAGGACCGGGAGCGGCGCGGCCAGGGGGCGTACCGCGGGGGCGAGGGCGTCATCCGCGACGTCGGCTCCCGGGTCCCAATGTCGGCGTCCATCCCATCTGAGCGGAGGAGCTTCGCCCCGTACGGCATGGAAGGGGGCGGTGAGGGAGGCCGGGGTCGTAATACCTGGGTCCAGAGGGATGGCCGGCGCATTAATATCGGAGGCAAGAACTCGATCAAGGCTGACGCTGGCGACAGGCTGGTGGTTGAAACGCCTGGAGGCGGTGGTTATGGCGTGATCCAAGATGGAGGAAAGGAAGAACAGCCCCAAACCATGACATCCTTTGTTCCCGTTGCCGGAGGTAGTGTAGGGGCGACAAGGGATCTTGCAGAGCAGGTGTGAGGGCTGGGGGCAGCGTAGGATTACAAGCAGCTGATATTGATTTCCATTAATGATTCGAGATGTTATTCATGGACATGCCCAGGTGTCTTCCTACACACAGATATAGTTTTCCAGTTACACATCGAGGTGTCCACTCGACTCCCCTGCACCTCAATGTTGACCATAGCCGTGCTCGCTGTACAATTTCCCTCTGAGGCTGGCAGTCATTTTGAGCCAGTGAACTAACTGGATCTTTGTCTTGTGCGCCGTCTTCCGTGAGCCTGGCTATCGTCTGGTGATGAGTGTAGGGAAATGAACAGACGACGTTCGGCAAAGACTGTCAGTCTCCTTGAGCCCCGTCGAAGAGAATAGGGTAAAAAGGCGTGGTCACGGTCACCGATGGGCAACTGTCTGGGAGGACTCTAAAGTGCAGCTTGTATGGGAATGTTACACTGGCAAGTCACGCCAAAGGATGAATAGTTGGGCGCTCAGCTATCATGCGCTCGCACATCGACTAGTGATACTCCAGATTCCAGTGGTCAGCATCTGCAGTCTCGAAGACCCTTCCAGTTGGTCTGCAGCATCTGTAGCTCCCCATGAACATGCATGTAGAATTTTGCTGTGGCGGTATTTGGCACCTAGCCTGTTCTGCGCATGTCGAGAGCTGCAGCTGCAGCACTTGGGCACAAGACGAGGACCGAAAGCCAGGGCCCTCGGGATGCTGAAGAGGTATTTTGTCTATTCATTTCGACAATCGTGGCCCCTATTCGGAAATCCCCAGGGGAGGCCAACCCTTCCCTAAAACGCCTGCCTTTTGCCCGTACCTCGGAATACAACGCACAAAAGCTCCAACCGATCAATGTCAAAAGCCTGGTCATGCCATCATCCTGCCATGCTCTTGAGTTCCCCTCGTCTCCACGCCCTGATTACTTCGCCACCGCCGCGCTCAGGACTTGCGTCCTGAAGAAGCCTCCCTTAGTCCGCTCGATCACCTGCTGGTAGACGCTGCTGGGTGGGTGGTTCATGACGACCGTACCCTCGCTCGAGTCGATCTTGGCGTCCAACCGTGTGTCGCGGATCAGGTTGACGATCCACTTCTCGCCCGCCTCGTTGTTCAGGCCCAGCGTCGCGCTCAGGCCCTTGATGTCGATACGGGCGTGGATCTTGCAGTAACTCTCGAAGATCAGATGCCTCGCGTTATCCACAAATGCGTCCACGCCACCTGCCAGGAAGAAGTCGGCCCGCAGCACCTCCTCGGCGCGGCTCAGCTGCCGTTGCGCATCCTCGAAGTCGAAGTCGATGAAGAGGGCGCGCACAAACTCGGTCAGGGGGTCGGTGTACTCGTAGGCCTCCTGGCGCACGATGCGAACGATGTCCTTGAGCTGCTTCTGCTGCACACCAGAGTTGCGGGAGCGGCCGCGGCCGGTGATAACAGCGGCGACCAGATAGCGCAGCACCCAGGGGCAGGAGGTCTGGATGGTGTTGATGTAGGCGGGGGAGAAGAAGAGGTCGAGAAGGGGGTCGCGGGCGGTGTCGCTGTTGAAGAGGGGGAACAGGGCCCAGTGGATGAGCCATGTGCGCTGCTGCAGCTGGGCGAGGGGGTTGTTGAAAAGCTTGGTATCGATGTTCTCCTTGACCTTCATCAGCTCCTCAAGGGCCGTGTCCCAGCTGGTGGAGAGGATCTCGGAGGCGAGCTTGCCCCATGTCGCGGCCGAAACCTTGTCGTTGTCGGTGGAGAGGACACGGAACTGGTAGAGGAGATCCGCGGATCCGCCGTAGTCACCGCAGCTGTATTTGAAGTTGCCGAAGTCGTAAAGGGCGTTAACCATCTCGATCGTCACCTGTTCATCGCCGTGTCAGCATTCGAGTCATTCGCGTGTAGCACGTCGGCCTTGTCTGGGGGCGGGCGTGGCAGCACCACCAGCGGCGCAACACCATCATGCTAGGACTGTGCTCCGTGCCAGCGACAGCGTCGGTCGCGCGTTGCCGGCTATCCTACCAGCCTCCCCATCCGCCAGGAACGTGGCTGGTTCGTAGCATAGAAAGGGGCCGTGTGGCACGTACATCGTGTTCCTTCTTAAGGAACTCCAAGTTGGCAACCTTGTCGCTCCGCAGGTTTGTGACGACATCTTCCCTTCCCAGCAGCTCCTGGATCTTGCCTGTGGTGTCCTCATACTTCTCCAGGGTGTCGAGGACCTTTTGCCTCTTGTCGGCGAACTCTTTTGGTGGGTCCTGCAGGCCCTCGAGGTCGCAGTACAGGTTGGCGACGTAGTCGGTCATGTTTGTCTTGTTCAGCAGCTCGTAGGTGGCCTTGAGCAGCTCCCTCGACTTGGCCTCGTCCTTGGAGACGCCATCCTCGTTCTCCAGTTGGCCGCGACGGAACTCGAGGAGGGGGAAGATGAGGTGCCTGTCGAGCTTGGTGACAAGCGTCGGCAGCAGGTCGTACTCGGCGACGGTGGTGTCCTCCATCTTGGTTCTGCCTGTCGCGTCGGTCGGGCGAGGGGAAAAGGGCTCGATGGTTTTGGTGGTAGAAGGGGAAGGAGGGGTCCTGTCGACTGCAGCTCGGGGTGGGATGGGAGAGAGGGGAGTCAGTCTGCGAGGCTCTCCAGCTGTTGATCTGGCCGTCCGTGAAGGGGGTGGTCGGTGTTCGTTCGTTCGTCTGGCGGGGCTTGTCACCCAAAATTCGTTGTTCCCTCCTCCTGTCTCTTCGCTCTTTTTCGTGGGGTCCACCCAGGCTTGCGCCATTGGCTGCAGGATCCCAGCACGCCCATTTGTTTTGCCGAAGCCGGCTGGAAGTATCCTTGCACCCATGTACTCATGTACCCAAGTCCCTCAGTCATTCTGCGCCAGTGCAGCTTCCAAGCCATTGAGCTATGCGCCGTTCCTGGATACCTTTGCCTGCCGCCAACAGCGATTTTTTGGCGACGACCTCCAAAAGATCTACCGTACACTGCGGGAGACGACGACTCTCCCAGGAATCACTGTCGATTCTCTAGCAGCGCAACGGAGGAGGAACAGAAACAACATCCACAATGCTCCGTCAAATACCAATCCGAACGGCCACGGCCGCCCCTAGCCGGCTGCTCTTCCGACCCTCCTTCGTCGCCTCAGCACGCTTCCTGACCACCGAGGCAGCATCAACCTCACAAACCCCTTCTACGCCTCCACCCTCGTCTCCAGCATCCTCCACGGCCACTCCACCACAGCGAAAGCAACTGACATATCTCGTCGAGCGCACACCGACAAAGAACCTCTCCGTCTACAATGACGCCCGAGCCGGAGGCACGAAAAAACAGACCGTGGTCAAGAAGATCGTGGGGGATGCTCGGGCCCTGAGGGACGAGATTGTCGAGGAGTTGCAGTTCCCAAGAGACGACGTCAAAATAAATCCAGTCACCGGTCATGTAAAAATAAAGGTAGGTCGCCTTGTTCCGTCCTGGACGGCCACAGGCCATACGGAGTGGCGGGCGACGAGCTAACGGCTTCTGCAGGGCTTCCACGCGGACAAGGTGCAGAAATGGCTGGAGGCGCGGGGTTTCTGAGGTGCCAGTGGGATGTAAGACGTGTTCAGGAGCAATGGCCATGGGCCACATAGACCCGCGAAGCCGCCCTGACGAACATATACGCATGTACCAAGAAGAGCCAGGAACGGTGGCAAGGAGGGGCTTGTACGAGATTGTACTCTATGCCGCAATATACCCACGCTGATGGACGCGTTGACGACGAGGACACCGAGATATCCTCTACCCAGCCACCACCGTTGCCGACCTCGAGTGGACGCCTACGCTGGAACGGCGCATAGAACGACGCATGCGCCCCCTTCCCCTCGGCATGTCCAAGCCTCAGCCAGAGTTTTGCAAGTGGCATAGGAGCCCACGAACTCGTCTTATGCGTCTTCCTCGAAGTGCAGGTCGGAAGTGCTGCTCATTAAATGTACTATCTCGGTGTCTCTTTACCTGTTAATCATGATATGAGCAAAGTGGCATGACACCAGCCCGTGGGGCTGCTTGTTAGTGGAACGTGCTGGAAAATGTGCCGCACCAATGAATACAATCGAGATGCCGCCCTTTGGGATATCGCCTTCGTTACAATGGACAGGTTTTCCCGGGCCTTGAGAACACGGTCATGCTTCTCTGAGGCCATATTCCTTGACCAATTCCTGACCAACCTGTCATGAGGAACGACCCTGGAATTCCTCCCTCAACCTCGTCGCCATTCTCGGTCTCGTTCATACGGTCATCAATGTTTGCTTTGCGGCAGAGCCGGTGCCGCGCCGTCGTTGTGTTCCTTTTTCGACAGAGAGGCGTCGCCAGAACTCCTCCACTCGTCCAGCCTGGCAAGTGATGCTGCGTCCAGCCTGGCAAGTGATGCTGCGTCCAGCCTGGCAAGTGGTGCTGCGTCCAGCCTGGCAAGTGATGCCTCCAGCCCGCCCATGGAGCCACTGAGCTAAGTAGCATAGGTCGGGCGATCATCGACTCCGGTCGGGTCTCTCTTCCTCTTAAGCGGCGTGGCGAGGACTGGCAGCTCTCCCTTGTCGCGCATGGCAGCGATCTTATTCTTAACGGCGGAGACCGATCGCTCCATCTCCTAGAGGGCGAAATAGGGTCAGTTGGACACCAGGAAGTCAGGCGCGCTTTAGGGGGGAGGGGCGGGGAAATCACAAAAGACATACCTTGGCGATCTCGTCGTTGCTACGCCCCTCGTTGGTCATGCGCTTGGCCTTTTCCATCTCGGCGGCCGCCCACCTCTGCCCACGGGTGGTTTTGTTCTTTTGTGGGGTCTGAACAGTCAGCCAAGTTTGACAGTAATGCGTGGTTGCGTGGGACACGTACATCTGGAGCCACTGCCGGGACGGGTGTGTCGCCTTGTCTGTCTTTCTCGCCAGGATTCTTGGGGGCTTGCGCCTTGTCGCCGGCCTGCGCCTCCGGCACGAGAGGTTTTATCGGCAGATCCTTGGTGATGCCAAGTTTGAGCGCGAGGGCATCAACCTGGAATTTCGAACGGAAGGCCTTGGTTTGAGGAGTCCGCGGTGCCACGGTGAAACCAGCGGAAACGTATATCTTCTGGTGCGTTGAGACGTTGGAGTAGAGATTGACATCGTGGTTGGTGTGGACGTGGTAGTCGCAGAGGGGAAATGGACAGTTGTAGAACGCAAGGCTCTCATCAGGCAGCGACCTAACGCTGAAACCTTTGGTGCGCTCAGCCGACAAGACTGTGTAGATGGTCAAGAGGCAGCTGGGGCAGCGGACGGCATAGTACATCGACATCGTGGCGGTCGTTGTGGGCAATCACTAGTGGTGTGGCAATTGATTGATCGTTTGCGCTTAGAGTTGGGAATGACTGTGCTTCTGCAGTTTTCGAGGATCGAATGCTTCGCGTGATGAAGGAAAAGGTTTGGAAGGCAGATGTTTGATATTAGTCTGGTAATGTTGGTTTCCAGCTGTGCTCCGTACGGTCTGAGCTGGGTCCATGAGGAGGTTGGCAAGACTCGAGATGCGGTGCCTCAATTCACTCTGATAGAAATAGCCAGGGGCCCAAAGGATGGAAGCAAACATTGCGAAACTTCTTGTTCGGACTCTGGTTGGCTACTGGATGGATTCGATTATGATGCAGTAGAATGCAGTCATCTTTTGTGTCCGTCAACAGGCATGTAAAGTGGTCAACTCCAGATGTGGACTAGCACTTGCCATTTGCCCTTGTCAAGACAATGGTCCCATGTATGTGGATGCTTTTTGAGAGGGTCCTCAGCTGCTCTTTCCCTTGAATAACTCCATCGGCCAGCCATAATCTGGGCCCAGGTATGGCACTGCGGAAAGAACTCACAATGGAAAATCATGGAAGCATCACGGAGCAACGGTTATTGGCACAACTGACCCAGCAGCAGCATGATCCTAGTATGTCCTCTCTTGTTTGGACTTTCAATCATATTGCAATAAGACAAAAAGACACGGGTGATTCCAGAGCATACCCATGCCAGTGATGGAAAGCCAGTAAATTCAAGTCAAGCTCCTTGCTCTAAGTAGAGGATTCCCGCTGTGTCAAATTTAAATCAGCTACACAAAACATCTGATAAGGCACAATGATGAGAGCCCAGGATTCCAAAGGGAAAGAACGCATGAACACTTTCTAGTCTTCACTTGTTAGATCGATGATCTCTGTGACTGAGGATTTAAGTCGCTTGTGAGGGCGACTACGTCTGACTCCTCCGCAGTCGTCCTTCTCTGCCGAGCCAGAAACTCGCTTCGGTCCGGGGTTGAGCTCATACTGACATTAGCAGGCATTGTGACAATTGGGTTTTTTTGTTGACCTACCGGCGTTTTCCTTCGATGGCCACCACAGGCAGGGGGCCTGGATGGCCTGGGTATCCTGGGGGAGTGATCAGACACTGTGCCAGGGCGGCTTCGATCCTGTTTTGAGATGATTCGCTCCCGTTGCAAGTCAGCTGGCCAACGTCGGCTTCAGAAACAATCCTGAGATACCAAGGCCTCTATCCTTCACCTTGAGAGCGGTAATGGAATACAAACTCTGCCAGTGGGTGCTGGTCTGGCTTGTCCCAGGAGATCCACGGGCCCTGGAAGTTGTCGTCAAGATCCAAGGGAGGCGACAATCTTGATGGCACAACGTTGTCTTAGTCGTGGCTACCTGGGTTGGATGTATCGCAGCTTACTTGACTGTGTGGGAGATCATCTTCCCTTCATCTTCCCTCAGCTTGGTGAGCGCCTTCTCCGACAGCGGCACATCGAACTCGAGTTGGGATGCTTTGGAAGGTCGCGGCCTCGGCTTCTTCTTGACTATCCCAGCTCGTGTGACACGCCAGGCTCGGATCCGGAAAGTCCCCATAAGCCTGGCAAGGTTGAGATCTCGGGTCCATCGTTCCTTGGAGCTGTCCTCGACTTTGAAGAGCATCAGTGTGCAGGCAACTCTGCAAATGGTTGGAAAGACAGACCCGTTGGTATGGAAGCGAAACGGAACTCCCGCTGCTCATCGTTCGCTCTGTCTAGCAAGGCCCCGATGGTCACCGACGGCGCCCCAGCCTCCACGTGCTGTTTCAAAGATTCGAGTCCCTGGCGGTTATCAATATTGACTTCGAAAAGAATGGCATTCGATGGGCCGTTGATCCAATCCCTGGCCGGTGACTCGCCAGCCCTGACACCACAACGGAAAGCGAAGACGGCGTTCTCCCGGGACTGAATGTAACGCCGGTATACGGCGGTGGTCTCCGGGCTCTCATTAGAATTGGCCTGCCGGCACGGATACTCTTCTGCTGCGGCGTGGTTAACTAACACTTCAACCTCGAGGCCGACACCCGCAAGGATGCCCATTGTCATCCAAATTGTTCAGGTAAATGTGACCGGCACTAGACACAACAAGTTGGAGGGATGTCTTGAACGAGGTATTATGGCACGGTGGTCTAAAGCAGTGGATACTAATATAGTCCTGATGCTGCGCTTCCGCGATATCACGGTGCGGCTGTAGTCATGTTCCACCCACCACGTTATGCTTGGAAGGTTACATCCTCGGAGTGGTGCAGGGCGCCGCCGTTTCTACTGAGTACTTTCCCATCCGGTACTGAGGTACTTCACAGAAGGTACATGGCCAAGTGCGTGAACTAGAACATTTAAGCTCGGCGCAAAGCGTCACCATCTGCACCCTGGGCTCCAGATGTGACTTCGGCGCACAAAGCCATTGCTTTGGGAACCCCTGACCTGGTGCACGCTAAATGATACTCAAGAGTCTCTGTGAAGTATCCCGTTAACCTCCAATGTATATTTAGAGTTCCAGCTTTTTGTGCTGATTTCCTGGTAAATCTGGTGGGAAATCAACTTGCACAATATTAAAGAGCCAAGATACCATTCCGCAGCTTTTCCAGTGGCGGGTTTATATTCTCTCTACCCAACCGAGGACAGCGGAATGCCAATCTATCAAGGGCGTTTTCACAGGAATACGTGCGATTGACGACCAGTTTCCTAGAAGGGCACCTGCATAGTACTATATTACGTACACAGACAGTGGCACACCCTACTCAGTCTTGTCTTTGACCTGTCTCCCTCACATACTTGCCAACAAATCAATCCACCAAGATCCTACGCTCGGTTGGTGACAAATGGCCCACAATTCGGACGACACACCGCGCATACTCCCACTATCAATGAACATGGCATCCTGAGGCGGCCAAATGCTTCCTGGCGTTGTTGCCCTACCTTCTCCGTCTTCCAGGAGCCGGAATAAAAGTCCAAACGGAACCAAAAAGGAAAACCACCAGAGAGACCAGGTCTCGAACCTGGATCTCCTCAACAACATCAGTGCTGAGGGCTCTAAACCGATTGAGCTCTCTCTCCTGTGCCAATGTACTGGGATCGATACCATGATATACTGTGTCAGCTCTCAAATCACCGAGGCGAGGGGCCCCTGAGGCTAGGCCATCGTCTACCGCTCCTGAAGTCGTGCCTGAGACTGACCTACGTATGCACAGCGAGCCTCAACGGGCCGTGGTGAAGTATCGTGGAGCCCTCCGGTCTAATCATAGGCTGCTGCCGGGACACAGAACCGAATTGCAAAGTGTTCAATGCTGGGTTTGGCGCAGCCAGTCTCCTTGCGAGTTGGTAAAATGTCCTGCCCTCGTGGAGCCATCAGTGCCATTTGGAGACTTGACTGGCCTGCCGCACGTCGTTGCGTCCCGCCGGTTGTAGATTTAGCCCACTCTTCCAACGGAGGCATCGCTCTGGGACCAAGTCGCCGTGGGCACAACAAGAAGTCAGCCAGCAAGCCAGCGGCCACATGACGACTACCTACCGATGCATACGTTAGGCTGCCAGGGCCGAATTGTCCTGGCGGTGGTCGGCAGGAGTGAGCGCAGGCTGTGCAAGCGAGACTGACACCGTGCACCGCTTGACTGCAGATGATCATCCCGTCCATGATTTCATTCTCAACACGACGTGAAATGAATGTCAAATCACTACACACACATACTACAGACGGACAATTCTCTATCCGATGCTACCTTTCTGTTTGCCTGTTTCCACGCCATCCTGGCCCCATCCGTGACGGCATCAGAGGCCCAACGCCGCCGTATAAATCTCCTTGTCCCAAGACCCTGCAGGGCATCATCTGGCCTGCTCTGCTATGTGACCCGTTTCCCATGACACCACACCCACGCCTCAATTGCACCAATGCTTGCTTCATGTTCTATTCCCTTCGCTTTGCTCAGCCTATGTGTAATGTTAGAATGCGATATGCCTTTCACCGCCGGTGCGCCTTGTTCTATATCTGCAGTGAGCCTAGCGCAACGACGTGTTGGAGCCAACCGTCCTTGGAGAACTCGGGACTGCGCATCTCAAGGGCCTTGAGGATCTTGTCAGTCCTCGGGACGACGTTCGGCGGTATGCTCTCCGGGTCGTTCGGGTCACGGGCCTTGTGGGCAAGCTGCCGAAGCATGGATGTGCCCAACACCGCAATGTACAGCAGGTCCGGGTCCTTCTTCGGTTGGGCTCGCGGCTGGCCAGGCGGCTTAATCCTGGGCTGCTCGAACTCGGCCGAGAGCTCCCTGACCAGCCGGAACAGGTTCTGAGCAAACCCGTTCCCAGACGACAGCCACGTTCGCGTTACACAGGTGTCGTAGTCCGGTGCCAACGACGCCACGATGTTGCCGGCGAGGAGACCTTGCATGAGAATTGGCTTGCGCGCCTCGACCAGGGACGGCAAGCCGGTCGCGCGAACTTCGCGATGTTGATCTGGCACCGGTGAGATGGCTAGAGCAAAGGTGCGGGTTATGAGCTCAGAAGGTGGGGTATTCGAGGCATCGGCGGCAAAGATGCTCTTGTAATAGGTCCTGTTCGGCTCATCCCGGGCGAAGAGCTTGGCCAGCGCATCGATGGCATGCGGCAGGTACGGATGCAATATCGGCTCGAACGGGGCGAAATGTAGTTTGCCGGCGTCTGAGAGGTGCGGCGCAGGGCCCGGTGCAAATGCCAGGATGAACTGGAGCAGGCTCTCGGCCTGCTCCCGGGCCTGGATCTCCAACGCGTGAGCGATGTTGGACAGCAGGATAATCACGTCTTTGAAGAAGTCTAGGGTGTCGGCCTGCGTCCTCAAGAGCATATTACGCGTGCCGAGGTACCGGATGATGTCGCAAAGAAGCTTGACGAGCAACTCATCAGCTAGGATGGCATGGTTCGGTGGATAGAACGAGAGATTGCGGAGGATTGTGGTAGTGCACAGGAGCCGGTCGACGGCGCGATCGAGTTCGTACTCTTCGCTCCCTATCGGGTGGATCTTGCGAATTGCCAAGTTCTCCAGACGACATGCTCTGGACACATCCTCGTATGAGCTTATCACGATCTCGTCGGACAGCTCCTCTGTGTTCTCGACGAGCGTCTCGACCTGGTCCTCGGCGCACTCGACCAAGCTTTCCAAGAGCTCCTCGCACCTTGTCAGATCAATCTCCAGGCTGGGCCCGCCTACCAAGGGCCCTTGCGGGCTCGTGACGGTGGCCAGGGTGTCCAGAGCAAGTCGCACCTCAGCGAGTATGCCGCATTGCAGACTCTTGGTCAATGCGTGCAGGTCAATGTTGCCCAGATGAGCTGGCGGAGGGATGTCGGGTTTGAAGAACTGGTATTCCATGCCCAGCCTGGCAGTAACGTCCAACTCCACGCCGCCATACGTTTTTGGTTCTGGCACCCGAGAACAGGGAATGTACTCGTCGGGTTCCTTGGTCAGAGGCGCGGGAAAGGGCATAGTCGCCGGCTCCGCGGACGCGCCAGGGCCGTCGGGGTGTGCGCTGCTTGGCAAGGACATGCTGCCGTGCTTGCTAGCCGGCGAGGGGGCGGGGAACTCGTCGTGAACAGGAGTCGCTTGATGGCTCTTAGACATGGCATTCCGTGCGTGACCTTGTGCGGAGTTTGGCTGTTGCGGCTGGGGCGGTTGAGGTGTCTGGAAACCATTCACACTTGCTTGCGCGCCACCAGGAGGCATCTGTCTCATGGGCGACTGCATCTGGCCTGGTTGTATGCCGGCGTGCTGTCCTGCTTGCATCATGCCAGGCGGGGCCTGGCCTGGCGACATCTGCTTGTGGCCGGCCGCCATGGGCGTATTTGGCGCGCCATGCTGCTGTTGATGCTGCTGCTGTTGTTGCTGCTGCGGGTGTTGTTGTTGCTGTTGCGGGTGCTGTTGCTGATGTTGTTGCTGCTGGTGGTGCGGCTGCTTGGCCCGCCACGTCTCCTCGAAGGGCCTCAGGTTTTGTTCGTAGATCATCCTGAGCTGTTGTGGTGCCATCGGCATTTGTGTGGGGTTGAGGTTCAGGCCCATCGAGATCTGCGGCCAGAGGTTGCGCCCGGTCACGCTGTTGAAGCCGCCGGCCTTCATAACGGCCTGGAACAGCTGCATCAGGTGGATGGGCCTGTCGCCGATAACGGGATTCGTGTTAAGTTGCATCTGCTTCTGCGCCATGAACATGGAGAGCTGTTTCATGAAGGCATCTGGGCTGGAGTGGCCCCTCTGCCCCTGCTGCGGCACGCCCATGCCGGGTTGTTGGGGCCTCATGGCGGCGGCGTTCATGTTGGAAGGCACCTGGCCATTGGGCATTTGCTGTCTTCCCATCATGTTCCGTTGCGCCATGTTCTGCCCAGGCATCTGGCCCTGTATCTGACCCTGCATTTGGCCTTGCATCTGGGCCATCTGCTGCTGCCTCTGCATCTGCTGCATCTTCTGCATGTGTGCGACCATCATTTGCTGCTGTTCCGCAGGGTTCCTTCCCTGTGGCATGCCCTGCGCAAACATCTGGTTCGGCATCTGGCCCATTTGACCCATCTGGCCCTGCATCTGCGCCATGTGCTGCATCTGGCCCATCTGGCCCATGCCCATCTGTCCGGGTTGTTGCATCATGCCAGGTTGCATCTGGCCCATCTGCTGCGGCATCATCTGGCCGGGCATCGCGTTCGGATTCGACGGGGGCCGGGCGGGTGAAGGGCTCGCGTTGCCGTAGTTGGGATTGAAGCCAGGCGGGAAGTTGCCCTGTTGCATGTACGGGTTCGGCTGCGGGGTGCTGCCGTGTTCGGATGGGATCGGAGAGGCTTGAGGCGCGAACTGCTGGGCGGCGGGCGAGAAGGGGTGAGGCGACGTGGTGGAGACCCTCTGGGGCACGCTGCCGGGTCTCATCTGGTTGCTGCCCATGATGGGCGAGGGTGTCGCGTTCGCCGAGCCGTTAGTCTGCAGGTGAGGGTAGGGCGACGGCTGGCCAGAGTTGGGCTGTGGCATGCCGGGTTGCTGGCCCTGTGGGTAGTTTGGAAACTGGGACTGCTGTGGCGTGTCGGCGCGCGAGGTGGGCAGCATGCCGGGATTGGGTCGCGGGGATCCTGCGATGCTGTCTTCTCGCGGCCTCGGTCGCTTGGAGGGGATGACGGGATTGGTCTGATACATGGGGTTCGCAAAGGAGGGCGACGCGTTGCGCATCTGGCCATTCTGCTGCATGGCCATCATCTGGGCCTGAGCCTGTGCGAACTGGGCGGGGTTGAAGGGGGCGGCGCCAGGGTTTGCCATGAAGTTGGAGGGATCCATCATGCCAGACGCGGCCGCTTGGGCATTTGGGTCGAAGCTGTTGTTGCCATTGTGGTTGGGGACAGCGGCCTCGTTCATGCCCCAGGCGGACATGGCTAAGGACGGGAGGGTCTATTCGGAGGCGGAGGTGGAGGAGGACGGGGACGGGGACGAGGACGACGAGCGACGCGACAGAAGCGGGCGAGGGCGAGGCTGAGTGGGCTGTTGTTGATGTCGGAGCTGGATTTGGAGCCGGTGGGATGCGATGGTGGTGTCGAGGGTCGCAACGGCCATCTGGGTGATCGCCTTTTTGCTTTTATCGCAAAGTGGTGAGGCGTGCGAGATGCAAAGGTGCACGATGCGAGCTTCGAGGCTTGGTTGAGGCCTGTGGGGAGCGGGGAGCACAGAAATTAGAGACGGCCAATCATCAAAGGGCAATGGCAAGAAGCCATGGAGATGGAAAATAGTATAGAAGCAAGGAGCATGTGCGACGGCGACGTGTTTGGCGATGGGCAAAGAGAGGGTAGGCGCGTCAGGTCGCGATCTGGAGCGATTTGCCGGGTGTGTGATGCGATGGGGGGATTTTTTGGAAGGGGGCAGTAGGATGAACAGTGGACGGCAGACGGTGGTAGTGGACTTGGGACTTGGAGACAGAGAGACTGGGGCGGGATTGGCAGCTGGAGGCTTGGGTGTTGGGGGGGACGGGGTTCAGGTTACAGGGTCAGGTCAGTGGAGGGCAAGACTGATTGGGTGGGTGAGTGAGAGCGAGCAAGCGAGTGATTGAGTTGCCTGCTTGCCTGCTTGCTGGCTTCCTCTCTGTGCCCACTGCAGGGTTTATGATGCTGGGCCCGTGCAATTAAGAGATGGACGCCCTCTGCCGAGGGTGTGTCCAAAACGAGAGTGCAGTGTGTGAGGCAGTCAATATTGTGAGGAGAGGGTGTGTAAATAGAACAATGCGTCAAACAAAATGGGGCAAAACAGTGGAAGCAACGCGACAATGTTCATAATGGACCAAGGGTATACAAGAGGCCATTGAGCCAGAAAAAAGCAATGATTTTGGTGAGCAGGAGAAAAATAAACCAGAAACAACAGAGAGTACAATTCGGTGAAGTGAAGCGGAGGAGGATGGGATTGAGTTTGGATTGAGGTTGATACAGTTCAACTCAGCTCAACATAGCCGACGAAGGCGACACAAGACACAAAACAAGGTGGGAAAAGGCAGACCACAAGGAACTTTCCTGGCTCAAATAAGAGTGGCCAGTGAGCAGTGAGGAATGGGATGTGTGCTGTGATATGTAATGTGTAATGGGAGAGTGGTGAAGACGGTGTTATAAGTTGGGTGGGGGTGGATGAGCAGAGGCAGCCTGGCTGGCTGACTGACTGACTGACTGGAGATGGCAGCAGCGACAACAAGTGAGCAGTATCTATTGCATCAACACCATCAACACCAGCAACTTTGGCCAGTCCTCAGCAATCGTGTGTCAAACCGGGGCATCGGCACCAGGGTGGGATCCATCGAGGGAGAGGGACGCCCGACCAGGTGGGATTGCCTTACGAAGGGTTCGGACGTGCAGTGTGAGGACGCCCAGAGGGCCGGGGCCAGGGGCATGTGGGTGGCATGTGGCATGCGGCATTTGGCAGCAGAGGAAGTGAATGGGGGTTCTGGGTCTGGGTCTGGTCCAGTCGGTCATACATACGTACCGTATGTACCCAAGCAGCAACAAGCAGCAAGCGGCGACGGCGGCCGGCTGGGCTGGGCTGGGCTGGGCTGGGTTGGGTTGGATGAATTTGAGGGGGGCCCCTCGATTCGGTTCGTGATGGCCGAACGAACCGTGTGTGCGCGGCTGCGGGTAGGTAGGTGGGTGGGTGGGTGAGTGAGCGAGTGAGTGGACAGACAACAGGACAATCAATCAGACAGAGACTGGCAGGACAGTTTCACTGTCTAGACGAGCGTCAGAGAGGGCGGGCGGGTGACAGCGAGCGACTGAGTGGGCGAGTGATCCGTTCAGTGCTGCCCAGCCAGGTGGTGCGTGGGTGCGTGTCCGAGTCTGATTGTACGAGAGTGTGCGAGTGTGCAGGCAGGGTGTCAGTGCCAGGCAGCCAGGCGCAAGGCAGTCAAATCAATCAGTCAGACAATCTCTCTCTCGCTCTGCTGCGCTGAATGACAGGCCGACCAAGACAGAGAGGCTGAGGGCGGACTAGGACGGACGGACAGGAGGGACTGGGCTGGGGGGAAACAGGACGGATGGTCGAGTCGAATCCTGCTCCGGCCCTGCCCTGCTCCTGCCTCGCCTCGCCTCGCCTCGCTTCTTGCGCCCGCCCCACTCCCGCTCCTGCCACCTCGATTTTTCGTCCTCTCTGCCTCTCTTGCCTCGCTGCTGGCGGGCTCCTGCCGCTGGCGCTACCCCTGCCCGATGTCAGAAGCAGACTAGCGTTTGAGCTAGATCGTTTCCGGAGGCGGCCAATCAGGGATAACTGTACCCCTGCACTGGATCGGCAGGTCCCACGTTTTCTTGTGCCGAGCCAATCCGCCTGGCCTGATCGGGACCGCACCTGCACCTCAAAGCCAGGCCGTGCTGTCCTGCTGCGTCGCGTACCTCTGAATGGCTTCATTCTTCTCATCGACATGGGAATAAGGCCGCCCAGCAACCATGCTGGCCTTGATGAATATAGAGGTGACAGAACAGGAAAGGAGAGCAACCGACCATACAAACCAACCCTTCAAATTTATTTGAACTGACTTGAGTACTCCCTTCGCTGTTATGGCAACTTCCAATGTGGCGATGTCGCGTGTTATTCCATCTGTTGTCGTTGCTGCATCAGGGATTCCGAGGCGCAAGAAATTCCAGGGTCCTGAGCCCGACGTGTTCCCGTGATAACTGTTGCTGCGACCGCGATCCACGAACAGATCAAGACCATGGCACAACTGCTGACCTGACGATGACTATTGAACTAGAGCGCCAGCCACACCACGCGTCTTCGTCTTTGGACGTCTCCAAGCAGGGCCCAGCTGAGGGTTCAGAACCAGATTGCCAGTTCGAGCCGCAGATGAACAAGCGATGATGGTGAGCACCGTTGGAAATCCTCGGCCGTGGCAGAAATGTTGAGCTGGCCAACAGGCGCGGCGCAGACCAAGAGCAGGAGATGGCTTCTCCCTTGGCCAATTCGATACTGAAAGTAAACCACCCAAAAGGGGTGCTTTGGTGTGGTGTGGTGGCCGAGTAGCAGCTCTCTCGGACCTTGTTTGACGTGGGACGGACTTGCTCGATTCGGTCCTAAGACGGCATCCTTCTTGATGCTGCCGGTGGTTTCCTGACAATCCTCCCCAGTCTGCTGCGAATTTGTTGGCAGGCTGCTACAGTGATTCCGTCCAGTCCATCACTGCGTTAAAGCCAACTCATGGGGACAAATCCCTAAGTCTGGACGTTGTGAGGCAGGCGTGCAGAGACAGGGAGACAGGCTTCGGGTCCGATATGAATGCCTATCTAGCGCATGTAGCCTGCCGGATAGCGACATCGAGGGTATGCAAGGTTCACCGGCACGCGCCAGTAGCGCCAGACCGTGTGTCCAATGCATGGGGGTACCCTGTGTGTGGTGCGCAGCATGCAGGTGGCAGGCGGCAACAATCTGTCTGCCCCGTTGTGTTGCCGGTGGGTGGTGGTGGTGGTGCTGTTGTTGGCCTGGTGGAAATCGATGCCCGTTTCTGCACCACCAGAAATCTGGAGGAAGATGGACAGGCCAACTCGGCATTCCGGCTGGGAGGACCGCAGGATCGAATCGAGGTGAAACAAAACAATAACAGGGAGGAGTGTCCGGGTCAGCAAGTGAGAGAAAGCGAGAGTAAGAGAGGGGGCGACAAGTCTCGCTGTGTCTGGGCATCTCCTTTGATCTTCCAGCGCACTTTATCGAGGGCGGGCGCTGGCCAAAGCGTTGGTGGAGTTTAGGTCATGCCGGAGGTAAACTTGGCCTGATGGCTTTTCGAGTGCCCCCCCGCTCTCGCCTGTCAGTGCCTGCATTTCGTTGCTTTGCCAGTCGATTTGCATGCCGTGCTGTGCTGTGCTGTGCTGATCTGTTTTGAGGGTGTCCGGCTGCGGCTGGTCTTGGGTGGTCTGGCTGGCTGGGTCCGCCCATGTCATTCTCCCACACTTCCATTCCAGCCGTGGTGGCAATCCGGCGACTTTTCTCCCCCATGTGCCGGGATTTCAGATTTCAGTCAGGCAGACCATCGTTGTCTCCCCCATTTCTCAACCGTGAGAATCATGAGAGAGGCTTGAGAAGTGCCCGTCTTTTCCGTCATCTGGTCAATGTTGACTCTGGCCGTCGGGCTCTGTCATTTCGTCCCCCCGGCACCACAGGGCTGAAGGGGGGGGGGGTTCGTCCTCTGCTGCTGCTGGCTAGAACCGGTGTGCTGAATGAATCGGGGAACATGGCAGTGGTGGCAACAAACGGCAACAGAACAACAACGAGAGGGTCAGAGAAGGGCAGACGATGTGGGAAGAGGGCAGGAAACGATGACATGAGAGAAAAGGGCGAAATGAATGAGAGACGAGGGGTGGAAGTGGGCAGTTGGGCCGGTTTATGTGTCTCGAGGGCAGGTATCTGGTACATCGGGGCTAGTAGCAGCAACGACAACGAGAAGGCACCACCCATGTGCTGCTTGCTGCTGCTGCCGCCGCCGCTCTGCTCTGCTCTGCTCTGAGGCGTGCCTGTGTGCCTCTGTGTGCTCTTCTTTTTTTCCCACCTCCTCTCCATTCATTGACCACCCTTCATCTGTTGTTCCCTTTCTCTCGAAACAGACAGACCTGCTGGCTAAATGAGCCCCGTTTCCCTCCATTGTTCTGTCGTCATCTGCCATCTGTTGGGCTGTTTCGGCCGGCCCCTCAAAGCTGAAGCATCCATCCATCCCTCGGTCAACAGAGTTCGTGATCTCCATTTTTCCCTCGGCAGCTCTCTGGACTCGCTCTCTCTTTCTCTCTCTTGCCCTCTCCCTTCCCCACCCTCGTGTGTTGTAAATGCTGATGAGCTGGCTGCTACCGGAATGGCACAGCTTGATTGCCTTACTTTCTCTGTGATCCAACGGTTTCCAATACTCCCATGATCATCTCTGTCATGGCTGTTGTGGCTGCACCAACGCCTAATTTTACGCAGTAGTCTTCACACACACACACCAAACGTACCCCCGGCACCCCAGTCTCCATCTCACAGTACCCATCAGTCTCCTCCTCCGTCCCCGCTCCTGGGATCGTGGCTTGACGGACCCCACGGCTTTCCACCCTCAACCCAATTAATCAATCAATGGGCCTCTGGAAAAGGCCGACCTCTCCGAGAAACGCCATGACGAGACTCACCAAGACCACACCGAGTAATGCCATCTGCCCTAGGGATCCCACTGCATTGCGTCGTTGGGCAGACAGAACTGCACAGCACATGCATGTTCACATTCAGCCCATCCGCCAACCTGGTCCAACCCATCATCTTAAGACGCCATTTTGGAGCAGTGGCTCTGATTTGGAGGTCAACAGCTCGACTGGCCATTCTCTTGGCACGTAGACCACGTTTTTTAAATGCCAGTTTAACCTTCACAAATGTAACGCTTTCTTCTCCTACTGACCGCTTCTCTTCTTTTCCCTGAGGACTCATGCCCAACCTCGCTTTAAAGTGAGGCTATCCATGCCGCACCTGGACATGACCTGACCAGCTTGTTTCACCACACCGACAAGCATTTGTTTGACAGACGACCCCAAAGTTAAGGATCGCCAGAGGTTATGCTACATAACAGCCCGCGGAGAGGGGAGGAGATGGGCTGAAACGAAATATCAGCCTGTGATGCAGATCTGCTGTGCGTCCCTGGACCGGGCCCCACGGTCTTGAGTGCTTCGGTCTTGAGTCCAAATTCTGGGTGCTGCTTTTGGTTTTGTTCCCATTCCCACCCGGCTTCCAACCCGAACAGGCACGAGGATGGCGCAAGCGGTCGAGCCAGGGCGTAGGGCGCTTGTCTCATGCTATACCTGCTAGTTGATTCGCCTTTTCTGTCTGACTGTCACGGTACGGTATCGCAAATGTAGACTTACAAAGTCAGCCGTCAACCAGCCAAGCAGGGGCCCGTCAACCCGTGAAATCACGGCTTGTAACACACACACAGGGATGGGAAGGAGGGGAATGACTTCCATTGTCGTGTCACCAGCCGAGCACAGGCTCTTCTTCACAGTTCACAGTGTGACCCCCCGGCTGCCGGGCCGTCGACTGGTGGAGGAGCCCGCTCGTCCCTTGCGGGATCCTTGGATCTTGACCGTTACGGATAAAGCGAGGCAGTCGATAATTTACCGATTCATGGTATGACAATCGAGGTCTAACACGAGCTTGAATTAGAAGAGTTATATAGCGTATATTCTCCTGCCTTCTGAGAGGTCTCCATACATGGGTTCCGTACCAATGCACACCTCGAAAAGACTCCTCAGTGTGACCAGCCAGCGCAACGCGGAGCATACGCTGCAGACACTCTCAGGTGGATAGCATCCCATCTGATAACCTCAAATTTGTCAAATTTTTGAAATAATATCTATTGTGGAATACGTTCACGCAGGACAGCCTCATGCGTGTTGGAGGACAATATGCTAGAATGTGTCTAGGTTGTGCCCATCCTGCTTGTGTGGCCCAAGCTTTCACCAGGGATGTTGGCCCAAGGCGACCATGCAAGCGACACTACCTAGAGTGCCAGCTACCTAACCTTGATGTCCGTCAATCGACAGTGCTGCAAATTCGAAGCCCATACTCGCTGAGGAGGAGTAGATCATCTCAAAATGCCGCCGAAGAGGAAGTCCGGCGAGACAGACGGCACAGTGGGCGACGTGCAGCCTCGCCGGTCCACGCGTCAGCGCACGTCAACCACACAAGCTCGCGAGGCTGCTGCAGCCAGTGAGTCTGTGACGCCAAAGAAGGCCGGGAAGCCCGCCGCGGTGAAGAAGGCAGCGCCCAAGGCCAAGCAGAAGGGAAGGCAAGGGGACGAAAACGAGGATGACGCCGACCGGCAGCCTGCACCACCATCTGACGGCAAAACGAAGCAAACCAACGATGTCAGGGCTGTTAAGACACAGTCAAAATCAACAGCGGCGGGGGCGGAGTCCAAGGAAGTGAAGGATCCGGGCAAGCAGTACTGGCTGATGAAGGCTGAGCCCGAGTCGCGCATCGAGAACGGCGTGGACGTAAGGTTCTCTATCGACGACCTGGCGGCTAAGAGCGAGCCTGAGCCATGGGACGGTACGGTTCTCAAGTTCTCACTCACGGATTCATACAACTGACAGAGGAGTCTTAACACAGGTATCAGAAATTTCGTTGGTATGGATTTTTACCAAATCTGAGGCAGTGAGAAGATCGCCTTGAATGCATCGCTAACAGAACGCTGGGCCCCAACAGCCCGGAACAACCTCCGCGCCATGAAGAAGGGCGACCTCGCCTTCTTCTACCACTCCAACTGCAAGGAACCGGGCATCGCAGGAACAATGGAGATTGTGCAGGAGCACTCGCCCGACCGTATGTATTCTTTTACTCCTTGATATGACCATCTCCCAGTCTTGGGCGTCATCTAACGAACAATCCCTTCCCCTTACAGTCACTGCCCACGACCCGAAATGCCCCTACTACGACCCCAAGTCCAAGCCGTCCGACCCCAAGTGGAGCGTCGTGCACGTCGAGTTCCGCTCCAAGTTCCCGGTGCCCATCGGGCTGAAGGAGCTGCGCGCCATGGGCGGGCCTGGTGGGCCGCTGGAGGACATGCAGATGCTGAAGCAGTCCCGGCTGAGCGTGAGCAGGGTGAGTGCGGAGGAGTGGAAGCACCTGGTCGGCGTGGCGGAGGAAAAGGCCCAGGCTGGGGCGTGATGGCGGTTCAGACCCAGCCGCCGGGGTGGGGCGATAGTATCGGCACAGCTCGCAGGGACTGACTCGACCAGCCAGTCGTAGATTAACCCTCCAGCAGGACAATCTCCAGTGCGACCACCTCCTATGTCTTTTGTTATATCTTGTCCACAACTACACATAGGTATCTGCGCATAGATGGGTACCTGTCAAGCCTTTGCGGCCTCTGCAAGCTGGAATGAGATGGTTATGACAATGATATATGCCTAGATGCCTGGGACAGGCACGTAGGCTGCGATGCAAACATGCCAGTCGCATGTAGATAAGCGATGGTCGCTCAGGCATTATCAAGCTTGCGCTTGGTGTGTTCGAGTACGGTGCGGACATTGTCGTCCAGATCAGTCCTCTTGAGGATGGGCTTGATCCATGCCACTGTCTTGGCTGCCAGCTTGCCCTTGTCCTCGGTCGTCTCTGTCTGTGCCTTGAGTCTTGCCAGAACCTCGCGCAACGCCCTCGGGAACTCGACTGTCGTGACATCGACACCAACCAGTGGTTGCCGGACAACACAGCCACACGTGGCCGGGTGTCTTGGGTACTCGTCGACCATGACATCCAGGACGTGCTGGATGATGGCAGGCTGGGCCAAGACGGCTGTAAAGGTTGCGAACATGTCGAAGAAGGCCTCGGCAGCGGGTGCGCTGAAAAAAGGTTGTTTCCTGGCAACATCGAAGACGGCCTTGGGAATGGCGCCCTGTAGGGCGGGGCTCTTCTCGAGCTTCTTGATTGCCTCGTCTGAGAAGACCTTCCTTGCCTCCTTGGCTTTCTTGTTGTTCTCGTCTGCCATCGGGTCGGGCAGGATCTCCTTGTCTTCAAACTCTTCATCGTCCGACTCGTCGTCTCCGAAGCGCAGGACGTCACCGTCCTCGACTGTCTCCTCGGCGCGAGCTCCCTTGAGCCCCTTCTTGCCGCCCTTCTTCTTCTCCATCTTGGCCAGCCACTCCATCTCGACGCGGGCGTACTCCACCCACAGGTCGACGGTCGAGTTGCAGAAGCGGCAGCCCCTCATGAACATGCCTCGCGCGCCCTCCATGTCGCCGTCGCTGGCTGCACGCCTCCCAGCCCTGGCCCACAGGCCGGGGTTGATGGGGTGCATCCTCAGGGCCCTGGTCATGATCTTCCTCCACCTCTTGGTGGCCTTGACGCGCGCGGCATAATCCAGGTAGTCGGTCCACAGGTCGAGGCTCCCCGGGTGCCTGAAGACGGCGCGCTCGTAGATGTTGAAGACGCGGGCATTGCTGGCGTGGGAGGTGGAGTGCTTGATCTTCTTGCGGAGGCACCTCTTGGCGCGCAGCTTGTCGAGGGACAGCTCCCAGGCGACATAGGACTGGAAGTGGTGGGGCTTGCAGCCGGGGCCGAGGACGAGGTGCTCGAAGTCGGTGCGCTTGGAGACGAGGGTGCGGATCTCGTCCTTGGAGAAGATCTCCTTTTCCTCGAACTCTCGCAGCTGGGGCACCGCGCGCTCGAGGTGGAAGCGCGCCTTTTCGGCGACGTTGGCCATATCGGTGGGGTGTGTGAAATGGAGGCCAGCGGTGGTGTATGTTTCGTCCGTGAGTAGCGGAGGTGGTACTTGAAGTGGGAGTCGTGGTCGTGGTCGTGGTACCGGAGGAGTGTGGTATCGCGATGCTTTTTGGTGGTGTTGAAAAGTCAAAGTCGAGGATGGGCGTTCTGAACTTTTTAGTGGGGCTTGCGAGGTGGGGACCCCCGAGAGAGACGGACTGGGGTGGTGCCTGACCTAGAGGGAGCTAGCGGGCCAGAGGAGGGGGTTCCTGGTGGGAGGATCTGCGGCTTGCTGCCCGCTGAGTGGACTGACCGGTGACCCAGCCTGCCGAGGCTGGGCGGAGCTATGAGACGCGCCCGGCACCGATCAGCCTGCCCGAGGGAGGATCGATCAGCTCTGCTTACTTTTTGTGAGGCATTGTGCCATGTAACTGCGTATCCATGCCTGCATCCCTGTACCCAAGCACCCCAAGCTGTCGCTTGTTGACTGAATGACATTCCGTGATCTGATCTGATCTGATCCGACTGTTCCTGCGCCGCATTTCCTCCAGCCATCCAGCCTCTCAAACTCTTTTCTCCCCTCCACCCCTCCTCCTCCACCACGACTACTCTCCTGCTCTTGCTGCTGCTCATCTATCTGGTGTCTCTTTCTTGTGTCTTGGTTCCAATTGTACTCTCTGTCCCATGCCCCTCTGATCGGCGACCCCTCCAAAATGGCGACGTCCAGGTACAAAGACAAGGACGGCGGCGTGCTCTTCTCCTTCAGTGGAGTCTGGATCAGCTGGCTGCATACCATCCTCGCATACTGTACGCCCAGCCTCTCCCTCCTCTCCCGGAGCTGGAGCTGTCACTGATCCAGCTGGATGACTGGGAGACTGGTTGACTGACTCACTTACTCTTCCAGCTGCCTTCCTCAGCGCATTGGTCGTCGGCATCTCGCTCCACTACCACAAGATCGTCCAGAACGAATGGTTCGGATATCCGCAGGAGTGGTTCCCCTCCGTCTCCGCCACGATAGGCGACCGCTATCCCGAGCGATCCTTCTTCCAGCTGTTTATCGCATTAACCTCTGGTCAGTCTGCACGGAATTTCCGGTCCAAAGACACTCAATTGCGCCCAGAAAACCCCAGAAATTCACGAGACTGATTTGTTCCGGCAGGTCCGAGATTCGCCCTTGTCGCCTTCTGGTACCTCCTTTCGCGCAGGCCCGGCCACAAGCTGCCCGCCTTAGTCGCCTTCTGGGGCGTCTTCCGAACACTCACCTGCGGCGGCTGGACCTATATCACCTCCACCGACGACCATGACTGGCACGACATCTTCATGATCTCCTACCTGCTGGCCACCATACCCTGGACTTTTGGGTGCATCGCCCTCAGCCCGCCCAACCCGACTGCGATCAAGTACAGGAAATACGTGTCGGGCACGTTCTACGGCAGCATCATCCCCCTCATTTACTTCTTTATCCAGCACAAGGTGCACAAGGTGCCAGGAGGTATGTCAAGAAAAGAAATGTGCCCTGAGGAAAAGCCCGGCACAGTCTGGGAAAGAAAACAGAACAACCACTGACTGACATGCGCCGAACAGCCTACACAACCTATGCCTTCTTCGAGTGGTCCCTCGTCCTTCTCGACGTCGCATTCGACGCAGTCACCGCCCTGGATTTCGACTCGTTCGAGGTGGTCATCAGGGACATCAAAGGAGTCAGCAAGGGGTATGTCCAATGGCTTCCCAAGTAGATCTCAAAAAGATGAAAAGAGGGAGCAAGTACCAACGACCCCGCCTTGTTACTGTACATGTCAGCGTACACGTACACACTGCGGATGATGATACGCGTCCCGGTGACCGAGTTGGTTCTAAATGTCGTGTTTCTCTTCTAGTGCCAACTCCTCGTCTGTGCCCTCGGCTGTGCTTGAGAAGGAGAAGGAAAAGGCCACCGCTGGCGTCTCCACCCTGCCCTTCGGCACCAACGCCGCCCTCGACATTGTCGCCGACGTCTACCATGGCTTCGTCTTCTGGTCCATCCTCACCAGCCTGGGCGTTCTGGTCTGGTACTTCCCGCTATGGTACATGGGCATCTCCGGCTACGAGGCATTCGTCATGTCCACTGTCTCGCCTTTCCTGCTGGGTATAGCACCACTAAGGACGCTGGTCGTCCGCAACCTGCGCATCGTCCACCTGCTGTCGCTGTCTGGCCTGCTGGCCTTCCTGGTCCCCGGCCCTGTGGGCCGTCTCAGCGCTGTCGGTTTTGCGGTATGGATGCAGTGCCTGGCTTGGGCCGCCACTTTCTACGCCGACTCCGTCCACGAGGGCAGGCTCGAGTCCAGGATCATGGCCTGGATGGCCGGCCTGCTCGTGTCAAGCATCGCGAAATTCATGTGGCAGACAAACAACCCCATCTGGCCCATTATGCATGGAGCCAACGGCGGATGGAACTACACCGCACTGTTCCTCGCTGTTCCTGCTGCTCTAAGGTTCACCCGGCGTGGAGTCCTGAGCGGCGGGGACAACAGCTCAAGGAAGGACGGCTCGGCGGTGCTCTCAGCACTCAGCATAGGTGGTCTGCTGTTCGGACTGCATTCCCTCCTGTCCGACAGCAGCACCATGATCCTCTGGGTCTGGGACGGGTACCCCATCCGAGGTCCCACCGCCAACACGTCCGCCTGGTACACCATTTGGGCAATGACTGGAGGCCTGCTCCTCGGTCTATTCCGCCCACAGGTGGTCAACACCTACGGCTTCTACGCGTTTGGCTGTGTCGGCGGCGCGATCCTGACATACTCCAGCCACTGGTTTGGCTACCTCGGTGCACTTATCACCGCCACCTTCTTGATGGCCATCTCCCATCCCCTGATCACCAATGCAGCCAAGAAAAGCCCCGCCGTCACCTTTGGCCTGGGCTTCTTCGTCTACAACTTCCTGGTGCTCTTCCATGTCTGGGTTGTTGCATATGCCTTCGTGCCCGGCGGCCCCCTCGTCCGCGAGCATACCGACTGGGTCATGCTCACCACGTTCCTGCTGATTGGCGCTGGCTTCTTGGACATCAACAGAATCAACTCGTCCAAGAAAGCCGGAAAGCGGCCCATCAGGAACAACTCGTCCCCGAAACCCCATCGCAGGTACCATCTCTCGATCCTCGGCGTGTTGAACCTGCTCTTCCTCGGCGCAGCCTTCCTCCGCTTCCCCACCAACGACTACAAGCCCTATCATGGCGATGCGAACCTCATCACCGCGGGCATCTGGACCATTCATTTCTCACTTGACAACGACATGTGGAGCTCCGAGGTCCGCATGCGCAACCTGATCAAGGAGTTGGAGATCGACGTCATCGGCCTGTTGGAGAGCGACCTCCAGCGCATCATCATGGGCAACCGTGACACGACCCAGTACCTCGCCGAGGACCTCGGCATGTATGTCGACTACGGCCCGGGCCCGAACAAGCACACATGGGGCGCCGCCCTGCTGTCCAAGTTCCCGATTGTCAACTCGACACATCATCTTCTGCCCAGCCCCGTGGGAGAGCTAGCTCCCGCAATCCACGCAACGCTGGACGCCTACGGCACGCTGGTGGACGTCTTCGTGTTCCACTCCGGTCAGGAGGAGGACCCCGAAGACCGGCGTCTGCAGACAGAGTACCTGTCCAAGCTCATGGGCTCGACCGACCGGCCCTCCATTTTGCTCTCCTACCTGGTCACCAAGCCCGGCGAGGGCAACTACAACACGTACGTCTCCGATGTGAGCGGCATGCACGACATCGACCCGACGGACTGGGACCGGTGGTGCGAGTATATCCTATACAAAGGGCTGAAGCGGACGGGCTATGCGCGGGTGAGCCGCAGCACAATCACGGACACGGAGCTGCAGGTGGGCAAGTTCGTGGTGCCGCGCACAGAAGAGGAGAAGGGAGGATTCCTCGCTGCCGAAGAGGACAGGAGGGACAGGAGGGTGAAGGAGGCAGAGATCGAGGAGTCGAGGAGGTTCCCTGCGCTATTTAGGGGCAAGGGGCAACGCGGACACAGATACCACGTTTTCAACGAGCCGCGGTATTATAATTTCTAGACATGTAGCTGATGGCTTAGGAATGATGGCTATGACTTAATGAGGAGGATGGTTGTTGGAAATTGGCGGGGGGGAAATTGGCACCTCAATGAGGGCCGAGGCTTGAGATAAGCCTTTATTCTGTAATTTTGATGTATGGCAGATGATCAATGCTGAAACTTCGCACAGCGAAATGTGCCACGCTCAATGTCTTGCACATTCTCAGGCAGTCATGCCATTTTGACAATCATAAAAACCTTGTAAAAGGAAGCAGTACTACATATAAGTACCTAGAGATGCCACAATATCACTCACGAGCAGCCACTGGATAGTAAATACAGACTTAGCAGAGTTGACACCATGTAAAGCAACCCAAACCGTTGATTAATTACGACTAGAACTATTCCTGTAACGAAGGCGGCACAATTCTGTCTATATCAGAACAAAGACGCAGGCCGGGCAAAGGGCTTAGGCAGACTTCCTCCTGCGGGCCACGTAGCGTTCAATAACAATGTCGAGGCACGAAGCGCGCCTCGCCTCCACTGCATTGCGGTCACGGTCCAAGTTGGCCAGGCAGTCCTTCAAAGCCCGAACGGCCGGGGGTCTCTTCCCGCTCGGGCAGAGTGCCGCGTTCGCCCCGGGTATTGGAATCGGGGCGGCACCATTTGCAGTCTTCAACCAAGAAACAGACGCTCCTCGAGGGCTGGCGCGCGCTTCTGTCGGCCCTGGCCCTGTGTGTCTCTAGTGCCGGGCCCACGTCTTCCAGCTCGACACCTACCTCATAGGGGCCTCCACTGAAGTGAGTCTCCTCGGCTGTGGTGGTTGAAACGTCACGGACGCTGGAGGATGAGGTGGTCTTGTTGGAGCTCATACTTGCCGGTCTTTGGTTGAGTTGAAAGTATGTCTGATGAGAAGAGGGCGGTTGTATTAAAACGTGTGTCTTTCTCAAGTGACAAGTCAATCAACTATTGATGAAACAGCTGGAAAGACCAATACTCGAAGTCGATACGTGTGTGTTTTTAAATATTCAATGACTTGCATCTTGGTTGGTGCTCCTCACAACGCACTCATTGTCGGCCTGACAATGGCTTGTGTTGCGAGGTTTGTCCTCGGTCCATCTTTTGTTTGGAATACAAAGCTTTATTGACCGTCGCATGTTCCACTCTTTGTAATACTAGCTGCTCACTCAACAGACTTTTAAAAGACATGCAACTGCCCCTAGCATCCGAAGTGTCACAGTTAACGTCGACGCTATCTACTAATTTGCTCAGCGTCGAACGTAGGAGGGCACTAGATGCTTTTAACATTTCCTTTCGTTTGACACGTTTCCGCATTCTTATTGCCAATGACTTATACAGAAGATGATCTTGGAAATACAAGAGATGGAATCATGATCTGGATGAATTGCGAGAGCATTAAGTCCAGCGAGGGGAAGTGCTTATGGGAACATCGGGATTTTAGGCCTAAAAACAAAATAGTAGTGATCAGTTATTATCTTTATCAATTAACCTATAGGACAATCGTTATTGCGCATGGTAGACCGAGAGGATAGACGAGAGGTTGGGTGGCAACTGTTGTGGTAACCATTTGCATAGGTCTTGTTACGTTTCGGAGCCCCTACCTAGGTATTCTTCAAAGGCCACCCACCAATATCAGCAAGAGTCTGCCTAGCGATCAGAAATGGAACTTCAGTCAAGTGTTTATGGATACAAAGTAATTAACCAAAAGTCCTATTGAACTACCTACTGCTAAATCAAAATCCTCCACCACTAGGAGAACACCCAGTATCAATCCCGAGAAAACAGACCGCAAAATGCAACAGACTGTCTACACGTCTCCGCTAGAAAGAATCAAGAGAGGCCGCGGGACGCGAGGATCAGCGCCTCAGATCTGGCCGGGAAAGCTCAAACTGCACCACTGGCAGTGCTTGCCGTGGAAGCAGTCGTCTTCGTGCCCTCCCTCTTCGGGATCCTGGCGCTCCTTCTCCTCGATCTCAGCCTTGGTCGGAACGTCGGCGTGGTCTTCTGCGCGGCGGACGGCGGGCGAGGCGTCATGATTGCCGGAAGACTGGCCCTTCTTGGGCTGAGCGGTGGATACGTTGGAGCCCATGGCTGCTGGTGCTTATGAATGAAGAGTTTTTCTGTAATGTGGACAAGGTGAGTCTCGATGCTATTCCTTTTCCTCAAGCAGTAGATAGTTGTGGTGGCGGGGAAGGATGTGATCGATGGATAGGAAGGGAATCCTCATGTCTTTAAATATCCTACGACGAGTAGTCACTCAGCCCAGGCTAACAAGGTGTACTTTGCCCGTGTATCGTGTCTTTGGTCTTGAATTCGTTTAGACACAAAGCTTCGTTAATAGCTTTATTATTAAGTCTCCTTTACCACAGCTAAGTCCTCAGCAGCAAATACAATCACATTGTTGCTGAAAACAAAGAATTTTATCGCATTGAGCAGCAACCACTTAGATCTGCCCGTCCAAGGTGCACCAAGTACACTGCTTTCCATGGTAGCAGTCCTCCTTGTGTCCTCCCTCGGCATCCTGGCGCTCCTTGCGCCCAATTTCTTTGCTTAGTTCATACTGACACCCAGACAAGTGTCCACAGAGAAGCGAACCGGTGCAACTTAAGCCAATGAGGTTATTTGAAGCTGCATCACGACGGACTCGCTATTCCTGCTGTCCGAATTTTCCCGCATCGGGCCCGTCGATTCCTCCGCCTCACCAAAGTTCAAGCCGAGCAAACCAGATAGACTCAACAGATGGTGGGACACCCACAGCGGCCGCAATAACTTGGAGGAAAAGCCTGTCCACAAGCATATGACTGCTTGCAGTCACTGTCCTTAGTGCAGGGATACCAATTCCCGTGGCCCTCGTCGCCCTTTGCAGTCCAGCACCATGCTCCAAAGTTCTGACCTATTATCACATCGATCCCGTGGCAGTCTTTCCAGCAGTATCCGTCTGAGCACCCAGACAAACGGCCGCCGTGGCCGCCACAACCGCCACCGCGCTTGGCCAGCCCTGGGCCAGCCTGACGGCCTAGAGGGTGGTCGGCGCATTTCCGAACGTCGCTTGCATTTACGCCCGCGGGGAGCTTGGCCTCGTCCACCACCATCAGACCCAGACTGCCGCAATCGTCTTCGTCAGCGGAGAAACCCGTGGCGATGGCGGTGGTGAGGAGGATGGCCGTGCCGAGCTTCATCGTGTATTGGATGTTGCAGTGGGGGGGGGGGCATGGGATTGTGTATTTGTGTGATCGTGGGATCGTATGACCAAGATGCCAATTCTGGATACTTGAGAACTTGGAGAACAATATCGTACAGAAGTCAAGGATACAGCTTTGTATTTGTCCACTTGGGGCAAGTCGTGTTCGTGTGTTGCCTGAGCCACAGGGCGAAGGCATCTCGACACAGTGCTTGGCGGTGTCAAACTAGGTTGAGACGGTGATTAGAGATGGCTTTGGCCTTGATGGCATCGTCCTCGATGGCACGAATGCCACCGGAGACTAGGCACGGCCTAACTCTAAGACTTTTGGTGCGAAATGGTGGCCTCTAACACAACACTGGTTTGCAGAAGTAGATTGAATAGTCATTGTCTAGAGCCTTGCATAGCGAAAGTCACTGTTACCTACAACCCATATTCTCTCGTGTCCCAGTGGGGCATTTACTGTCGTTCCGGATTAGTAGAGGAACTTAGAGAATACAAATAGTCTATAGAATTCAAGTATGCAAGTTTGGATAGAACTTTGGGACTGCTACTTGAGACTTCTTTACTATCTTGGGAGACACAGCCGTGGGTTGACAGCCCCTATTTATGCCCATCTGGCGAGGTGTTGAGGCTCTCGCATCTCTACACTCGCTAACAGCTCTTTTGACTCGCCCGAGCGTGCTTAGGCAGTGGCGAATTAGCTATGATGGGTGTGCGGATGTCTACCTGGGTTTAGTGCTGCTGGTGTACCGGTGTACCCTCCATTTTTATAGGTGCGAATATCTGATTCCTTTTCCAAAAAAAAAAAAAAGAATTTCTCGCCCTTCCGATAGTCTTATTTGCCACTCCGAAAATGCATAAGGAAGATGTATCACTGGGTCCTGCTTGATCGCACCGCTCATGTTGGGTGTTGTGTCAGGGACTCACTCATACACACAGTGGTCAGTTTGTAGAATATTTTTGATTACTTAACGTGTTCTCAAATCACCGCGAGCCCATAATCTAGCTGGCTGGGACAATTTCAAGGAGTCTTTGACGGAAATCAAGTTCATTGTCATGCCTGGTGTTGTGTTTTGATTTCCCTCCCGATTTATGCCCAATACTTTCTCATTCGCGGCTTCAATAGCAACCAGAGTGAGCCGGGTAGATTGGGTCAAACTTGGATTCTGTAGACGTATGAAGATTCTCGAGTCAGTAGTCATATGGCAAACACGTGCTTATCCCTATTGCGGAAAATGCAAACATGCTCTCGCTTGACAGGGCCATCTGCTGCACCTCATATGAATCGAAGTTCCATTGTCGAGACCATGTTTCAAACCTTGCCGCCAAATCGGCAGAGTGGCCGGGGTATTTGAACGAGGCTTAGCCGGAGCGCCCGGGCGGCGCGCCAGCCTTAGGTGCAGCTCTTTTTAAGCTCAGAATCTGGAACAAGCTCATCTGCCGCTGAGAGCATCTGTCATGCCTGGCACCCAACTGCATGAGCTCCCAAACGTGAGGCTCAGCGGAGCTTAAATGGGTGTTCATGTCTGTCTGCGGGCATTTTGCAGCATTGCGATTGGGTTGGTGACCGACCCCTTGAGAAGAGTTAATCCACTTTGGCTCGGGAGGATCCGTTGCAATAGATTCGGTAAATAACCAGTAGCCCACGAGCTAAGCCACCGATCTGTGTTTGTTTCGCGGTGATCGACGTGAGATCTACAGCCTAGCCGGGCCAGCTACAGTACACTCATTTTATATCACGGCCTTGGATTCTGACTGCCACGATGCACTGGTCCACATCTGCTTCCAAGGCTCTCACATCACTCCTTCTTCTCATACCTTCAATAGATGGCCATGTTGTTGTTCGAAGACAGACTCCCCCGGCGGCTGGGAATGTCACCTTTGTCCCCTGCCCTACGGTAGACCCTTTCTTACCGCAGGACACCGCTCTGGGGCTGCAATGTGCCAACATGTCCGTCCCGATCCTGCACGACCAGCCTGGCGGCGAGCAAGTGCAGCTGAGTATCGTCAAGATGCCTGCCAAGGGCCAGCGGATCGGCAACCTGTTCATCAACCCAGGCGGTCCGGGTGCTCCTGCGTCGACGCAGATCCTGAACTTTGCTACTGGTGGCCTTCCGATCGGGCAAGCGATGGCCAACAATTTCGATATCATTGCCATGGATCCTCGTGGCGTGGGAATGAGCACACCGTCGAGGTGCGATACCACGATCGGGAACGAGCCGAGCGAGTTTGAAGTCACCACCGACGCAGGGCTTCAGCAGCAGATAGACTACAACCAGAAGCTGGGGGCGAGTTGTAGGGCTCTGATGGGCACGCTGTTTGATAACATGGACACCATTGCCGTGGCCAAGGACATGGAGCTTGTGCGAGTGGGTGAGTTGAATTAAACCACTGACCCTTCGGGAGACTGACCGTCCAGACTAACTCCCAAAGCAATCGGCGACGAGCCCATGAGCTACTTTGGCCAGTCGTACGGGACGCAGCTCGGGGCACAGTACGCCCAGCTGTTCCCCAGCAAGGTGCGAGCGATGGCCCTGGACGGGGTCCTTCAGCACACGGGCGACTACGCCTCCAACGTGCTGATCCAGACCAAAGCCCTGGACGCAGCCATCCAGGAGTTCTTCAACCGCTGCGAGAAGAACACGACAGACTGCGGAGCCCAGGGGCCACAGATGCGCCAACTTTGGGCCAACGTGGTAGACAAGGCCGCGACGGGCACGCTGCAGGCGCCCGGGTGCGACGACACGACGCAGACGGGCTGCCTCCGGAACGTCTCGGTACAGGACCTCCTCGGCACGGCGCGGGGGCTGACCGAGTCGCCGGGCGGGCAGCGGCGGCTGGCGCGGATCCTGGCGCTGTCGGGGACGGGCAACGCCTCGTTCGCCGACTCGTTCGCGCCAGGCCTGCTGAGCGGTGACGTTTTCAGCGACAGCTCGTCCTTCTCCATCGGCAACGTGCAGTGCCAGGACGGGCACTTTGTCGACGCCACGCTGGCGCCGTCGCCCGTGGGCCAGGTGCAGGAGCTGGCGGCCATGACGCGCAACGCGACGGTGACGCCCGGGATGGGCGAGTTCTTCCGCCGTACTATCGGGTGCACGGGGTGGCCGGTCAAGATCACGAACCCGCGCAAGGCGCTGGACGTCTCGGGCACGCAGAACCCGGTGCTGCTGGTGCACACCACCTTCGACCCGGCCACGAGCCCCGAGTACGCGCAGGGCATGCTCAAGGAGATCCAGGGCAGCGTGCTGCTGGTGAGGGACGGGCTGGGACACACGAGCTATTTCAATGCCGGGGCGACGGCGGCGGCGATGGATGCGTATCTGGTTAACCTTACCATGCCGGCAGTTGGGACGGTATTGGCCAGCTGATGCTACGTAATCAGTAAAAGCTGAAGGCTCAATGGAATAGTGAAATAATATACTACGAGAAGTGTAATGTGTGTGAGCCAGTCAGGTGGTGCTGTGACAAACCGACGGAAGAAAAGACATCCATCATGGATCACAATAGATGGTGGGTGGTATGCATCATGGACTTTTGGGTGCACAGATAATCGGTAAGAGGTGGCATATCTCTAATCTTTTAGTGTGTGTGTGTGCTGTGCAGCATTGGAGACGAAGCCGAATACACGGAAAAGGAAGGTCAGATTACAAGCAGTAGTGGTGGGCAGCCATCGCCGAGATCTCCATCTACAGTAGGTGCGGAATAATTCCAGATGCCCACATCTCTCGGCTTATTTGAATACTGTACCCTCTGAGTGGTCCACGGGGAAGGATGGCGGGGAGATATGGGTCTTCCCCATATTCTCCGGGTCCAGTGTGGATATTTACAAAACAAGGAGCGCCCACATCTATCCGAGCATTACGGAACTCACGCACAACATAGATGCATCAAAAGCTGGTGAGCGGTCAGTCTGGCAATAGGGTCACATGGGATCCAGTATTACCAGCCACTAATTACACAATGCATGATTCGGTCGGCCGTTGGGAGCCGCAGCCAACCATCGCCCGGAGCCGTTGTGCGGCATTGTAACCGCGGCTTTGTTCCGAATGAGGAATGTCGCGGCACCGGGCCAGTAGGGCGGCGAAGTTGTGCTTGGGGGCTTGGGGCCCCCCGGCTTATGCCAGAAGCTAGTAGCTCGGCCTCACAGTAGGCTGCTGTGGGTTAGATGGTGCTGATCGTGGGGAAGCATGTTTGTTTGAGCTTGTGCTTGGAAGCACTCTGCGTCTGGCCCGCGTCCAGCCGAGCCGGTCTTGGTTTTGGTCCGTCCGGGTTGGCCTCGAGAGGTGGGCGACGAGGGGCGTTAACAAAGGAGAGGGGACGCTGTCTCGGGTCTTGGTCTCGGGATTTTCCTTTGCTTCTTCATCACAGTTGCCTTAATCTGCGAATTTCCGTGCTGTGATTGTCTGAGAAGAAACCCAATTGGTGAAGTCTAATCATCACGACAGGCCAACATGGCTGACCTCTCACTATCTCACATCACCATGTGGCTCGGCATATTAGCCGGCGCCGGCGTGCTCTACGTAAGTCTGAATAACCCAAAGGAATTCGACCGATAGATGCGGAGAAACTGGTAAAAAGAAAAACTTACACTGACGCTTGCGACAGACAACATGCCTCGTCATGTACCGCCTCTACTTCCACCCGCTGGCCAAACACCCAGGCCCGTTCCTCGCCAAGATCACCGACGCCTACATGCTATGGCACAGCTACAAGGGCGACCGGCACCTCGAGCTGTGGCGCATGCACCAGAGGTACGGCCGGGTGGTGCGCTGGGGGCCCGACTCGCTCTCGTTCAACTCGTCGACGGCGCTCAAGGAGGTCTACGGCTTCCGGAGCAACGCGCGCAAGTCGGCCTTCTACGACGCCTTTGTGCACCCGGCGCCCAACACGCACAACTGCCGCGACAAGGAGCTGCACGCCCGGAAGCGCAGGGTCATGGCGCACGCCTTCAGCGACGGGGCCATCAAGGAGATGGAGAGGTACATCCTGGCCAACATCCGGACCTTCTGTGAGCAGGTCGGCAGCCAGGCGAGCACGGATGCCAAGGGCTGGACCACGGCGAAGTGCATGTCCGACTGGTTTGGGTACCTGGCCATGGACATCCTCGGGGACCTGTGCTTTGGCAAGGCCTTCCACATGCTCGAGAGGGACGACAACCGGTTTGCCATCGACCTCGTGGGCACCGCGGCGCACCGGCACCTGATTGTAGGATGACCATCCCCATAGTTCTGACGTACGACGGATGATGATACTGACCTTGGACCACGCCCACACAGTGCGGCACGATGCCCATCCTCAACACCTTCTCCCTCGACCGGCTGCTCTTCCCCAACATCGCGGCGGGTCGGGCCAGGTACATGGCCTACTCGCGGTCGCAGCTGACGGAGCGCACCAAGCTGGGCGACGAGACGGACCGGCGCGACTTCTTCTACCACCTCCTCAAGGCGCGCGACCCGGAGACGGGCCAGGGCTTCACCACGCCGGAGCTGTGGGGCGAGTCGAACCTGCTCATCATCGCCGGCAGCGACACCACGTCCACCGCCCTGGCCGCGACGCTCTTTTACCTGACGCGCAACACGCACGCCTTGAGCAGGCTGCAGGACGAGGTGAGGGGGAAGTTCAGCGACGTCGAGGAGATCCGCCAGGGCGCCGTCCTCAACGGCTGCGCCTACCTGCGCGCGTGCCTCGACGAGGCCATGAGGATGAGCCCGTCCGTCGGCGGCCTGCTACCCCGCGAGGTCCTGGCGGGCGGCATGACCATCGACGGCGTCCCCGTCCCCGCCGGCACGGTCGTCGGCGTGCCGCACTACACCATCCACCACAACGCAGAGTACTACCCCAGCCCCTTCACGTACGCGCCCGAGAGGTGGATCGCGGGGTCGAAGCTGGCGTTTGGGAACGTGGTCGGCGAGGCGGACACGGCTGTGGCGCAGAGTGCCTTCTGCCCGTTCAGGTGGGTTCCTTTCTTCCCCCGGATGTTCCGTGTGTCTGCTCCAACGCGATCAGGGCTGACAATGGTTGTCGCACAGCATTGGACCTCGAGGGTGCATTGGCAAGGGGCTGGCGTATGTCGAGATGATGGCGACGCTGGCGAGGACGGTGTTCCTGTATGACATGAGGAGGGCGGTGGGCGTCACTGACACGGCGGAGGGACAGAAGGGGAGAGAGTGGGGCAGGGACCGGCCGGATGAGATGCAGCTGATTGACACGTTCACGAGCTGGAAGGAGGGCGTCATGGTTGATTTTAGGAGGAGGGATGGCATCTAAAGCGGTCAGTCATTAACAAGCTTGCGTTTTGGAGAGGATTGCTCGTGGTGGTCTGGTGGTATGTGGCTGGCACTGGCTGCTCAGATTGGGACAAGACGAGGAAGCTGTACATACAAGCATTGGCGATGACTTCACTGCCGCTCCAGAATTTCCAATCCTCCCAGTTGCGCTCCAGTCAAAGGCGAGCCCGCTCACGCTGGTTCTCGTTTCGACCCCCAGCCCCGAATCGGTTCCAGTGCCGAGCCTATCCACTGGTGCCCCATTGTTGCCCATCACGAGACCCCGTCGCATTGGCTGGTTCCTGGGCGCCTTTTCCCTTCTGTGGGGAATCCCTGTCCCAGCTCAGGTGTCCCTCGGTTGGTCTCGAGCTCCATGGCGCGCGGAAACCAGCATGGATTGATGCGGGGAATGATAAACATTGACAAGCCCAAGAATACCAAGGCCAAATGGTCCTGGTGTGCTCCAATTCTGATGCTGTGGTCGCCAACGCGTTTTTCCAAGATGGGAATTCCACCGAGCACTTGCCACTCAGGCCCAAAGTCAGTTCATCCGAGTTGGGCGTCTGCACACGCCGGGGAACACGGAGCCGGCAATCTTTGAATTATCCGTGCCTATCTCCAACTTGGCGTCCACGATGCAGGCACAGGCTCTCTTATCTTTGACGAGGGAGATCACCGTTCCCCATGTTGCACTTTACTCCGACATGCCACCTCGGCTGGGCCCGCGGATACGATGGATGGCTATCTATCTGACGCGCAGAGGATCTAACGAGAGACTCCCATCGTCAACATCGATCCATTCAGCCCTCCTCTGCTTGATTACGTAGATTGATAGGTACTCTGCCCTTCCATGCATGACGACGACAACATCCGACCAGCCCCTCGGCTCCGCTCCGCCATTGTCTTCCACTCCTCACGAGGTGGGGATCTGCATTCCCCTGCCCACCGTCCGTGAGCTTCTTGGTCGACCCCACAGACGCAGACCGAGATATCCTACCTCGCCCTGCTTGTCACGCTCGTGTCGGCACACCTCGGGGCGAGATTTATACGCGCTACATCCTGTTATGAAATCACAACCTACCCTGCCCTGCACATCCACCCTCCCAGGAACATGGCAGCCCTCGTGATGATCCAAAATGTAACGTGCCGCGCACTCATAAAAGACATGTTATCTCCAGACCGTCCCCTGCCGGCAGCCATGCATTGTCCTGCAAGGCACCCGCACCCTCGCCCTCGGCCATCTCACCTTGAAAGGCTGCCCCTTGACCAGACGACCAGCGCGTCACCGCCCAACATGAAGTCTCTCTCTGCCCTCGCCGGGCTCATGGGCCTCGCAGCAGCCCAGTCATGGCCAAACACGCCCTTCACTGCCTCGGGTCGTGACATCCTCGACGCCTCTGGGAACGTCGTCACCTTTGCCGGCGCCAACTGGCCCGGTGCGGCAGATGTTATGATACCCGAGGGCCTGCAGTACCAGAGCGTGTCCTACATCGTGTCGAAGCTCAAGGAGATCGGCATGAACGCGGTGCGGTTGACCTACGCCATCGAGATGATCGACCAGATCTACGAGAACGGCGGCGAGGACATCCCCCTGTCGCAGGCGCTGACCCAGGCGCTGGGTGAGGCGAACGGCACGACCGTCTTCGACCAGATCTTGGCTGCGAACCCAGACTTCAGCACCAACATCACGCGATTGGGGGTGAGTGGACGTACCAGATAAAAGAATGCGATGGGCGTCGGGGTAGATGACTGACTTCCCTGTGACCTTGTCAGGTCTTCGATGCAGTAGCTGCAGGATTGGCCGCCAGCGAGATCTACATCGTCCTGGACAACCACATGTCCCAGGGCGCGTGGTGCTGCAACACCGAGGACGGCAACTCGTGGTGGGGAGACACGTACTTCTCCGTCGCCAACTGGACCCGAGGACTGGCCTACATGGCGGAACATGCAAGTCTCACCCTTGGCATCCTCCCTCTCATGCCCCCCCAGCAGCCATACTGACAACACCTCCAGGCCAGCTCGTGGACCGCCCTGACGTCCCTGTCGCTCCGCAACGAGCCCCGCAGGCCCGACAACAACGCCACCCTGGCCGAGACGTACAACTGGCAGAACTGGTACGAGTACGTCAAGGAGGGCGCCGCCGCCGTCAGCACCGCCAACCCGGACGCCCTCGTCATCCTCTCCGGGCTCGACTTCGACACCTTCCTGACGCCCGTCGTGCGCGGCACCGCCCTCACCCCGGGCACGGGCACCTTCTCGCGCGCCGACTTCGCCGCCGACAAGGTCGTGCTCGAGCTGCACAACTACGCCAACAGCGTCGCCGACTGCGCCTCGCTCGAGTCCAGCCTGTACAACAACGGCTTCGAGGCCCTCAACACCACCGCCGACGTCAACCACTTCCCCGTGCTCCTGACCGAGTGGGGCTTCGCCCAGGACGGCGCCACCTACCTCGAGCCCTACACCCAGTGCCTCGCCGAGTACCTGCCCGCCCAGAAGGCCGGCTGGATGATCTGGGTCGTTGCTGGTAGCTACTACATCCGCAGCGGCACGCAGGACTTTGAGGAGACCTGGGGCCTCCTGTCGCACGACTGGAGCGACTGGCGCGACCCTGCGTTTGTGAACAGCACCTTGGCCCCGATGGTGGAGGCGACCCTCTCGTGAGGTGTCCTAACCGCAGTGTAGCTTTTGTAGATTGCAAAATAGCAGCTCCAGCGTTGTAAATATGTATCTGGCATCAAATAACGCAGTGGCCACATGTGACTGACGCCTGACCATGTTAATGAGCTTGCATCGGCTGAGCTGGATGTCATGCTGGTATCGACTCGATCTTTTCGTCACAAGTCGAGCTCATTTGTAAAGCGCACTGCGCTTGTGAACTCCTGGGGATACTGGTTTGGTTTACGGCGTGTACCCCCATCATGGTGTCCTGGTGGTAGCACTGCGAAGATGGCACTCACTCGGCTCCCCCGTCACAGACGACTCTGAAACGAGTGTTCATAGCCTTGATCGTAGGCCAGTTGGCCTATTTACTTCTCTCTTCCTTAGGTAGCCGCATTGCAGCTGCTGATCGCCTGGTTGCTCAGCTCACCCCAATTCTTGCCCTTACGCACATGGAGCCTGTGAACGTTGGTGAGCTTTCAAGGCAACGGCGAGCTCTGCTGGTCGGCCTGTTTCGACTGTATTGTCTTGTGTGGGAATTTCATGTGCTGGGTCGGCTGCGAAATGTATTCGTGGTTCGAAGCTTCCTGTTGGCACTGCCAGGGGGCCAGGGTATGACTGCTCCTCGTTATGACCATTGTTGATGTCCTTGAGAATTTGACGGTGCTTCATCTTGAACACAGTCCATGGAAGATAGCTACACATGATGACCAAGACGACCAGACAGCTGACAACAACTGCGGCTACCACTTCAAACGGCACTGGGCTGATGTGGCCCTTGGCATTTGGTGACGTGGCTGATCTATGAAAAGAGGAACGACGGCCAACCATCGAGGAGGGTTTTAAATGAAATAGCCTTTCGATGTTTCCTTGAACCAATAACCCTAAAGGTTGAGACAGGATCAGCATTGCTTATATCGGGGCAAGTTCAAGTCCTTTGTCTTGCCATGATGGTTGCACAAGCAGGCAGCCGACTCTCGCCCTCCATGGCAGCCTTTCAACCCCCCCAACCCCGTGCTATCTGCCTTGAAACTACGGGTCTCGGAAGGCATATGCTGCCTGGCTGGTCTCGGGGCCACGGGATTCAGGCTTACAATGAGACAGCAAAATTGAAGACGTCTGCTTTGCCAGGCCCCGCGCCTGACATGCATGTTCGAATCGACCTCGAGACTGCAAAAAGTAATATCCACATCGGGGTTTGAACCCGAGTCTCCGGGGAATTCAGGTGTTGCTGCCATTTGAAAGCCCGATATGCTAAACCACTGCACCATATGGATGGAAAACCCAGGGTCCAAGGCCTTCAAGAAGGTGGGTGCGAAGGTGGGTGTTTGCAGCAGTATGGGTTCGTTTGCAGTTGAGGCACCGGGTGGCAACGGCAGGCTGCGTACCTCCTTTTCTCTCTTTCTGTCCCCCCACCCCTCTCCCTCAATACCTGATGCTGCCAGGAATGCTTGAACCCATGTCTTACTCAGGGTCTCCGTTTGCAGCTCTTCCTACACCCGATGTCTCGTGTCCTTGTATGCAAATGAAGCAATCCCAATCACACATCCATACATAATCCATCTCGTTTTGTTTGTACGAATTATCTGTTGATGCTAAGAAAGTAACATGGCTTTTTCACCAGCCCACTTTCTTCGATGGGACGTGTGTGCTGCTATTTTAATTACTCTTAAAGATCACTTCAATTTTGAACCATCATGGACATTACGGACCTTGCTTCATGTGAAGACCGAATGCTTATTGATTCGCTGCCCCCTGAGCAAAAACATTCGTCTGCTTCCGTTCCTTTCAAGATCGAACAAGTTCTAATCCACGAGTTTACAGTGGGCTGACCCCTGGGCTCTTTCAACCCCAAAACTACCACATTGCACGACCCAGTTTTGCCGAGCCTCGTTGCTAAATGTTAACCCCGAGCAAATTGATTAATCACAGAACCGAATAAAGCTTGCGTGAATATGGCCGAGCCGCCGAGCGTCTAACAGGTACGATACTATCTGCAAGTCCAAATCGCACTTTTCATCACAGAGGTTGACGGCCTGTATTCTGAGATTGGAAACTGTCGCATGATCTAACAGCTGCCATTTCGACTTCTGACTGTTTGAAAGCATCGCGGCTTATACATCTCAGCACGGGTATCTGCGTGTTTACAGCAGACAGACGGTATACTATCCTAGCAAAAATTGCCCCCTTGTTGCTGAGTGCACATTCATGAATGGCAATGAGAGGAGAGAGGCTTCTGGGGCCCTCCATGACTGCATTGGTAAAGTTGAGATATATATGATGTAGAGGTGGAAGACAAAGTCCACAGTTTCATTTTCACAGTCTCGCAAAGAATTTCTTTGCTGGGAAAGATTTTGGTCAAATATGTTGTCCAAAATATTGCCGTAAATGGTACGCATCAGATGCACATTCTTGTTCCATCGTCAAATTGACCACCACTTGTAATCACATTGCACTCTGACCCTGGATGGAGCTCGTATTGCACCTATTCGTAGGGTTTCCCATAGTTAAAAATCGAAAGAAAGCAACTGGTTTCAGGGAACCTAGTCACCGGGAGAAATCCGGAGAAAGCCCACATGACGGCTGCGTGAGGCTTGTACTGCGGGAAGGGGGTTGCAGAGGGCGAAAGTCTATCTGAGGTTGGAGGCTCTCTGTAACACTCCTTCGCAGCCAAATGCATCATCCGAGCAGACACCGCCGGGAAATGCGGGAGGCGCGAATCACTTGGCCTTGTGCGTCCCATATTTGGGACCACCAACGGAAGCTTATGTGGTGGCACGCCAAAGGCAGCTGAAAGGGGCTGTCGAGCGCGGGCCGGTCATTGGTGGCGCGGAGTGACAGGTGCATGTATGTGAAACCGTTGGACAGACGAATTTGGTGGGCACTTATTGGTCGCCCTATTCAGGCCATCCAAACGTCAGACGGACTAATCATTGTAACATTACGCATGCCCAGTTCTGAGCTGTGATGTGCAAACTCAATCAGACGGTTGATGTTGGTCGCAGCCGGGATGACGGCTCCCAAGCCGGATTGCTTGCGCAGACTCGTCTTTATTCAGCAGGGGTTCTGAAATTTGGCCATAGTCCACATCCTTGAGATGATGGAGTTAATAGCGGTCCCAGAAGCTTGATTTTGTGTTCTACAGTCGAGTTTAGCCATTTTAGCCTGGTGTTTATGCTCTGATGGTGTCAAGCCTATGTGTGTGGCAGCCCTTGGGAGAGAACAGGCTTCTTCTGGTCCTCTGAAACAACAGCTCGGAACTGTGCCGAGACTCGTCTCGAGTATTCTGTGGTCACGGTCTGCTCGAAATTTCAGTGACCCATCTCCTGAGTTGGTTCTAACTCGTTGGTGATATCTCGCAACCCGAGGTTGCCGAAGCTCCGAGGCTTGCAATCACGGCCCAGAACAGCAGGCGGTGAGGGTCGCGTGGTTCTTTTCAAATCAATGGGCCTCCTGGATATCCCTAGAAATATCACGAGACATACAGTGTGATGTGAATGAAATAGAGCCTTGGACCTAAGTAAGGGACACAATTGGACAGGGCTGAACTATGGGGTGGTGTGCCGGCTCGGGGTGGGAGCTCACTCGCTCGAGTCCAAGGTACCGGGAGACAGGGTGTTTGAGATACCATCATGCCGAGATAAAGGGAATCTGAGATTGATATGAGTATGAGTATCAATCTACCCGAATTGGGCATGCGACATTGCAATGACAGGCACGAAATGATCTGTGATCAACATAACACACAGACGGTGCACGCCACGGACCCAGACCAACGGCCTGGAAGGCTTAGTCTCGCCTTGCCAAGGTTTCCTGCGCGAACCTGACCGAATCGAAAGCAATATAGAGTCCATTTCAAGCATGAACTTTTGATATACCGCTCTGGTGAACATTTCCCGGGGCCGGAGTATAGTTCATCGGGAGTATGGAGGTGGTTTCAGGATCTGTGTGCCAGGTCCGAAGGTTAAATCTGACCCCTTAGGCTTCATCACACCATGCTACTCTTCCCGCAGGCTGTCGATTTGCTTCTTCCACAATGATAAAGGCACAAACTCTCGCCTGTTCGACGACGGGTGGCGCTTCTCTATCAGCGCTGATGGGCCGCCCGTCGTCCTCGCACGCCCCAATATGGCTCCTGATTGGACGAAACTTCCTGGTGATGGCGTGGTATTCCTCGGTACATCACTTTTGTTTACCTTTCTGGGTGTTCTTGCGATTTTGGCGAGAAGCTACACCAGCTGGGCCTGTGCCAAACGATTCCGTCTTGATTACTGGTTGTCTCTCTTCACCTTTGTAAGAAACAGCTCCCCCGACGGACAAGAGCTGGAGCTGAAGTCCGACAGATTCTTCTATGCGTCAGCCAAGCGTTTTTTGTCGTCAGTGTTGTTTTTGGTATCGGAGCTCATGCCCAAGGGCTTCGTCCTCAAGAGATCGTCATAGCTATGCGTACCAGCTGGGTCAACATGATCTCGGCCATAATAGCCATTGTCACTGGGAAGCTGTCCATCATCGCATTCCTGGATCAGATCAGGGGTCGTCATAAGGGCCGACCGTGGTTTCTCTGGTTCATTGGAGCTTCAAACATAGTCGTCAACTCCACGGTTGTTGTCACTATCCTGTTACAATGCTCGCCAGTCGAGAAGATATGGGATGACAGAGTTCCCGGCACCTGCGACGGAAGGTCTTTCAACTTGAAATATGCATATTTTCAAGGCAGTACGTCTTTATCTGATGTCAAGCACCCCTTGTAACGATCAAGCTAATTGAGAGAACTGCTCTTCCTCGCAGGTTATTCTGCTGTCTCGGATGCTGCGCTTGCCATCTATCCCATCTACCTGATTTGGGACCTGCAAGTTGCAATGCGTATGAAGATCGGTCTTTGTTTCCTCCTCGGGTTTGGGCTAATCGCAGCCGCGTGTTCCGCCCTCAAAACGGCGGAGCTGACCAATCTGCAACGGGCCGATGAGGAAGGCGACATGACGTATTTCGTGGGTCGTCTGTCTTTGACCACCATCATCGAGGCCTGGATAGTGCTAGTTGGCGGGTGCATTCCACCATGTCGGCCACTGCTGAAGGCATTCTTGGCCAAGATCCGCGGGACGACGTCTTCCTCGGCCCGCACGTATCCAGGAACTCATCCATACCAGAGGTACGACAAATACGGCTTGCCATTTTCGGCGGCTGGCAGAACCATGACTGGGTCAGGGAAGGCTGTCAGAGCAAACCTGGCCGGCCATGCTTTTACTGGAAACCGCACACGTGTATACAATGACCCCAATGTCGATGCGGCGGCAGAGTTCGAGATGCATGAGAACATCAGAACGAGCCCGGGTGACAGCGACAAGACGTTAGTGCCTCTGAAAGACCCTGACAAGGCGATTGTGATGACTTGGGTAACGGATGTGGATTCCTCATGATACATGTGTTGCTGCGTGGCTGATCGCTGTGGTAGGGAGTTGGCCAACCATGACTCGAATACTAATAAGGCTATGCTCGGGACGGAATGCACTGTCGTGTCCTATCAAATCTCCGACGTGTCTGTATAGAAAGAAACATGGCCATCTACCTAGATAGCCTGATAACCTAACCCCCGAGGCAGCGACCTTTCTTAAAGTCGTGGAGTATTTTATCCCACGGTTCCAGTGGAAGTTAGTGTCGTCCACCTTGATCTTCTCGAAGCCCACAGCAGAAGGGGAGAAGGTCTGCGTATTTCCATCAGCCTATTCAAGTCCCAGAGGGCTGAATAGGTATTCTAGTGGTTGAAACATCTTCGAGATGCGTCATACTTTCCAATCCCGTGTGTAGGCAAATGCAAAAAATCTGGGGTTACAGAGATATACTACCTACCAGGGGGGAGGGGGGTTTCTGACTGGGTTATGCAATGCACTTACATTTTAACATTTAATTAAAATTTCATAATTTTAGCAAAATGTTAATAAAAGGTTATTATAATATTATTAAAAGAAAATTATATTAAGGCTTTAAATTATATTAAAATTAACTTTATATTAATATTAACTTTAAATTAATTAATATTATTATAAATTTATATTAAAAACTTTAATTTAAACCTTATTAATTTTAAGCTTAATTTTATTTTTTATTATTTTTATAATTTATAAATCTTTATATAATAAATAATTAAGCTAATAAAAAGTAATTAAGTAATTAAGTTAAAAATAAGAAAGATTTTTTTTTTATTTTTATATTAAAAATTAATAACATAATTTACCACTAAGTAGTAAATATCACTAAATAGCGGATTTTTCCAACTTTACCCAACTTTTATTAACCATAACACAACGTTAAAGCAAATAAATTAATAAAAAGTTAGCATTAATTAATGCTAATTATATTTAATTCCTTATTTTTAATTAATTTTATTAATTTAAAAATATTAATATAAATGCAATGCTAATTTAAATAAATTAACTTTTAATAAGAAATATATATTTAATGTTAATTAATGCTAATTATATTATTAAAAATGCAATTTATTATAAATTAATAAAATAACTATATTTATATTAATTAATGCTAATTAAGCTAGATTTACTATAATATAATTAAAATTTAATTAATTAAACCCTTTTTTATCTTTTTTATAAGTTCTTGCATTATATTAAATTTCATTATAATTACTATATTATTATTTAATTAATTTATTGCGAATTACCTCCTTAGCATTAACACTTATTTCACTAGCTAGCCGCTTTCCCTTTTATTTCTCTTAAATAAAAGCTTAAGATTTCTTAATAATAAGTGTTCCTTTAAGCTATACTTAAGTTTTTTTAACCCTTTGGCGTTTAGTAAGTATTATATTAGCATTTTAAAGCATATAAATTTACTTGCTTATTATAATAAGTAAATGTATTATTACTTATGCATTCTTTATTAATTAATTAATAGCCTTTATAATTAATATAAGGAAACTCCCTTAATAAGTAAAAATCCTACTTTTAATAAAATTTAATTATTAAATAATTTATTGAGTATTTAATGATATTTAAAACTTTTATTTTTAAGAAGAAATAAGGAGGAATTATATTAAAGTTTATAAATAAATATTAAGCGTAGAAATTATAAAATTAAAATCCTAAGGAGAAATTTTAACTTTTTTAAATATAAACTTAATATTTTTTATTATAAAAGTTTTATTATAGGTTGCCTTAAATATAAGAAAGAACTTAAATTTAATAATATAATTAATAAAAGCTTAAATAAAAAGATTAATCTTATTATTATATATATACTTTAAAGAAAGATAAATATAATATAATATTTAATAGCTAAAGCAAGTAAGATAAATATAGCAATATATTAATAATAATAATCTTATTATCCTTATAATATTAATTAAACTTAGTTAATATATAGCTTTTATAGTTATTTATAATTAATATTTAATAATTAATATTTTTCTTTAGCTTAATATATTTATTAAAATATTAAATTTATTTTAAATTAATCTTATTATTTATTTATTTATTAAAAGTAGGCTTAATAACTTAATTATTTAAAAAACTTAACTTTATTATTTAGCTAGCAAGGTAATAAGTACCTTAAATAATTATAAATAATAAAATTTATAACTTACTTATATTAATGCATTTAATAATAATTCTTTATTTTTAATTATTAAGCTAAATTAATTTAGCCTTTTTATACTTATTAATATATATAATAATTATTAATAAGGCAATTATATTTATTATAAAGCTAATCTTATTAAAGTTATAAAGGTTATTATTAATAATTTAATATTTAGCTATTATATTATAAAGAAGTTTAAATTAATTTTTAATAATCTTTAAATCTTTATAAAGGGCCCTTTAATAATTATAAGGATAATTAAACTTAGTTTTTAAGCTAAATTATAAATTTATAAAGCATTAAGCTTAATATTTACTTATAAGCTTATTATCTTAAAATATTAATAAAAGGTTAGCTATATTTTCTATATTAAAAAGTTATAAAGAAAATCCTTAGGCGTTTTAATTAATAATATATTAAATAAGTATTTACTCTTTAATTAAATTAAGTTTATATTATTTAATATATAATTCTTTAAAACTATATTATTAATTTATTTTATAATATAAAGTTATTTTAAAAATATTAAAGATCTTAATAGCTTAAGCTATAAATAAGGGTTTAATGCAATTTTTTTAAAATATTAAATAACCTAAATAATTAAAAATATTTTATCTTCTTTAAATAAAGAATATATATTTTTATTATTAATTTCTTATGCATTAAATATTTAAATAAGTAAATTAATATAAGATTAATATAAAAATTAAGAATGCAATTAATATTAAAAATAACCTATCTTATTAAAATCTTAATAATTTTTAATTACATTATATTACTTTTAGCCCTTTTAAATTAATAAAATTAATTAAAAATAAGGAATTAAATATAATTAGCATTAATTAATATTAACTTTTTATTAATTTATTTACTTTAACGTAATATTATAATTAATAAAAGTTAGGTAAAGTTAGAAAAATCCGCTACTTAGTAATATTCACTACTTAATGGTAAACTATGTTATAATATTAATTTTTAATATTATATTATAATATATTAAGAATAATTATATATTAATAATGTATAAATAATGCAATATATATATAAAAAAAGCATGTCAGAACCTTAATTGCATATCACTATTATGTCACTATTCCATTGACATACTGATGCGATGTTAACAAAAAACCCCCCTCCCCCTGGTAGGTATCCGGATAGCGCCAAGATGGACCAGCCCAGTTACGTGATGGGACTCGAGTCAGTTGGCCCAACTCACGGAGTCGGAAGCTATCACTATGAATCGAAACTTCAAAATGCCCCTTGATGCAAGATGTGCGCTATGTAGCGCTCTAAGGGGGGGGGGGATGCCGGTTTTCATATCCTTGTTACACCACCACAAGAATTATACCAGGTTGCAGACAACTGGTGATGGGTGCTGGACGTCGATCGTCTGCCCAATATGCTTACAAACATCGATCTAACCGTCTTTGCTTATTACCCCAACTCTCCGTCTCCGTGTCAGGGAAAAGTTTGGTTGCTTCAGGAGTTACGCATGATTCGAAAACCAGCCGAGCCTGGCGCGGACGACAACACCTGGACCGTCAAAGGTCTGCCATCTGCCGAGCTGCAAACTTCCAATGTTGGCTCAAACCCGCCATTGCACCGTGGTCAGAATCGATATCGAGACAGTGAGACGTTGCATTTTCAAACATGCCCTTGATTGTTATGACTCAACGGTCGTCATCGCGACTTGCAGCCTCCAGTGATTGGCTTCGTAAGGTGCCCCTTGTCTGTTTCATGCAAGCGAAAACACGGTTTCCACTCTAGCTTCTGACGACGGGTAGACTAATAATCGACAAGCTGCGAAGCTGTCACAGGGAGCTTTCCCAATGAGCTGCCCCATAGAAAGCTGATGTGGGGGCCAAGGCTCAATCAGCCTGACGTACTATTAAAGACAGCGAGGAGCACACGTGGCCATGTTGTGCCCCTTTTCCTCGCAGCCAATGGTCCGTACTTGGACGGCACACTGACAAAAATAATAACGAGGCCATGATCGGGGAGAGATGGCTCATCTGTCCCTCGGAGGGTCGGCATTGAACAAGCCCTGGTGACAGCCAGCCGTAGCAAAAGCTCGGATGACTGAGCTAGTGAGCATCAAATCGACCAAGGGTGCATATGCCAATGCAAAGGACGGCTGTGGAAGCACCCCCATCACTGCCCCAAAGAAGAATCCCCGGACTCAGTTGGCTGGTTCCCGAAAGTCGCATTGAGCTTTATTACCTCCGAATCTGAGTCAGGATTCGAGATGCAAGTGATTGCTGGACCGAAGCCCTCTAGCCATATCCTTCTCCGCGGCCACGGCTGTTCTAGAAGCAGTGGGCCTCAAGATGCGGGCGCGGCGTTTCGAATCCCCTTCTCATGGCACATGCCGCGAGTGGGAACATGGATGGTGGATGACTGTGGGCCGATCTTGATGAGGGGGATCTTCGGGATCGGATCTGATTAGACGAGGACCCAGAACACACCTAGGTAGTGTACAGTACGAACAGAGGAGGGCTGAGGACCATGATGGTCCCCCTCACGGGCACGAGATTTGGCCCACCTCGGTCCCTTCTGCGCAAAGGAAATGAATGGCTTGGCTCGCTTTACACGCGTGTGTTCAGGTAATGGCTGTGGATGTCAAAAGCCAGGAGCCACCCATCAACTAAGCTGCCGAAACAAACCAATCCATCCCGGCACTCACATGTGCAGCTGCAACTGCTGGAAAGTCTGCCCGTCTCAGCCACGGCACTAGTCCCTGTCTGCCTTGGCCCGAGCTGCCCATGTCGACGTTGGGGACGGGACAAAAGCTAATAAGCCGTCCCACACAGCGCCGGGAACCCTTACCAAGGGCCTACCACTACTACTCCGTACTACTCCACAGCGTGGAGTCCACGCCGGGTGATTCGAAGCCTATTTTAAGACAAGATTGACAGGCAGGGGAGAAAGCTTAAATCTCTCAAATGCCCCGTCTTGCCCGACGACAACCCGCCTCCCAATGAGAGGGCCTCATGCCTCAATAATTAATAATCTATGCGGCCTCTAAACGCGCATAACCACTTCCACGCCCCCCCAGCAAGTGTCATCACTTTCGTGGCGACGACCTCCAGCAGCCATGGCTTCTAAGCAGTCTGAAAATACCTCACGGGTACGGCCTAAACGAACGAGGGCAAAATTCCCTAAAGTTCGTACCGGCTGTCTAACATGGTGCGTACCTACTAATTGATCCACTTCCGTGTCCGTAATGAATAAATCTAATGTCGCTCTTCGCAATAGCAAGTAAGTGCTGCCCAGACATCCATTTGTTGTCCTCAGTCGCATCGTATCTACTTGAACCAACACGTCCGCAGGATCCGGCACAAGAAATGCGACGAGGCGAAACCATTCTGCCAGCGCTGCCGGGACAATGGGTACAAATGCGATGGCTACGAACAGCCTCAAGAACCACGGTGTCCAAAGAAGAGGCCACAGCCAACGCCGACGTCACAGGCCGTGATTGCCTCAAGACAAGGCGTGGAACTGGTCCATGCGTTTAACAACCTCGGAAGTGTGCACGGCAGCCCACCGGAAAAATCCCTTTTTCTTCACGCCAACCACTGCACCATCAAGGACCTGATCGGCTTCTCTACTTCTCTGTCCGGTTTCTGGCGAGACTATGTCTTGCCGATTGGCCATACAATAACCCCAGTCAGGCATGCTTTGATCTCTCTGGGCGCCTCACACAAGTCGTTCCTGTTGAGGCGCTCCCCCGGCATGCCGCCCACAGAGACGCTGAGCTATGACAACCTCGCCATCCAGCAATACAACAAGGCAATAACTGACCTGACCCCGATCATGAGCAATCCTTCTCCACTTGACATCCAAGCAATCCTCATCTGCTGCCTGATCTTTGTCTGCATAGACAATCTGAATGGGCGTCACGCCGTGGCCATGAGGCACCTGCGGGCTGGAGCCGACCTCCTGACCTCGATGCAAGACCCGTCGCCCTCGCCCGTCTCCCCTGTTGAGGAAGCAACCACGCCCGGCCAGCTCACGACGAGGACGAAGTGCGACATCAGTACCCTAGGCGGCATCTCAGACATGTTCGAACGCCTCAGCCTCGATGCTTCCATCCTTATGGAGGACCCGCCTGTCCACCGCCAAAGCTTTCGCACCTTCACCGCTGACGACGCCGAGCGGCCTTTCCTGACCTCTTCTGCAGCTCGCGATGAGCTGCGCAGAATCGACGTGGAGTTCCACGAGCTGTGGTGCCCATCCGACAGTGACAGCTGCTGCACGGGATCGCCGGATAGCAAGTGCGGGCAGGTTGGCGAAAAGCCATGCGCAGAGATAGGGCCGGACGATCCCGGGTTCCGGAGGATCTGTGATCGGTTCGACAGCTGGCTTAGGCGGTTCGACCAATACCTGGAGAGCATCAACCACACACCAGCCTCCGACGGCGAGTTCAACGAGGCGATGGTGTTGACACTTCACCGGCAGATATGGCTGGCCTTGCTGAAGCAGGGCCCGTGCTGCGATACCCCCCTTGATCGGAAGGACTTCGAAGACATACTGCATCAGGCCGACCTCGTGATCCCGATCGTCAGCACCGGCACTCAACCGGTGTTCACGTTCGAGGCGGACACGATCCCTCCCGTATCGTTTGTGGCTTCGTTTTGCGATGATGACGATCTCAGATGGAGAGCCATTGCCATGTTGAGGACGATCAACCGGACCGAAGGTGCATGGGACAGCCAGAGGATGGCCGACTTGTGCGAGACAGAACTCGTAACTGGGATGTGCACGGGGGAGAACTCGCCATCCGGAGTCATGGACTGCCAGGGTCTTTGTGAAAAGGAGCGAGAGCGATGCAGAAGTGATTGTCCCGAATAGTGCGACCAGATGACACAGACATGTGGTGTAAGCGTGTTGGCCGTCGGCGGCATTGCACATGTACAAAAGAATTAGACCCAACAAAATTTGTGGCAGGCGATATGAATATCAATCTCCACTCGTAGACGAGGCATAAGTCGAGTATTGGAGGGATGTCTTACAGATTTTTACACGGGATCTCACCATGGGTGACTCTATTTGACGAAACAATAAATTGAGTCAAATTTAAATACGAGAGGTAAACTGAGCCTGCGCGATCAGGAGCAGCTGAGCCACCCTGAGATGTGCGTGCCAGTCGACCAACACGTCCGGACTACAGAAGCCCATAAGAAGTGAACAAACCAAAGACCTCAAACCAGCCTTCCCAGCATCGAATGCCATCAGGCTGAATGAACAGAAAGGGATTGTGCCTCCAAAAATACATAAAGCCTGTTGTTTCCTCGAACATGTATCAACAAACACCGTGTTTACCCAATGCGATTAGGCCGTGTCCCATCGTACGGAAGCTTGTGAACAGCAAGCGTCCCATTCAAGGCCTGGACCTTGGGGTTGAGCTGAGCCTGTGATGTTTGGCTTGTGTCAGCAAGAAACCCAGTCAGGCGATCACTGGAAACATGGGAAATGCACACCGGATCTACAGAACAGGTCACGGGCTTCGCCCCAAAGTCCGTGACAGAGCCGTTTCCTCCGCCCGCGATCCTCTTGATGCGGACCTGTTGCGTCGTCGCGCGCGACGGGTCTCCTGGCAGGTAGTTGAATGGCTCGATGGTGATGGCTGAGTGGGCGGTCGAAAACACCGTGTTGGGCAGATCGCCGGTGTGCGGCATGTGGTGCATCCCCAGGTTAAACCAGACGACACTGCAGATTTTGTTAAGGACTTGTACTGCCTCGGCACGGGGGAAGATAAGCCAACTCCGGAGGAAGGGGAGACAGAGTTTTCTTACACGTCTTGCTGGTCGAGGGACTCGCCGTCAAAGTACTTGGCGAAATTCACTACTGGATCTGCTGGATCAAGTATATTATATGGGTTAGATGCGCGGGCTTCCGTGTCCTTTTGCTTGGTTACGTAGAAGTGGTGGTCTGCGTGGTTCACGGAGTTCTGGGCGAGGGACGAGTTTTGTATGGTGAGGGCAGCGACTCCAGCTGCTAAGGTCATTCGGAATATCTCATTAGTACGTCTTACCCATGATGGTTAATCACATCAACTTACCGGGCATGATCCTGTACCCTGGAGCCTCGCCATACTGATTCTTGGCATCCTTGTTGACGATGGCGTACATTGCGTTGCCGTTGGGTGTCCAGTTGATCTTGGCCTCATCCTCAGTGGCGATGAATGACTTCTTGGCCTTCATGGTGTTGCGCGGCTTTCCATCGTTCCAGACGTACCTGCCAGCAGTTAGCATTGCCCGCAGCGCCGTTCGGTCACACCAAATCTTACGTCTCGGTGGTAGGCACAAACTCGACCTTCTGCAAGGAGTTCTTCTCGCCAAGAATGTCAAAGTCTGCCTTGAAGGTGAGCACATGGTCATGCATGGATCCAGACAGATTATCGTGGATGTTGAACCCGTAGTCCCCATTCCTTGCAGAGGCTCCGCTCTGGATGTAGCCCGAGGCTCTGATTGCAACATTGATAGAGCCGTCCATACGAAACTCGTATGTCGTTTGATAGTCGTAATTTCCTACTGTAGCCACCGAGCGAAGCTTGAACGCGATGTTCTTGGTGATGCTGGTGAAACCGGGCCCAGAGTGTCTCTGAATAGGCGAGTCCTCATTCGTTTCAAAAAGGCCTGTGGCAGATGTCAGAGCATGGATCGTTAGTGAAACCCAAGACAACACTTGCAGATCCCATTCGGCTGGGTGTTCCTTGTGGTCCCATCCATATATGTGGTGTCCATGTACGTAGAATAAGCTGGACAATCATAACCTGTTCTCCCGTCAGTTTTTTGTTGAATCTACAGTAGCGTAGACCAGGTGATTTACCGTTGATCAGGGAGATTATGCTGGACCCGAATCCATACATCGTATCGAAGTAGCTGGGCAAGTAAGCGCTTGTAAGTCCACTTCGAGAGTAAATAACCTACCATGTGCCAGATTGGATTGGATCGATTCCCCTGCATGAAATGAGCGTCGTTCCGTATGTTATGATGAAGGTGATTTCTTACGCATAATGGACTATGGCCTCCTCCATGCCAAGCTGGGCAGTGTGAGCTTTCCCCTCAGAAGTTGAAACGATGAGGGATGTTACACACCTCGTAAATGATTCGCTTGCCTTTGTACTTGATATCGAACAGCCTGACTCCCATGTCGTGGCTGACGGCAACATAAAAGCTGAAATCCACTGTGGTATTGTTTGTCAGCCACTATCGACAGAAGTACCGGGAGGTGGCTGGGACCTACTCCAAGAAACGAAGTTCTCTTTTGTATCCACAGAGAAGCGCTTCGGGCCGGGCTGGACGGACACCGGCGGCGGGAGCTCGTCGAACGGCAAGGCATCTCCAACCTTTTCGAGCTGCGCCCACGACCCATCGACAACCATCCCCAGCTTTTCGAATCCTGGTTTCGCCAGGGCGGCTTTGAACTCCTCGATGTTCTTGTAGAACACATTGTTGTATAGCCACCCTGTGATCTTCCACTTTGAAGGATCACGCCCAGTCCGGTCACTTCTCACATAGAGACCTTGCGGTAGCAAGGTGTATGTGTCAAACGCGCCAGTTGACCTGCCCGTGAAACCTTGCCAAGTCGTAACCTGGCCGTTGTCCACTCCGGTAGGGGAAACCGTTGCGAGAGTGAAGCTGTTGACGTCCTAATGGCCACAGTCAGTGTAAAAAAAAAACACTCATGCAAGATTTGGGAGCGTGACATACCATGTTCCACAGTGCCTTTGTGATGTCAGCAGCTTGCGACACTATGCTGCTTGTGAGGTTGTCTGCATCAGTGTCCGAGTCATAGACTCGAAGCTTCTTGCCCGGAGGGCGAGTTGACAGGAAGGTGAGTGGCCTAGCCTGGGTCTGATTTCCCTTCGCCATAGGCCCGACAATGTACTCCTGGATGTATGGCTCCTGGTAATTGCCAAACGCCAGAGTCGCACGAGCATATCTCTGTGGAGCAATTCCTCCCCCAGCCAGGAACGGGAGGACGTCAGTCTTGTTAGGCTGTAGGAGATCAATTGAAAGGCTTTATACGAAGTCAGTATTCACGTTCTTGGGTAGTTCAGTTTCAAGGATCCATATTTACAGCGTGTTGTCCCAACTATTCAGCCATGCTTGTCAGCTTAAATGCCCAAAGAATGAGAAGGGTACGGTGGGAACCTTCCTTCCACCATCGAGGGTCAAGTTTAACTCCTTGGACTTGTATAGGAAATCGAGGGCATCAGCCATTTCCTGGTTCGTCAAGCCCGCCCAGATGTTCTGGTGAGGTGCGCCCACGGTGGGCTGGGTGGCCTGGCAGCCTCCATCGCCCGCCTGTCGTGCCAGGAGAGCAGGAACACTATGTCCCAAGGTCGCAGTGGCCAAGGCCAAAGGCCCAAGTATCGGCAGGAAAAATGAAGGATTTCGTCCCATGTCCGGCAATCAAAGGGATCCGGTAAGCGATGGTGAACAAGGATACAAGCGAGAGGCGTCAACCAAGAAACACAAAAAGGTCCAGAGAACGAGAGCGAGTGAACCTTGATGAGATTGTCGACAACACCTACTGAGTCCACTCAACCTATTTAAGTGCGTGGGCCATGATATAAGTCCGCCCATAGTACTGAAGTCTGAAGTCTACCGTCCCTATTCAAATGAAATGCCTAGTGCATATAATCAACTAGGTTTGAGGGGATTTACGAGGGGTAGGTGCTTACATCCCTTCCTTTCCTCCCTTTCCTTCTTCTCTTTTTTTGCCTCCCTTTGCTTCTAATGTTCAATATTACCCATGTATCCATCACAGTCTGTGGGGTAATCAAAGTCTTCCACGTGAAGGCATCACCATACTACGCTGTCCGCCAAACTTACCCTCCAGAGTGGGTTCAGAATCTACGGCACCGCAATTGGTTGGCCGTTGCGGATCAATCTGGCTGCTGCGCTCAGTGCTGCTCTTCGTGTCTGCAATTAGCGGTGACCAGACTACCACCCCGGGGAGATATCATATGCATCTCATCAATACAACCGTAACAGCCGGTAGCCCATGCACCAAGTTCTACTCTCATTTGCAATCAATCGTATCGTTTTGGCGCTAGTGAGCTGCACAACACATACCACACCCTTTTTCCTCCTCACTTCGTTTTTCAACTATTTTCACCTTTTACATAATAAATATACCCTTAATCTAAATATACCTTATATTAAAAGATAATTACTTTTTTTTTAATTCTTTTAATATTTATTTAAGAAAGGTAAAGAAATTATTTAAGGTATAAGGTATATTAATTTTTAATTTTAAAGATAAATTTAAAATTTTAAAAAAAAGGTGTTTTTAAGTAAATTTAAGTATAATTACCCTTTATTTATAATAATTTTAATATAATTCTTAAATTTCATTACTTTTTATTATTCTTTTAAATTTAACTTTAACTTAAGTTATTTTTAATCTTAATTTAAATATACCTTATACTTTTAATACTTTCTTTTCCCTTTTTAAATTTATATTAAAAGAATTAAAAAAAAGCAGCTTTCTTTTAATATAGGTAATTATTAAATTAAAGCTATATTAAGAAACTTAAATAAAGTGCGATTAAAAAAGGGTGTGATGTGTGTTGTGCAGCTCACTAGCGCCAAAACGATACGATTGATTGCAAATGAGAGTATACTCCGCAGCCAATCAGGTATTTCGTGGCCCCGGGCTCCTCGACCGCCTTGGCGCCTTGGCATCTCTCAGCCTTGCCTTTGGGTCGGCCCGGTCACTCTCGATCAGCACGACAGGGATGGTCCGAGCACTGCCCCGGGTGGTTCTCTTGCGTGGTTTGGTGCATATATGCATACCACCAACCCCGCTCTCTAAATTGTGGACTGTTCTGCCCCTGAATCTTTACGGTAGGACATAGTCATTCGGCGAGCTGCATGCGGCGTGGACGAGTGGCCAAGTCGCGGCGGAGTCACCGCTTGTTCTTTGGAGATGATCAACTTTCCAAAATGGCTCGATATGCATGTGCATGTAATCTAGCCCCGTATCACAAGTCCTCACCAAGACGGCATAGCCACCCCGGCATAGCTGAATCAATGGACAGTGATGTCCGGAGATTACTCGGCTTGCCGACACTACCCCTACTGCATCCTGCCTGAGTAGATTATTCAGTCGTCTGTGATATCTCGTACCGTTGACTGCGCCAGATCAAGTTCTCTAAGAGAGTCATAGGCAAAAGATCTGCCGTCCCCTGAATTTTCCGGATACCTTTGGCGTCCTTGCCGATGACTCTCACCTGTAGACGATGTGTGATTTTTCGATCGGTCTGGCGAGCCTTGGGCTGGCCCGCAGAAACACAGCTGCGAAAGGCCCATTAAGTCCTCCAGACCGGTATATTAGGCATGATTGGCACATTTCGGATGCCTACCGCTTTGACAGCAATCTACTGGTGCATATGAGACCATGTCAGTCTGTCAATGAGCCAGGGAACCGGCCTGTTATCCTCTGACCTGAGAAGCGCAGACATCGTGGAGATACTGACATAAATGTCTTTGTTCATTTGGACTTTGGTGTCAAAAAAGTTGACGTTCTGACACGTACCAAGTCGAGAACCAAAATGGCCAGTCCACATGTGCAGTCAGGTCTCAGCCATCAAGCGTCTCATGGGAGAAACACAGCCGGTACGAGTATCTCTCGATGCCGTCATGGTAGCGGGACATCTTGTTCGTGGACTTGGCGTTGTATAGACTCTCCCAGAAGGATACATGCGCAGGGAATGGAAACACTTGCAGTTGTGCCATCCCATCATGTTCGGATCATTCCACGTGCCTCGTTCAGGCTTCCAATGTTGATAGCCTCGAAGGCCTTCAAACATGGACCGAGACTGCGACAGCCATGGAAAAACCATACATGGATCAAAATAGCACGGAGGTGAGTAAATCAGAGTCTAATGGGCTTGAGTGCTATTTGCAGTTGTGAGATATCTGCCAGAAAGGGCGTCTCGCGGGTAAAGTCAAGGAAGAAAATGGCCGTCTCTGCTTTAGGCATAGCCTCGGTTAGATACAGGTACGTATTTGGTTGACGAACGACGGCCGGGACCGATAAGATAAGACACGGAGGGTGTCAGACCAGATAGTGGACCGTGCATCGTCCTCACGTCGTCGCGTCTTCCTTTGTGAACTTTCAACATTCCTCCTCCCACCTCTCCTATTGTTTGGCTATTGCTGCGTCGGCCGTCATCCCAACTCGCCCAGGACAATGAGGCCGTCAGCTATTAAATAGTACTACCCCGCCATTTGCACCCAATGGTAGCTCCTGAAGCTCAGCAAAAGGCAAAAGATGCGAAATGACCATCTGCAAGTTTTACCAGCAGGGTAACTGCAGATTTGGCAGTAGGTTTCCCCAGCTTGCACTCAGTTCCCCTGCGCCTCTCCTCCCTTTGACGACCTTCTGCCACCCCAATCCCATCCCTCGAAAGCCAGCAGTGAGCACTGTACATTCCTCGGTCTTCGAAAGTTCTCCTGGGGCCCAGACCTTGAACCATTCCACCTGTGTGAGACCTCATGCTGCCAACCCATCGCATCGGCCTGTTCGATACTGTACCTCCTCCACCAGCGAGTTGAGTCGAGGCGAAGCGGGTCGAAACAATCGAAACGAAACAACCTTTGACGACCGCGATGGCTGCCCTCTTAGTTGACGGCCGTCCCGCCGTCCGCAATGCGCCGATCCCGTTCCTTCTCAACAGCGTGAAGAAGCCCAGGCCTCAGCCTCTCGACCTGTCGTCCCTCGCCCTCGCGACCGATACCAGGACGAGACCGCTCTCCGCAAGGGACGCCAATGCGCGGTCACCCCATCCCTTTGCCACGGCACAGTCAACCAGCTCCAACCACCAGGGCAGCTGGCCTGCTCCCGCCGCCGCCGTCACGGTCGAATTGGACATCTGGAGTCCTATCGTCGGTTCTGCGCGAAGCCCTGCGACTCTTGGATTCCCTCGCCAGGCCGACGGCACCAGCATGCAGCTTGACACCCCAAAGACACCCAATGCGCCCGTGACGTTCCTCAGCAGATTCAAATCACAGTATGCTAACTCGTGCTCCGTCTTCCAAGACAATTGCAGGTTCGAGCACCCCAGCGCAAATGGCTCTGCCAGCGCGAACCCCTTCAGCGTGCTCTCGGGCAATTCAAACAACAACAACAACAACAACAACAACAACAACAACAACAACAACAACAACAACAACAACAACAACAACAACAATCGCGGTGGATTTGGGAGACAGCCGGCAGCCCAGCCCAATCAGTTCTCGCTGAGCAAAGATACAATACAGAAAGATCTCGCAGAGGAGAGGCCATCATGGATCCTGTCAGCCTACGGCCCTGGCCGCGATGCGCCCGAGCAGCTCTGGGGCGGTTACCCAATAGAGCAAAGTTTCGAGGAGATCAGACTGCACTACATGATGGGAGAGGCCTCTGGCAATGCGCAGGGCGCGGTATGTCCTGCTTCGCACCCAAGAACAAGCCACGGCAAATGTGCTAATTTGTCTACCAGCTGAACGAGATTCAAGGCCTCTGGGGCCAAGCGCAAAGCAAGATCCAAAGCGCACTTGGTAACCTTGATGGAGCTATCGACTTCGTCCTACAGTCGCAGAACAGCCATCCGAACCGCCACGATGTCTGCCAGGCACACTCGTCGCCCAGCACTGGCGAATTTGCTGTCGGCAATCGCCCCGTCGGCCTCCAGCCAAGTCGGCCTACCAATGCCTTCTCCGCCCCGGCAACAGGCGGCGCCTTTGGTCAGCCATCCGCACTTGGACAGAACCCAAACCCTTTCAGCACCGCCGCCGGTGGCGCCAGCGGTAGCTCGCCATTTGCACAACCCACTGCGCCAGCCCAATCTTCAGGTTTTGGCCAGCCGTCAGCTTTGGGCGGTGGGAGGAGTGCATTCGGCCAACCGTCAGCGCTCGGCGGAGGAAGTGCTTTTGGCCAGCCTTCGGCCCTTGGTGGCGGCAGCGCCTTCGGCAAGCCTTCGGGTCTTGGACAGACGGCAGGAAGTGGCTTCGGCCAGCCCTCAGCCCTGGGCCAGTCAGCCAGTCCCTTTGGTGCTCCCAGTTTTGGTCAACCGGCCCAGCCCTCCCAACCTGCGCCGTCTGGTGGCTTTGGTCAGCCTTCGCAGCTAGGCGCGAAGCCAAACCCGTTTGCCTCCGGCAGTACTGCGCCCTCTTCCAGTCCCTTCGGAGCGCCTGGTGGAGCGGGTAGCAACCCGAGCCCCTTCGCAGCTGCGCCGACCGCCAGCAGCAATCCCTTCGCACAGCCAGCGCAGCAGTCGGCCACGCCCGAAGTGTCCATGGACGCATCTGGCCCTTCGGTGGCCCCGAATCCTTTTGCACAAGCAGGTCAACCAGCAGCAGCTCCAGCAAACCCATTTGGCCAGCCGGCGCAACCTGCGGCATCGAACCCCTTTGCCCAGACAACGCGAGCAAGCAATGGCTTCGCGGCAGCGGCCCAGAAGCCTGCAGGCGTGGCCCCGGGAGGCGCCAATCCGTACGGGCCAAACGCGACCAGGCAGCACCCGCCTTACGACAGCTACGCCAGAAAGGCATCGTCGGGCCACCTGTTGTCGTTCAAGGGCAAGCAGATCACATATAAGGAGATGGGGGAGAAGGGAGAGGCGCCGAAGCAGGTGCCGGGCATTCAGAACTTTGACCGCAGCTGGACCAAGATCTGGTTCCCGGATGGCCCTCCGCCGTACTACAAGGACACGGAGCCTAGTCGGGAATACACGGACGGAGAGAAGGCAGCATACGAGCAGTTCGTCTCCACCGGCCGGTTCACCCTCGCGGGTGCCGGCGGTCATGGCATGCCCGAGGCGCCGCCAATGAGGGAGTACTGCACATGGGACCTGTGAAGCGGTGAAAGACAAGCAACACCACCAGCGCAACGCACAATCTTGCTGCGATCGAAGCAGCCGTTGACCCACATTGGAAATTGTTGCAAGGACCAGCTGCTGGTCTGGTATTTGGGCGTGAGCATTCAATCCTATGGCGTTCGAAAAACACCGCAGATGCATGCATGAAAGGTATTTGGTTTGGCAGCCGGCGTTTTGAAAGAGGAAGTCCGAATGTGTATGTATGTGTGTTTTCACATATACGTACAGGAGGCCGAACAAAAGCAGCTTCTTTGCATATTTCGAGGCTGCCATGTGGTAGTGGTCAGAGGCCATGTTCGTCCGGCATACAGGAGGCGTTTTTAGAAAGGCGACTGGCATCTGTTGCCATACAATAGCAATACAATCTTATCCCCAGCTACAGGCGTCAGGGATACTGAACTTCGGGCTCCTTATGATTCTCGAGTGACGACCACACACCGCCACTCTCGCGAGCTGCGCAATGTCTTACTCCCCGCGGCTACGGCTTTCTGTTTGATTTAGCAGTAGAGGAATGCTCGCGGGCGTGACCGTGGCTATACACTGTGGCAAGGCCCATGTCCATGCCGTCTGGCCGGCCATATCACAAGATGGCGGTTCCTAATTACATGTCCGTTTCTCGTTGGCATTGGGTCAATTCATAGTCTACATACGCAGTCACGAACACAGGTACGATGACAGACACATGGTCACAGACACGCGCACTCACACACACGCACACCATGCACGGGCACCACTCTACTGTGGTTTGAAAACTCGTTTTGTTTCGCTGTTCCGCGCTACCCTGATTGACGTTGCCATCAACAAGATTACTTCCAGCAGCACTTGAGGAGCTCCATATTGCCTTCCAGAAGAACTCGCGTCAGGGACCTCGACATCAGTGTGAGCCCGTTTAAGCGGCGATGGTGACCTCGACCTCGACACCAGCCTCGATGTTGACGATGATCTGCTTGACGATCTCGGTAGGGGCGTTGAGGCTGTTGGGGGAACAGAGGTGTCAGTAAACAACATGTTCATCTCCAGCGATGGTGTGGTGCATGCAGGGAGGCACGTACTCGATGAGACGCTTGTGGATGCGCATCTCGTAGCAGTCCCAGGTCTTGGAACCCTCACCGCAAGGGGTCTTGCGGGTGGTGATCTTGAGGGTCTTGGTGGGCAGGCGGACGGGGCCCTTGACGCGCAGGTCCTTGCCCTTGGCACGCTCGATCAGCTCGGTGCAGACCTTCTCGAGGGACTGGACCTTGCGGCTGGTCAGGGTGATGCGGATCTTGTGGGTCTTCTGTATTGTTGGAGCAGGACTGTTAGCATCTGCGGCCACGCAGTAATAGTAGTAGTAGTAGTAGTAGTAGTACGACCAAGCAGATGTGGTCTGATGGGGATGTTTTCGGACTCGGAATCGTGGTCGTCAAAAGGGAGAGGCAAAACGTACGGGACCCTCAAAATCTCCCTTCTCAGGCTTCTGGTAAGACATCTTGATTGATGGGTTGGGCGGGTTCCTTCACGACTCGAACGGATGGTACGTTGCGGCAAAGTGATGAAGGCTGGCGGGTTGGTGTTGATTGACGATGGATTCGTTTGGGAGGAAGAGCAAAAGTTCGCGACCAGTTTCTCTGGACATGTGGGTTTTGGTGGGGCACCTAGGGCTGTCCAAGAGGTGGGAAGCCAGCCAGCGCTAGGCTGTACCTAGACTAGCGGGCTCTGGGGGTGAATCATGATGAGTCAGCCGGTGAAGACTCACTTAATCGGCGTCAGTGACGGCGGGCAGGGACATCTAGAGATGGCCGAATTAGCGTCAGCTGCTGGGCCATGTTCATGTAAAAGCGATGCAGCTCGCCCTAGACGCCGTGTGAGAGATGCTGTGATTCTTCCTTTTTGTTTCTTTCTATCTTTCTACCGTTCCTCCTGCATCTCTCATCTCCCACCTCTCACAACTCCCCGCGGCAGCAGACGGCAACAAACGGCAACAAGCATCGATCGCCATGGGCTCGACTGTCTTACCCCCGTTTGCGCCGTTCCCAACGGCAGCGTGGAAGGAGTTGCTGTCTATCGACGAGTGGAACGCCAGCCTGGGTGCTTGGATCTCTCTGGCCGAGGCCCATCTCGCCCTCTCTGACGCCGACTTCTCCAAGCAGACCCTCGCAGATGAATCAGCCTCCCAGTTCCTCGCCTCGTTCATCAGAGAGGTCGCCTCCCATGGCTCTGCCCTGCTTGGCACCTCGGCCCCGGCCAGACTACTTCTCAAGGACTGCTTCCTACTCGCCTCCAGAGCCCTGAGGTCGTCCTCCCCACCAGTTGCCATGCTGCAGTGGGAGTTCCTGTCCGACCTCAGCCACGTCTACAGCAAGAAGAGGGCCACCGGCGTCCTCTCCTCCCTGCCAGCCTCGTCCCAAGACACGGTCGAAGCATTCCTGGGCCCTCTGAAGAAGTTCCTCATCAAGAACCTGGACAACGGTCTCAGTGGGGATCTGAAATCCGTCGAGGGGTGTCTGCGAAGGCTGAGCCACCTCATCAGTGCATCCCCTTCGGCTGCCTCCTTTTTCCTGGCCGGGAGTGAATTCCTCGACGGCCTCATCGCTTGCTACAGGATCATGAACCCCCCATTGAGGAAGGTCATCATCACTACCACCTACCTCAGTCTCATGGGTCTGGTAGAGAGCAGCCCTCCGAAGCTGTCCCTCCTCACCGACCAGCTGTATTCGCTCAAGACGGCCGCCGAGGACCACAAGGCCGGGCCAACCGGCGCCAACGACTCGCTCGTCCCCGAGCTCGTCAGCACTACACCATTGCTGCAGCAGATCGAGCACAGGCTCACGGCATCAGGCACTGAGAACACCCGGACCAAGAATATGATCATAGACCTGGGCGCCTTCCGGAAACCAGGAGCGAGCATGAAGCCGAAGCGGCTCGTCAGACGCAGGATCGACAAAGGAAAGGGCATCGCCCTGGATGACCACGAGGCCATGTCTGGAGATGTGCATGTCCACCGCATGAGCCAGATAACCCAAGTGCAGGACCTCTTTCCAGAGCTCGGATCTGGCTTTGTATCGAAGCTCTTGGACGAGTATGGCGACGACACCGAGCAGGTCATCGCCCATCTTCTCGAGGATTCACTGCCGCCGCACCTCAGCGGGGCGGATCGTGCTGAGCAACTGTGTGTTACAATATATCTTTCATTAATGTATTATTAAGAACTCTCCCCGCTGACCTCTCGAGCAGATCTGCCAGCAGTGCGAAACCAAGAAGACGATCCAGTCTCATGCCGCGCTCAACACCTCCGCTACTTCCTTCGCGGCGTAACATGTATGATGACGACGAGCTAGACCGTTTGGCCGTCGACACCTCTCAGCTACACATCGGCAAGAGAGCCCCCGAAAAGACTGCGGACGATATCCTCGCCGACCGCTCCACCGCCCCCAACAAAGCAGCCATCCTGTCTGCGCTGGCAGCCTTCGACTCGGATGACGACGAGCGTGATGATACTTATGACGCCGCAGATGTCGGTGGCACCGTCGATGCGGCGACCACGGAGGATCCCGCCAACGACAATGAGGAGACCCTGTGGCGGACGTACCAGAGCACGCCGAACGCCTTCGAGCGCGACCAGGCCACGCGCAGGAGTGCAGCCAGGACCAAGCTGAAGAGCGAGACCGGTATGACCGACGAGGCCATCGAGGGCTGGGCCGTCATGCTGTCTCGCAACGCCAACCAGAAGCGCGGGCTGGAGATGAAGTACAGTGCCGCGAGCACCTTCACCGGGCAGCAGAACGAGCTGACGAGCACGGCGTGGAGAGCGAGCCCAGCCGGATCCGGAACCGAGCAATCCGATACCGACGGCGGCGGGCGTGGAGGGCGAGGTGGGCGGGGCCGCGGCGGCAGGGCACGGGGACGAGGAGGTGGTGGCCCTGGTCGAGGCGGCGGGAACGTGGCCGGGCCGAGCGGCGAGCATGACACGGAGCAGGCGAGACGGCGCAAGGAGGCCAGCAAGAGCCAAAGGGCTAACCACAACAGGCGTGACCAGCGGGCCAAGAAGATGGCCAGGGGTGGTTTCCCCGGCTGAACGACGAGCCTTGAAACTGTTCACTGTTGAACCCAAAGCTCGCCCCATGAATGCATATCATTATCCACCAACGTGCCACCTGCCCTTCCTGTCCAAAGAATAGCCGCCTGTGCCAGAACTCGAAGATATTGATGTGTGGGCGCACTCAATTCGATTAATCCCGCGTCAAGAAGACTGACCACCGCGATATATGTCGCCGTCCGGCGTCGATCTCGGAAAGAAAACAGACAAGGACCTAGCGTCGCGTCCTCTGAGGTGGCCGATGGCCGGGTGAGAAACTCGGGCTCTTTGACCGGCGACGCGCGCGCTGATGGTGATGAGGAGGAGGCGGCTGCTGCTGTTGCGACTGTAGCTGTGGCTGTGGCTGCTGCTGCTGAGCATGCTTTCGTGGCGTGGCCGCCGATGAGCTCCCCGATGGCGCCGAACCCGAAGATGTCACGACCTCTCCCTAGGCTCAAAAGTTAATATTCCAAGTGTTTCTTCACCCACCGTCAGGGAGTAGACCGCGAGGCCAACTACTAGTCATCGTCGGGACCAGGGCGAACTCACCTTCAAATGCCCGTCGAGCGCCCTCTTGCTCCCGAACGTGGCGCCACAGCACCCGGGCACAGGGCACATGAGGCGGTGCTCGGCGTTGACGTGCCAGGCCAGCGCGTTGCTCGAGGTGAAGCTGGCGGCGGAGCACGACGTCCAGGTGCAGGTGAAGGCATGCTCGGCGCGGTAGTGCGCGGCCAGCTCCTGTTCGGTGGGGAAGCGCGCGCTGCAGTGCGGGCCCAGGCAGAGGAGTAGGTCTGTCGTTGTTTGTGCCTGTTGGGCTGGGAGCGGTGCGGTTGGAGCCGGGGGCTGTTGTTGTTGCTGTTGCTGTTGCTGTTGCTGCTGCGGGCGGGACTGAGTGCTTTGTTGTGGTTGCCGTTGTTGATGGCGATGTCGATTTGAGGGTTGAGTTTGTTGTTGTGGGCGTGTGTGTGCATACGACTGGCTAGAGTAGGGCTGGTGACTTGTCGTAGCTCGGTTTGAGGCCGAACTTCGGTTCGACGGTGGTTGCTGAGTTGGATAGGCCTGCTGTTGCGGTTGATGGGTTCCATATTGGACAGGAGCTTCTGTCTGGCGCCCTAGCAGCTGCTGTTGCTGCTGCTGACCGGCAAGAGGATTCGGTGCTCGTGAGCTGGAAGGGGAGGCGAAAGCAGTTGGCACGGCCGCCGTGCTCCTCTCTGCATCCGGACTCACGAGACTTGTGTCCGAGAAGGTCCTAGATATGTTCCCGACGCTGCTCCCTGCCACAGACGAGGTGCGGGAGTCGGAGACGTCAGAGGCATACGACGCCCCGCTGCCGTGCCGTGGGCTCGCCGTCGTGCTGGCCGGGCTCTCGACATAGCCCGCGCGGCTGCTGCTCCCGTCTCGCCTGCTGCCGCTCGCCCCGGCTGCAGCTGCAGCGATCGCCATGTCCGGCTGCCGCGCTGTGGAAGAGAGGTCGTCCTCCAGCTCGTCGATGCTGTCGGGGCTGTCGTCCAGCCTCGCCCACGAGATGGCGCTCATGGGATTGAAGCTGATGGGGTCGTTGAGCATCATGTTGGTGGTGTCGTACGGGTCCCGCGGTGTCTCATCCACATGGTGGAACAGCAGGGGTCCAAAGCCGAACGTGCCCGTGCCGGAGCCGCTGAGCGAGTCGAATGCGCCCCATTTGTTCAGTCCCTTCTTTGCCTCCATGACATCCGGGTCGGCCGACGGGACTGCCGCCTCGGTCGATCCATCCGTGGCTTCGGCGGCGGTTGCGGCGAGACCACCCGCGGCCGCCGTTGTCGTAGTTGCCGTTGTGGCGAGGCCTCCTCCTCGGCCGCCAGAGGCGTAGTACCGGCTGTCGCTGAGCTGTGGCGACTCGTAGCCAACCTGTCGTGCTGAGGGATAAGCGACGACGGACGCGGGTACCCGTTGTGACTGCAGCAGAGAAGTCTGAGCGTGAGGAACCGGTGGGTGTGGGAGCCGGTACTGCCTGCTGCTTTGCTTCTTCCCTCCGCTGGCCGCGTTGACGGTGCTGCTGCTACCGCCTGAGCTGCTGCTATTACTGCTGCCGGCAGTGGTAGTGGTCGTCGTGCTACTACTCCCATGTCGAGGCGTGCGGGCTGCTGACTTGTTGAGTCGCCTTTCATTTGCCATTTCCGCTTCAGGATGGGCGCAAGATCCGGCGATCGATGGAGATTCAACTGCGGCGCTGGGAGTGCCCTGGGGGGCCAGGTCAGTGATCTCGCTTCCGGCGGACCAACGAGCGAGGTCAGTTAGCGAGCGCGCAGAAATGTGCCAGAGTGCCAAAAAGTGCCAAAGCTTGAAGGGGAGAGGGCGAGCAGGCAAGCTTTCGTGCAAGCAGGCAAGCAAGCAAGCAAGCAGCAATCAAGCAAGACCTTGGTGCATTGGGGCCTCTTGTGTGTCCGTTGACCCGTTCTTGTGGGGGGCGGGTGGAAGAAGTGTCACAACGGGATGCATCTGGGTATTTCAATGTGGCTCCACCCACGCACCACCGCCGATGATGATGATGACAGCAGCAGGAGCAGCAGCAGGAGAAGCAGCAGCAGTACTGTAGCAGCGGCAGCGTCCTCCCAGATCTGTGCCCTCGCAGACTTGGTCCTCACTCACGCCCTTAGGTTGTGCGCCCTCGCTGTCTTCTCCTCCTTTTCCGTCCTCCCCCATTCTTCCCCAGTTTGGCTCACAGCCGCCCCCCTCCCCCCTCCTTCTCCTCCTCTTTTGCTCGTGCCTCCTGATCCCCCCCCCCCCTCTGTTCTACGACCTGCCGCAGCTCCTGGCTGCTCGTGCTGCTGCTGCTGGCTGCTGTGCGCTGCTGGCTGCTGCACCACCCAGACCCAACACAGCATTTGTGGCTTGGCCTTGGCCTCGAGGTACCAGTCGGCGCAAGGATTGAGCGTCGGTGCCGCAGCCCGTGATAGGTGCGATCATGTTTGTGGTGGTTACACAGAGGAGCAGGGTGGCCGCCAATCGCGCCCGCAGCCTGCGCCTGGGCCCATATCAGCCCTCTGCTGGTCTGCTGTGCCCTCCCACATTTCTGTGCCGGCCGGTGTGCCTGGTGGCTTTTGCCCGGCATCCGACACACGCACGCACGCGTTCACGCACACGGCTTAGCACTTACCCACTTTGTCTCTACCAAGAGCACAGCTTCCTTGGGATTGGGGGTGAAGGACGAGGAGGAGGGGGGGGGGGTGGTGTTGTCCAGCCCCCAGGGCCCAGACTATTTGATGTTGAGACAGGCCTGGGGAGTCCCGATATTGATAGGTCGGTTTTTCCGGTGCTGCCTGCTTCCGTCCCGCATATGCCACTGAAGAAGATTGGCCCGATGTGCATGTGTCACAGCCTTTTGCTTTTCCCCCTGCCGCTATTCGATACGTCAGAACACTCTACCACACCCTTACATATGTACGCATTGTCTTATTGTGGGTGACCGGGTCGCTGGGTGGTGCCCACGCCCAGAAGACCGGTCAATCTTGGGGGTCCCCCCCCGGCAGGGCGCGTCTCCCCGTGCAACTGTCCCCATTCGGAAGGTCTCCATAGGCCCAGAATAGACACGATGCTGTCCTGGGCCGGAGATCATGCTGCAAGGAGCGCGTGTCAGGTGATCTTATCCTGATGTTCTGGTGTCATCGAGGCGCCTTAAGGTTGTGCAACTCCACAGTTGGCTGTCAAGCCTCGACTTTGATCCTCGTGAACCGTCGGTCAACGAGGCCTCGCACCGCGCCGTGTTGTGCTCATAACGGTGTCTTCCTGCAGAGCGGTCCGGGGCTGCTGATGCGCACTCAATCTCTCTGGGCGTGCGCCACTCGACGATGCCGCGGATTAGTGCTGAGAAGCAGCCAGCGACGACTCCTAGAGCTGCGAAGTGTCTAATTATGCCATGACTGGCCACGACGCTCGACAGGCAGGTGGGTTGGTGGTAGGTACCTGACACGCCGCCTAGATACCTAGTGGTTAACTTTGAGGCAGACTGGCCCGCAATGATTCTAGACCATGCAGATGGTCTGGCTTCAAAGGACGCCACTCCCCATGTTCGCATGAGAACTAGACCTCGACATCACGGGGCGCGGCCCGTCATGTCTCGCGCGGCCGTCGCCGAGTTCGAGAACGGGCTGCTCAGGTAGTTCGTGGGACAACATCGTGCAGCATCATCTTGCAGCTTCATGAGAGATTGGCGAGTCAGGGGCGACAAGACCCCGGCATGATCGAGGCACATACAACGCCACGTCAGTGGGAGGTGCCTGGTGCCGTGCTAGATATGGACCGTGTCTTGGTAGGCCCTTTACGAATCCAGACAGCGTCAACAGCCACTGAACGCGTGCAGGACCCATCTGGTCGAGGCAAGCTTTTTGAGACTCTTCTCGGACCTGCAGGATATAGCCAGGGCCTTGTTCCCGGTAACCTGGTCATCGAGCATCTATCACTGCTCCTTCATCCTGTTTGCCTAAAAGAAAAACAAAAACAAACACCAGCCTGCAAGTCATCCTTCTCGGGTCGGGGACGGAGTGAGGCAGTCGGCTGGCTTGAGAGGGGCTCGTTGAGACTGTCTCCTGCAAACCTGGTTCGCGCAGTGACCTTTATTTGCGGGATCCAGCGTGTACCCAGCGGTTTTGTCAACGTCTTTCGCGCCGAAGCGGCTAGGCACATGCACCTGGGAGATCGCAGCTTGACGGCAGCAGGCCGTCCCGTGACGTACTCGTGGTCCACAGTCTCGGAATCCCAGAGCGCGCAAACAACTCCCGAAATACGCACACGGGCCTTTCATCTATTCACCCATTCGAGGTAGGTGGCAGCGGTGCGGCAGTGTCCCATTCTCTTGCTCGGTATGTTTACTGGGTGCTAGTGAGAAAGGGCAGGTAACGTCCGTACGGCTCATTCATGCCACATACATGACGGTCTATTCTGTATAACAGGCCGTTGCTGGTCGATGATTGTGGCCATGGAATGAAGACGCGTCTTCTGCTTCGGAGCCTCGACGTTCATACAGTCGTCTATACAGTCGTTGCTTGCTCGCAATTAGCCAATGGTGCGTACTTTTATACAAGCATAGTTGTACTGGCACCTAGGTATGTACGCAAGACCCCAAAGCAACCCTTGGGAAAGTAACCCCTCCAACATCCCTCCGAGAGTGTTTTGATTGGTGTCAAGGGCACATTGTCCAATGCTTTGGCCAACCGTTCGTCGCCCTCCCGGCTGTGCTCCACGTTATTTTGGACGGCCGTCGGCAGGCAGCGGCCTGTGTCGAGAGGCAGTCGCCGGGTGACACGACGGTCAAACGAGTTCGTCCTCAAGGCCCGCAACGGCGGCGAATCGCAGTGAGCCGCGGGTCTTGTGTTCAGATGTTCGGAACCTGCCACACATGTGCACCCCGCCGATCCTGACTCTCGACTTCCCCCCATGATGGTGCTGCAGCAGTTGCAAGCACGGGGCTGGGTGTCACACCAAACAATGTCTCGGGTGTGCGCATCATCTGGCCGCAGATTTGGTCAGATCGGGTTGGTCCATGTGTACGGTGTGAGAGGTGAGATCCGGAAGTCCGGAGCCGACCTACAACAGGATCTCTGACCGGTCAAAGCAAGTCATGGCCTAAACTGCCAAGTGGGTGTAAGGGATATGGGCGGCAGGCATGTGTGTGTGGGTGGGTGGGTGAAGGTGAATGTAGAGTGAGGGTCCATGTGCTCAGGTGTGTGTGCTGATAGTCAGGTGCTCAAAATTGAATCTTGGGCGAGACATTACAACCAGGGGGCACGCTTTCTTGGCAAGCAACCGCCCTAAGTAGATGACCTGCTGTTAAGAACCCATATGCGCAGGACGTGTGCGATATCTAGTCAGGGGCAATGCTCTGTATCTATCTATTGTGCTGTAGTCAACTGTGCTGTGCTGCACTGTCGACTTGGGTGCTGGCACATGCATCACAATATTCCTTGGGTGGTTTCGTTCCCGCACAGATTACAGATCATACCAAATCTGTTTGCACGGGCATGGAAAGGCGGTTTTAATGTCTAGGCCAAGTCAGGCCAATCCCGGCAAGGCATGTTCCCATCACGGGGACAAATCCGGAGCCAGCTGTGTGTAGTCACATACTGTACCGTATTCCAGGACTGTGGGTCAAATCTCAAGCTCGTCTCCACATGTCGAGGGATACAGTCTAGGTCCAGTTTGCAAAAGAACAGGCGCGGAACAATGCCTACAGGAAGAAGTAGGCAAGGAAGGGAATCCTCTGCCCGGGCTGATATATCTAGTAGATATCTATCTAGTATCTTGGCTGGGGATTGACCGTGCATGACTCTGGGCATTCATCGAGGCTGGTGCTTGGCGATCTTACCTTTCCCGAATCTGCATTCAGGGTCCAGGCCCTGGCCCAGGTCGTCCAGTCCTAATCCTGGTCCGGGCCGGACACTGGGACACTTCCTTTGCAAACTCGACGCGCCCCTGTCGTAACGAAACACCCGACTTTTTGTTGCACGCGTCAGTTTGTCGGTCAGAGCGTCAGACCATTTTGCCCCTTAGCATAACGTGGTCTCGGAGCATTGGCCAGCTCGTGAGCTATCGACAACCACCAACGAGGAAAAAGTCTGCGTCAAGCTGAGCTCACGTAGTCGCAGCCCTTGCGTCGTCACCCGTGGGAGTCTACCTATCCTGATCCTGCGTTACCATTCACTTGGGATCGCCCTAAAGCTTCTCCGCAGGGTACCTACCATTCAGGCCAGGGGGTTCTAAAGTTTCACCAAGGCACACTGTCGTCGCCGCCAAGAGGCTTGCTCCTCCAACAGTGTACCCAACACGACCGACCCCAGCACTTGAGGGTACAAGTAGGGCAAAGCCATCATCGGTGCTGTCCCTCATGATGGATCAGAAGATAGTGTTCAGTGAGAAGCTCTCCAAGGCAGATACCTTGATTCTCAAGAACCTTGAGGCCGACATCAAGGATGTATCATCAAGGCCTCCTCCGTCCAACGGCCATGCCGCCGGCAAAGAGAACGGTCACACAAAGACCGCCAATGGTAGGTAGCACACCCGTTCCCTTATTTCCGACGACCTGCTTGTGGCCCAGGCCTTGCTAAACGTTACTCACAGGCTCGGCCTACCACCCAGAGGATCCCGTGTCGGTGCCCAGCGAGGAGGAGGCCAACCGTGACGAGGCGGCCCTGGCCATGATGACGGGCATGAACGACCCAAGCGGTACCTACTTTGAGCCCTCCGTCTTCAACACCTGGGATCTGAGCACGTTGGGCAAGCTGCCGCCCGTGCTGGACCGGCTGCTCAAGTCCTACGTCGAGCTGGGCAAGTCCATCGTGCGCGTCGAGACGGACGTCGTCATGCTCACCCACATGATCCTGTACTTCACCACCTCGGTGCCGTCGGCCCTGTGGCTCTTCTACCACTTCACCTGGGTCCACGGCGTCATGCACACCGTCATGCAGGTCTCCTACACCGGCGCCTACACCCTGATGATGCACCAGCACATCCACGGCCGCGGCGTTCTCAACAAGTCCTACGCCTGGTTCGACCTCACCTTCCCCTACCTGCTGGACCCCCTCATGGGCCACACCTGGAACTCGTACTTCTACCACCACGTGAAGCACCACCACGTCGAGGGCAACGGCCCGGACGACCTGAGCTCCACCATCCGGTACCAGCGTGACAGCCTCTGGCACTTCTTGCAATACGTCGGGCGCTTCTACTTCTTCGTCTGGCTCGAGCTTCCCCTCTACTTCTTTAGAAACAACAGGCCGGTGTTCGCGCTCAAGGCAGCCTTCTGGGAGTTCAGCAGCTACGCCCTGCAGTACACCATGTGGAAGCTCAACTGGAGGGCGTCCATCTTTGTGTTCCTGCTGCCCCTGGCCATCATGCGCCTTGGCTTGATGATTGGAAACTGGGGCCAGCATGCGCTCGTGGACCGGGACGAGCCAGACAGCGACTACCGGTCAAGCATCACCCTGCTCGATGTGCCAGTACGTGGCTTTCCCATTTTCTTTATTAACCCCTTCCCTTCCCCTTGCCGCTTCGAGCACAGGTGACTGACTGTCCACCAGAGCAACCGCCACTGCTTCAATGACGGGTACCACACCTCTCATCATCTCAACCCCATGAGGCACTGGCGCGAGCACCCGGTGGCCTTCCTCAAGGCCAAGCACACCTACGCCTCGAACGGCGCCCTGGTCTTCCACGACATCGACTACCTCTTCATGACGGTCACGCTGCTCCGCAAGGACTATGCCCGGCTGGCCGAGTGCATGGTGCCCATTGGCGAGAAGCAGATCCGCATGACCATGGAGGAGCGCGCCGTGATGCTCAGGAGGCACACGACTGCCTTCACCGAGGACGAGATCAAGGCCAAGTTTGGCAACGCCAAGACGGAGTGAGATCTTGGTGCGCGGCTTAAAAGGGGCATCCCTGGTGTCGCGTATGTGGGTGGTGATTGCAAAGGTCACTCACTCACTCACTCATGCGAATAAGACAATGAATGCGGGCCTACCGCATTTTGAATCGGACTAGACGTGTAGATACATAACGATGAAGCTGGTACATGATCTCATAGCGGACTATACAGACCATAGAGCGAAGATCAAATGATTAGAGGTGGAGGAGACTCCGTCGCCACAGTGCGGGAGTCAGATATACATGGGAATAGACTTGTGCCCCTCCTCTGCCCACTCTACACGCACTTGCTCGGAGCATTATGATAAGACGTGTGATCATGGGGTCAATGTAACGTGTTAGGGCAACGCATGAACCCGGCTACTGATATGTGCCTTGCCAGGGTGACCATTTCAGCTGACAAACGTCGCCTCGTCCGACTGCACACAAAACCACAATGTGGTGGCCAAGTTTGACTGGACAAGATCACCAGCACATGCAGACCCGCCCAGGACAACTTTCAGTAGAGTGACAACAGCAACACCCTCCTATGGGATTCCTCCTGCGGGATAGGCTCCTACTGGATAGCCTCCTTTGGGATAACCTTCTTTGGGATGACCTCCTTTGGGATAACCTGTGTTGGGGTAACCTGCTATTGGATAGTTTCCTGCAGGATAATCTCCTACGGGATAAATTTCCATCGGGTAGACTGTCATAGGCAAACAACCTGTAGGAACATCTTTTACAAGATAAGCGACGGTGGGATAGCCTCCCATGCGGGCATCTCCTACAGCAGGACGTTTTCCAATAGGTCAGATGTGGGACAATCTGACGTGGCACAACACAGGCAGCGATAGTTCCTGATTGGGTGAGTAGCCTGCTAGGGGATGCACTCCTATGAGCTGTGCTGGGAAACTCAGATGAAAAGGTTATCCTGCAAGGACGAGCGTATCATGCACGCGTGTGCGTGCATACGCAAAGCAAGCTCTAACGCGTCGAGGTTCTTCAGTACAGTCGCAGGTGCTCTCGGGGAAACACACTTCCCATTCCGAGTGATGGCTGCGACAGGTGCCTCTGACAACTGCCGGCTTCTCAGCCCCAGGTCTGTCCGCATGTCAGATTGTCCGGTCTTTCTGTCTGCATACGGCGCTGCCCACCTTCCTCAAATGATGGGTGTGAATCCCTAGCGGTCCACCGGGCCTAGGTAGCCCCTGTACTTTTAGATCTCGTTGACGCCACGTTCTGGGGTGATATTTGTCACGCTGCCTGGTCGCAACATTTTCCTCAATCTTCGAGACATAATATGTCCCTTGCAGGTGTTCATCTAACGTGCATAGCATTGAGAAGTCCAACCGATATTTTCGCTTCGCGATCAACATTGGAACCTCAACATCATGGCGCCGATGTCCTCGGAGAGGATCACTAGGATGGATCGACGTGAGACGGAAGGGCGAGGAGCGACGTACCCCGCAAGAACCATTCTTCCAGACCCAACCACCCGACCCTGGCGGGCCTGGCAGACATTTCTTCCCCCCAGGCAAATCCCCAGATCAGCCCCCAGATGCGGTCCCACAGAAATAAGTTCTGATGTGAGAATTGCCCATTTGGCTACTAGGGACGACGGCCGGCGGCCGACTGTGTCCCGCCCCGGCAAAGACCAACTCCTTTGAGTCAGCTGTTTTACGCGGCTCGTCGGCTAAAGGCTCGGGCAAATAATGTTTGTAAAGCTTATTCACTTACTCAGTGCTTAGCTATACCATAGAAGCTTGTCTTCATACCTGGAAAAGGTTACAATTAACCTCGGTGATGGAGGCCATAGCCAGAACGTTTACGAGAATGCAACCAGGCCAGCGCCTAATATCCGGCACTGGCACTTCAAGGTACGACACGCCGCTGGGGTACCATACCCTTATTGTGGTTCCCAACACCACAAAGTTCCAAGGGCCCGCGCCAACGGCACCAGCACGAAAATGGATCAGGTTGAGCTAATGGACCACCCAGATGGGACGCTTGTCCTGGGGCAGCCGTCACTGGCTGCTGGGAGCCGGATCATCTCCGCATATTAGCTTCCATGCAGGCTACCCTGGCCCTGGATACCCAGCCGTTGCTGCCAACCCTTGGAGATCATTGCCTGTATCCCCTGTAAAGGTAGTATCGATCTCCCGACTAGTGTTGCAACCCTTCTTGGATCAGCCTAAGCCTTCGCCGTGAATGGCCTTCCTCCCGGTGGAATGAATTTCCTGCCTCTGCCAACCGACGCACGCGTCTTGTCCGTGCCGATCGGCTCTTGCGTATTTTATCCTGCCTGTCCGTCAGCTCTCAGCGGCGGCCAAGCCCCGGCCCTCGTGATATTGACATTCCTTTCGGTACCAAAATGGCAGACAACGAGAAAGTGTCACCGACAACATCGGCGCCTGAGGTCGAATCAGGCCCGACCAACACAGACTTAGCAAAGAGGGTCACCACCAAGGACGAGCTCCACGAGTATCGCGAGAATGATGGCTACGTCCTTGATGCCGAGAACTCTGACGGGAGCCCATCGGACACGGGCGTGAAGCTCGCGGCAGATGGCCACACTCGCCTCATCCCCCAACCAAGTGATGATCCTAAGGATCCTCTGAACTGGAGTTGGAGGAAGAAGCACACAATTCTTTTCATCATTGCTGCCGCTGCCTTTCTGCCCGATTATGGCAGCGCGACAGGCGCGGTAACACTTATTCCTCAGGCTGCGTATGTCGCTCTCCTTGGTCTTTTTGGGGGCGCAAGCCAGATACAGGACGGGACGCTGACATGCCCGTAGTGAATGGAACATGACACCAGATGAGGTTAATCACTCTCAAGCAGGAAATGTCTTCATGTTGGGTGCCGGTGGTATATTCGGTATGTGTATCCCAAAATGCATAGAGAGACCTGGCCTCTGGCCGTTGGATCTGACTGACACGATCGAATTCCGCAGCCGTTGTACTTTCTGCCTATTTCGGACGTCTCCCAGTGGCGTTTTATTTCCTCGTGGTGGCCTTTGCTACCGCTGCGTGGTGCGCAGGTGCCGTTACATTCGAGTCTTTTATGGGCGCCCGCATCCTCAACGGCTTCTTCTCAACCGTCACACAAGGCGGAGGAATGATGTTTATCCAGGACATGTTCTTCTTCCACGAACGCGCGCGCAAGATCAACATCTGGGCGTCTTTCTTCGTCATGAGCCCTTACATGGGCCCGCTCCTCGCGGCCTTCATGACGGCGTTCAAACCATGGCCGACTCCCTTCTGGGTGTACACGGCCGAGACAGGCGCCGTCCTGCTTCTCACCATGTTCTTGGTCGACGAGACGTACTACGACCGACGCATTCCGGCCGCTGAGCAGCCGGAGCTGGGCAGCCGATTCTCGCGCCTGCTCGGCATCTCGCAGTTCCGCTCTCGGCGTCTGCGCAACTCGTTCCCGCGGGCTTGCATGCGTGTCGTCAAGGTCATCCTCAAGCCCACGGTGCTTCTGACGGCGATTTACTATCTGCTTACCTTTGCGTGGGTCGTCGGCATCAACACGACGCTTTCAATCTTCCTCACGCCGCTGTACAACTTCGGCCCGCTGCAGATCGGTTACTTTTACTTCACGCCAGTCGTCGCGGTCCTTCTAGGCGAGCTAACGGGTCACTTCTTGCATGATATCCTGGCAAAGAGTTACATAAAAACCCACAAGGGCCACTTCGAGCCCGAGGTGCGGCTGCGAGCCATCTTCTTCTCGCTCCCGCTCATGATCGTGGGCCTCGTACTCGTTGGCCAGGCGCTGGAGAACGCGTGGCACTTCATGGCCCTGTCCGTCTCTTGGGGTCTTTACGTCTACGGCATCATGATCACCACCGTCGCCGTGAGCAGCTACTGCCTCGACAGCTACCCGGAAGCCAGCGGCGAGGTCAGCGCGCACCTGAACAACGCCCGTACGCTGGGCGGCTTCGTCATCTCCTACTTTCAGGTGCAGTGGGCTGAGAAGCAGGGGACCAAGGTTAGCTTCGGGATCCAGGCCGCAGTCGTTGCGGCGGCGTTCGGGATTATCCTCTTCCTGATGGTCTTTGGCAAGAGGCTGAGGATCTGGGCTGGGCCGCTTCGTTTCGCTACTGCGTAAGGTCGAAGGGGAGGCCGCAGGGAGGGTGATTTGTTTCAACGAGGAATGAATGCTCTCTATCTAATACACCTCGTTTCAAGATCTGGACAGTGGGGATTTAAAAAGCACCCCAAGGTGGTGTCATTGCGTGAGCCGCATCGCCGATGAGTACCAGCCTTCCTTTGGTGTAGGTGGGCAAGGGGTCGTGGTCTCTCAGTTCCCAAAGCTTGATGTTCTCTGCTTGCCTAGCCGCACAAACATAGGGGTCAGTTCTCATGAAAAGATTATTCGCGGTTAAAACCAAAAGCTACAGGTGTACGTACTCGAGCAGAGGGCGAACATAGAAATTACCGAAGACTCTCAGCAAATCTTCTTTCTCACCCGGAGCCACCCAAGAGTCCGCAGGCGGCAGTTTGATCAACGAGTCAGGGGCAATGCAGCCAACGTTGAGCAGCTCATGATTTCGACAAGGATAGGTGACGATTGTCCTACCTGATCCGTCCGAGGCGATTAGCATGGTTATTTCTACTGGTGTAGTAGTGCTCATGGCCGGAACATTCCCTTTGAGGACGGCACCATTTGGGAGAACAAAGCGGGGCATGGAGGCACCTGAAGCTCTCGGTTGGTCGCCCTCTTTGCCCACGACCAAGTGGCGGGTGGCAGACTTGATGCCGTCTGCGCCTGGAATTGTTATCTGTTAGCACAGCCATGCTCAAGGTTTCGAACAAACCAGGGAAACGGATGCCAAGTAACATGGTCTTACCAATAACCAGATCCGACGGCACGACCGTGCCGTTGCCTAATTCCACATCACCACTGTCCGTGTTCACATCCACCACATCCGCCCGCCATTTAATCGTTGCTGGCGCTCCGTCTATACCCAACTCTACGGATGGAGCCGTCGCAAGACGCAACAGCTCGTTCCACAGGTCTATCCGGTGAACAACATACCAGTCGCTCCCGAAGGCCTCTTTAATTCCAGTCAGGGCAGTCTCCTGGATCAAATTGCCCTTGTGGTCGAGGGTGCGGGCCTTTTCAAGCACAAGCGCGCCGCAATTCCTGGGCTCCCAGCCATACTGGTCGAGAATTCTGGTCGCATTTGGCCCCGGCGTGATGGCTGCGCCAACCTCGTTGCCGCCGGCTGACCGTTCTAGCACAGTGACGTGGTGCTTCTCTCGGAGCACACGAGCTGCGAAGAGCCCGGCAATGCCGGCCCCGATGAGGGAAATTTGCAACGGCGTTTCATGTGACATCTTTGGGGTAAACGTTTATCAGGGAAAAAGTAATTAGAATTTATTCTGTAAAGCCCTTTTGTTCCTCTTGATTGATTCGGCGGCTGTCATCGTAATCACTGTCTTGAAAACCTTCCCAATTCGACCCACCTTGATTGCATCCATTCACTCATTCCCAAGCCACACCTACGGCATCCTCGTGTTGCCCAGTCGATTTCCGAACCGTGGGTGCTATCACCTGGCCACGTGCACTTTCGGGCCGATGCGGGCCTCCACCTCGGGAAACTGTGTGGCCGCATCGGCTTCGTGAACCTCGCCGCTGCCGATTACACTCGCCCCCACTCTCGCTTCCCGACCAGAGAGCCACCGTGACTCCGCAAGGAGCTCCCCATTAACCAAGCCATCGTTCACTCGCAGATTCGGCATCTCACGCCATTGGCACAGTTCCGGGATTCAAGTGTGTGTACACGAGCTACGATCCAAGGGTCGCGCCTGAATTCAAGCACGCGTAGCTCTAGGTCGCTCCAGGTGTTCGGGCGTCCAGAACAAGTAGAATGCTTGCTTGAGGTGGCATGCGTTGATTTTCTTGTCGCATTCATCTGAGCCTGCCGCAGAGGGAGTCATCCTGTTTTGCGTGTTCGAGCTGAGCCCATAGCCGCAGTCTGGCCAAAGGCTTGCATGTAGCCGTGAGATCTGCCGCCCGCGTTAAGACTCTGGTGACAACTTGTACCAATTTGCCCTGTACGGAGGCTCCACAACAAGGAAAAGAAGTGAGCGGAATACCTCCACTGACTAGCTCGGTTCGGATGGGCTGCACATAAGTTGATCTCGTCTACAACAGCAGTCAGTGACAAGGTAACTAGGCAGCTTCTAGAGCTTTGCCCAGGTATCCGCTATCGGCAATGAAAACGAACTTAGTCAGCACCCGGCCTCGGTGCCAACGTCGACTGTTCCCGTCTACCGGCACCAATGGAATAATCCTCCCTCCCCGCGTTCAAACATACTTTTTGTGGACAGAGGCAACGTATACGTGTTTACAAGTTAACAAACGTCACTTAGGTAAAAACTACATAGGCCCGAATAACCAGGTCGGGACGGGAGCAAACACCCGGGAGGGGTGGACAATATCAGACTACACTGCCCTTATGCTCCTTTTCATTCCAGATCATTGGTCCACATCCATCAGACATGGCCAAGGCATCACTCGGGGCCACATTCTCACCCAAAGGAGCCGAGGAATCTGTCATCAGACCTGTCGCGTGAGTCAATGATCGTTTCCCACCCACTCTCACTTTTATAGGAAGGCAATGGAAGACGGAGAGGGTAGAGACCGCACACAGGCCATTCTAGTCCTACGGCATATCCTGCTCCACTAACAATCGTCATCATAGATGCCATAGGTGTCGCCAACGACGGTCATATTGCTCCAAGGATCGTCCTAAATGTACCAGATGCGCTGCCGGCGGGTTGGAATGTGTGTACGAAGAGGCTAGGAAGATCACAATCAATGAATCGTGAGCCACCGTGCCTTTCCCTAAACCGTTTGGCCACCGCCTGACACCACGAACAGGTACCTAAGAGAGCTTGAAACCAAGGTCTCACAACTAGAGGCGAGGAAAAGTATCACCCAAGTTCAATCTGATTCGTCGAATCCTACCGGAACAACTCACCGATTCAATGAATATGACGATGACATAATCCTTCCCGAGGCTTTCTCAGAGCTCAGCCTGGAGGCGTCTGAGAATCCCGCAAACAGTTGGATCCCTGCCCCGGCCATTCTTAATTCAAACACTGACAGCCCGTCGTAGGCTTCAAGGGCCCGGCACACTCGGACCACTTCCTCAGGAGTTTTAGGAAGGCGTCTCTCCATTTTGATGATGGTAGCCTTGATTGTGATACCGACTTATATGACCGAGCCGCACTGCCTTCAAGGCGTCTGTCGAACATAAGCCATATTCGATTGCCTCCAATAGATATTGCACGACAACTATTCGCGGCTCAATATACATATATCGGCACGATATTCTCCTTTGTTTCTCCATCCGCGTTTGAAACGCTTCTCCGGGAGGCATATCAGAGCTCACTCGTGCTCGTCGACCAAGATGCCTGCCTTACATATGCCAAACTGCTGGTCATCCTGGCTTTTGGTAAGATGTACTCGGTCAATCAGTGGATTGACTACGACGGCCCCCCTGGCTTTGACTATTTTACCCACGTGCTACAGCTTCTGCCAGACCTACATGAGCAAGGTAGCGTACTCTTTGTGGAGACTCTCGCCTTGGTGGGCTTCTTCATGCAAAACCTGAATCGCAGAGATGCTGCTTCCTTGTATATTGGGTCAGCACTACGCATGGCTATCACCCTTGGCCTACACCAAGAACCAACGGTCGCGGGCATTGAAGAGGAGGCAAAGGAGCATAGGCGCCGGGTCTGGTGGAGCGTGTACAGTCTAGACCGTATTCACAGCGTCAAGTCTGGGAATCCGATCACCATCCACGATGAGGACATTGGCGTCGAACTCCCTTCCAGACTCCCGAGTGAGCCAGAATTCTGCCCCGCAGTCGTTCTGAGGCACTACACGAAGCTCTCCCAGATAAACGGGCAAATCATGACCAGTATCTACCGCCGAAAGCCGAAGTCGGGCACTAGCCTGATGGCCGCCGTGCAACGCATCATCTTAGCTCTGTCCCGGTGGCAACAGGAGCTCCCCGAAGAACTTCGATTCGAGCCAGCCAAACTCAGCACAAGCAGAGAGTCCGTGTCAACGTTGCTCTACTACTCACAGTGTATCCATATGACGGCACGGCCACTGCTGTTTCATGTTGTCCAGGCCCGCCTCAGGGGCGGCCTCGAAGACAAAGAAGCCAACTGGAGGATCGGCCTCACACAGACCACGGTCAAAGTGATTGACATGTGCATCTCCGCAGCCAAGGACACAATCAATATGATGACGATAGCTGCCCAGAAGAACCTGGTCGCTACTTACGGCTACATGGACTCGGATTATGCTTTCTCTGCCGCCATAGTCCTCGTTATGATCTGTGTGGCGTTCCCGACCGACGAGCAGAACAACGGGTCTATGAAAGCCGCCCTTGACCTGCTCCGAGGCATTGCGCATCGAGGAAACAGCCATCTTGCTGCTCGGTATCGTCTTCTGGCTCATCTTAGGGCAACATTCGTGCCTTTCGCCACGCCCACTCCGACTGGAGAGTCGAGACCCGGGCCATCCCACGTTGGTGGCTTCGATGTACCCTCTGCGCGTCACCTCACTCCATCGGTCGACCACCCCATGCCACAAGTGCTACCAGATAGCAGGCATAGAAGTGCACAAGAACCACATTCATCCCAACCTAACCCAACAGCCCATTTGCCAAGCATAACGACCAGTCATTCGCAACATGCTCAACCACTGCCTGAAACTTTCGACTTTACATTGTTTAACAACGCAAGCCTGGCCGACGGGATGTTTTACGACATAGATATGGCGGGGACTGATTATGATAATAACCAGGAATTCTGGGAGGAAGCCTTTGCGAATATCGCAGGTGATTCTGGCAATAGTCTCGTGGAGAGCCTAGAGTGGGGCCAGGCCGCATTGGACCATTATGAAGGCAATGTAGACATGTAACACGAAAAGATAGCTTTGGATATTGAGTTTGCAGACGGAGAATTAGAAGCCAATGAATTGTATCTATAATTTAATTTATTCGCTTAGTGCTTAAAGTTATATTAAGTATTGTGGATTTACACAGAGCCATTAAGGTGCATCTATATAACTGGGAGTTTAGGCATTGGTGCACACCAAAGCATTAAGCCACAAGTTAGTACACCCTGCATTAATCTCGGTGTTCCACTTGCGGAAATTGGCAACAGTAATGCTCTGCTTCTGCGCAATGGCATCACACGAGTCGCCCGAGACAACCTTGTAAAAGCGGCTGCAGTTGGACATTTGAGGCGACCACCTCGCAGCTGTCGCCAGACTCGACCTTGTAGTAGCGGTCGCAGTTGGCAGCGGTGCCGGGCATAATGGGGGAAACGCCCGGGTCGGGTGCGGAAGTGGTCGTGGTGCTGGTCCGAATAGTGGTGGGCGGCTGGGTGGTACTAGTGGTAGGAGTCGGGGGCTCAGGTTGGGTCAGGGAAGTGGTTGGCTCATCAGGAGTGTACTCCCCAACAACACAGTATAACTTGCCGGCCTTAAGATTCGAGCAGGTTACACCAGGGTTAATATTGATGAAATCATCAACCGAGATGCCCCAGCAAGACGCGAGGCTCTTGCAGGTCTCGCTACTCTCGGCCAGTAGGTTGAAGTAGCACTCAACACCGCGGCGGGCGTGTGTTTTGGCTGAGACCAAGGCCGGGCCCGAGATAAGCCCAGCGGCGGCAGTAATAATATAAAGATGCATAAAGTATATCTTTTTTAAATTCTATTTAAAAATAAATAATTTATTATAATTTTATATAAATTAATTTTAATAATAATTAATTATTTATTTTTAATTAATTTAATTAAATTAAAAAAATTAATAAATATATAATATAATTTAAAATTATTAATATTTTAATAAAATAAAATATTTTTAATATTTATTATATTTTTAATTATTATATTAAATTTAAATAAATTAATATAATATAATTTATTAATAAATAAAATATATTAATAAATAAAATAATTTTTTATATTTTTTAACTTTAATTAATTTTAATATTATTAAAAGTTAATAAATATATAAAAAGTTAATATTATTTATTTTTAATTTTTTAATTTTAATTAATTTTATTTTTTAAAATAATTAAAAATAATATAATATAATAAAACATTATTAAAATTTTAATAAAATAAGTTTTTATTAATAATATAATTTATTAATAAATAATAAATATTAATAAATAATAAATATTAATAAATAATAAAGATTTATAACTTTATTTAATTTTAATTAATATTAATATTACTTTAAAGTTAATAAATAAATAAAAAGTTAATATTAATTAATAATAATTACTTTTAATTTTTTATTTTTAATTAATTTAATTAATTTAAAGTAATTAATATAAATATAATATAAGTTTAAAATAAATAATTTTTAATAAAAAACTTATATTTTATATTAAATAATATTAATTATATTATTAAAAATATAATTTATTATAAATTATTAAAATAAATATATTTATATTATTTAATATTAATTAAGTTAAATTTATTATAATATAATTAAAATTTAATTAATTTAACTTTTTTTATTTTTTTTATAAAGTTTTATATTATATTTAATTTTATTATAATTATTATATTATTATTTAATTACTTTATTATAAATTAATTTTTTAATATTATTATTTATTTTATTAATTAATTAATTGCTTTTTCTTTTATTTTTTTTAAATAAAAACTTAAAAGTTCTTAATAATAAATATTTTTTTAAATTATATTTAAGTTTTTTTAATTTTTTAATATTTAATAAATATTATATTAATATTTTTAAAAATATAAATTTAATTTTTTAAAATAATAAATTTATATATTATTATTTATATACTTTTTATTATTTAATTAAAAGCTTTTATAATTAATATAAAAAGCTTTTTTAATAAATAAAAATTTTATTTTTAATAAAGCTTAATTATTTAATAATTTATTAAGCATTAAATAATATTTAAAACTTTTAATATTAAGGAAAAATAAAAAAGGTTTATATAAAAGTTTATAAGTATATATTAAGCTTAAAAAAAATAAAATTTAAATTTTAAAGTAAAATTTTATTATAAGTTATTATAAATATAAAAAAAATTAAATTTAATAATATAATTAATAAATACTTAAATAAAAAAATTAATTTAAATATTATATATATATTTTAAAAATAAATATAATATAATATTTAATAATTAAAAAAAAAAAAAAAAATATAATAATATATTAATAAAAATAATATTATTATTTTTATAATATATTAATTAAATTTAATTAATATTAATATTTAATATATATTTTTTATTTATTATTTAATATATTTATTAAAATATTAAATTTATTTTAAATTAATTTTATTATTTATTTATTTATTTAAAGTAAGTTTAATAATTTAATTATTTAAAAAACTTAATTTTATAACTTAATTTATAAAATAATAAATAATTTAATATAATATATTAATAAATAAATAATATAATAAATAAATAAATATATTAATAAATAAATAATATTAATAAATAAATACTTTTTTTATAATATTTATTAACTTTATTAATATTAATACTTATTTAATACATTTAATTTATTAAAATTATATTATTAATTAATATTAATTAATATTAATTATATTTAATTTCTTAGTTTTAATTAATTTTATTAATTTAAAGAAGTTAATATAAGTATAATATAATTAAGAATTATTAAGGTTTATATAAATTAACTTCTTTTTAATATTAATTGCGTTTTAATTTTTTATATTAATTTTATTTTAATTTACTTATTTAAATATTTAATGCATTAAAAATTAATAATTATAATATATATTTTTTATTTAAAGAAAATAAAATCCTTTTAATTATTTAAGCTATTTATAACTTTAAAAAAGCTGGTTAAAAACCTTTAAAAATAATAATAATTATATATATTTTTAATATTCCTTAAATAACTCTTTAATATAAAATAAATTAATAATGTTTTTACAAAAAATTATGCATTAATATATATAAACTTAATTAAATTAAAAAGTAAATGCTTATTTAATATATTATTAAATAAAATATTAAAAAATTTTCTTTATAACTTTTTAATATAAAAAATATAATTAATTATTTATTAATATTATATAATATTAAATTTATTAATAAGCATTAAGCTTAACATTTTATAAATGCATAATTAAGCCTTAAAATTAAGTTTAATTATCTTTATAATTATTAAAAAGCTTTTTATAAAAATTTAAAAATTATTAAAAATTAATTTAAGTTTTTTTATAATATAATAATTAAGTATTAAATTATTAATAATAACTTTTATAATTTTAATAAAATTAGCTTTATATTAAATATAATTACTTTATTAATAATTATTATATATATTAATAAATATAAAAAAGTTAAATTAATTTAACTTAATAATTAAAAATAAATAATTATTATTAAATGCATTAATATAAATAAGTTATAAATTTTATTATTTATAATTATTTAAAGCATTTATTATTTTATTAATTAAGTAATAAAGTTAAGTTTTTTAAATAATTAAATTATTAAGCTTATTTTTAATAAATAAATAAATAATAAAATTAATTTAAAATAAATTTAATATTTTAATAAATATATTAAATTAAAAAAAATATTAATTATTAAATATTAATTATAAATAATTATAAAAGTTATATATTAATTAAATTTAAATAATATTATAAAAATAATAAAATTATTATTATTATATATATTATTATATTTATTTTATTTATTTTTTAATTATTAAATATTATATTATATTTATCTTTAAAATATATATATAATAAAATTAACTTTTTTATTTAAGCTTTTATTAATTATATTATTAAATTTAAGTTTTTTTTTATATTTAAAATAGCTTATAATAAAATTTATATAATAAAAAATATTAAATTTATATTTAAAGAAGCTAAAATTTCTTTTTAAAATTTTAATTTTATAATTTTTAAGCTTAATATTTATTTAAAACTTTAATATAATTCTTTTTTATTTTATTTTAAAAATAAAAGTTTTAAATATTATTAAATGCTTAATAAATTATTTAATAATTAAGTTTTATTAAAAGTAAAATCTTTAATTATTAAGAAAACTTTTTTATATTAATTATAAAAGTTATTAATTAATTAATAAAAAATATATAAATAATAATATATTTATTTATTATAATAAATAAATAAATTTATATACTTTAAAATATTAATATAATATTTATTAAATATTAAAGAGTTAAAAAAAACTTAAATATAACTTAAAAAAGCATTTATAATTAAGAAATTTTAAGCTTTTATTTAAGAAAAATAAAAGGAAAAGTAATTAATTAATAAAATAAATAATAATATTAAAAAAGTAATTTATAATAAATTAATTAAAAGATATTATAATAATTATAATAAAATTAAAATATAATATAAAAACTTATAAAAAAGATAAAAAAAGGTTTAATTAATTAAATTTAATTATATTATAATAAATTTAATTTAATTAATATTAATTAATATAAATATATTTATTTTAATAATTTATAATAAATTATATTTTTAATAATATAATTAATATTATTTAATATAAAGTATAATTTTTTTATTAAAAGTTAATTTATTTAAATTAATATTATATTTATATTAATCTTTTTAAATTAATAAAATTAAATAAATATAAAAAATTAAATATAATTAATATTAATTAATATTAATTTTTAATAAATTAAATATATTAAATAAATATTATTATGGGCTAGCCTTAGGTTATTTGCCGTAAGGTATTTAAATGGGGTTTATATTTAAAGTGTAAAGGAAAAGGTTTACTCCCCGTTTATACTTGCGCCAAAGCTTATTTTTATAGAGCCAAAGCTTACTAATTAATTATAATAAGCAAAGCCTAAATCATAATATATCCTTCTTTTCTAAGTCTTTATAGCAAGCCTTAAAAGGTAGCTATATAATAAAAAAGAAAGGATATTATAATTTAATTATAAATTAAATATTATTCTTTGCTTAGCTATTTAATTATACCTTAGCGCCTTTTAATTATATTAAAGGCTTAGCTTATTATTTATAATTAATATACCTTAGCCCTTATAATTTAATATATTAATTAAAGCAAATTAATAAAAAATAATTATTTAAGCATAAGCTAGTAATTAAATTAACGGCATTTTTATAATCTTTTAATATAAGCCTTTTATATAAGCTTCCTTACTTAAAACCTTAAGATTGCAAATTTATTATATAATTTATAATTAATTAATGCTTAATTATAAGTAATTTACTTTATTAATAAAAATTTCTTAAATTTTAAGTATTTTTATAATATTAAACTAATTAATATATAGTTAATTTACTTTAAGCTTAAGTTAGCATTAAGCTAGCTTTATTTTTAAGCCTTACTTTATAAAAAATATTTTATACCTCTTTAAATAAACTCCTTTTCTTTATTAACTTTAATTAATAAAAGCTATATCTTTATTTTTTTATAATAATTAAAATAATTATGCTTATAATAATTAAGTTAATTATATATAAAATATTTAACTTTACTTATTAAAATTATTATAATATTAATATTTATTACTTTATTATTTTAAGATTAAATATTATCCTTCTTTGTTATAATATTAAAAATATCTTTATATTATTATAAAGCAAAGTAAAAAGCCTTAAATATATTTAATTATTTCTTATAA